ATGTAAGACATGAAAAAAAATCTATAAAATACGATAAAATGAACAAAAGAATGATGAATCTCAAAACGAAAATAAAGTAATGTTGAAAAAAAAACTTTTAAGCTGCTAATCTATTTGTAATGGGAAACGAAATGGAAAATGGGATGAATGTGTGTGTGGTTATGTGTTTGTGTGTGTGTATGATAGACCAATAACGAAAACAAAAACGAAGAAGATTCACATACAAATGGCATCCATTTTTCTTGTAAGTCTCAAGAAAAAAAAATGAGTGGTAAGTAAATGTGAATGTAAAACTACAACCCAAAATGGAACATTTCAACAACCAAACAAAATGGATCATCATCATTATGATTTCTATTTGTGAAGAAAAAAAAACAAAACAAAACAATGTAATAGCAAAATGAGAAAATGGGGAAAGTGAAAACTAACTAGGTTTGTTTTTTTATTTATCAATGGAATTTTCCAATGTTGTCATTCAAAACACACACACACATAAAGAGAGAGAATTTAGCAAATACATCAAGTGAATTTTGCGTGAGCTCGTTAAGGTTTTCTTTTGTTTTTTTTACTATTTTCGTTTACTATGTGAACCATTATCAACATTATTATCAAACGAGAAAATCAAACCCGTTTCGTATATTGCAATAAGCGAAACAACAAAAAAAAATTCAAACAAGCTATACCTTTTGCTAGCTAACGGACTATAGGATGTTGTTAATTACGACCGAAGATAGAATTAGAAAAAAACAAGAAAAAAAATGGAATTCATGTAATAGATAAAATGACTGCAACAAAAAAAATCAATTGTAAGGTAGTGCAAAACAAACGAAAAAAAATTTACCGGATAGAGCAATAAAATAATCCAGATTCAGGTTCTCAGACAAAATAACGAAAAAAAAACAAAAAAAAAACTACAAGTGTGTCCACCATCACCATTACAAACATACACATGATAATGATGATTATAATGAAAATATAAAGAAAAACTGGGTGTGTATGATGATGATATTCAATCCACATAATTTGTGGTTAGTATATGCTGGTAAGAGACGATAACTCAAACATACAAACGAACAATTGAAATGAAAAAAAAAGAAAAAAGAAAATTGGGCCAAAACAAATAATGTGGCTAGAATTAGCCATTTTTTTTCGTTTTCATTCTTTTCTTTTTCTTTTTTTTCAACAGTCTCTATCTCGATAATATTACACATGACAAAATAAAAATTAACGTGGGTACAATACACACAAATTCTCACTAACACATACAATGTACACATGAGAAAAAAAATTGTTCGGAAAAAAGGGCCAATCTATTCTCAATTAAAGCAATTATTAATTCTATACACGCATAGAATTTCATCGTTGTTATTGTCGTTGTTGTTGTTGTTGTCGTCGTCGTCTGGGTAATAATAGAGAAAAAAGGAAATTCAGTTTTATGAAAAAAAACAGCTAGAAAGTATGTTCGTTTGTTTTTCAAATATATTGTTCCATTGTATTAGGAATTTGTTTGTGTGTGTGTGGTACGTGTTATTTACAAGGGTTTTTTCTATAAATATTAATAAAAACAAGCAGCAAACAACAAATAGAATATTTTTTTCTTAGTTATCTTGTTTATTCTTGATGGACAGGCTTTTTCTAACAAAGATTTTTTTTTGTTTAGTTTTCTTTATATAAATGCTGATTCATCATCTGATTCTGAAAAAGAGTCAAGCAAAGTCGAAAAAAAATTGACTGGTCATTATTCATTTTATTAAAAAGGACCAATGAAAACAATGGGAGAAAAACTTCAATCTGCTCAATTTGTTTAAGAGTTAAAAATAAATTGTCAATGAAATTCACAATAATAAGCAAAAATGCATTCTTTTTTAAATTATTTTTTTTTTAACAACAACAATTCTTGCCTGTTTAGCAAAATGGAGTTCAATTTGTTATGTTTTTTGTTGATGATGATGTTTTTTTAAAAAAAAAAACATTTCGTATTGTCATGAAAATTCTGATTCTTTTTAATAATTTTTTGTTCATTTATTTATGAAATTTTAAAATATTTGGCCATAGGCTATGTATAGAGATAAGAGAAAAAAAACAAAACAATATTGATATTGATGTTGATCATAATGACGATATAACCGGCTAATGTTAATTTCCTTGGAATAAAATGAAAGCAGATAAGAAAAAAAATATGACGTTGAATGAACAATCTCTGGAAAAAACTGAATTTATCACATATGTAAAAACAGTGTATAAGATACAAAAATATATACAAAAAAAAGACAATGATAATACATTTCTAATGGGTTTTTAATGGCTCCATATAAAATGTCATATTCAATCTTTATATTAGAAGTTCAAAGTCGTCATTATTTTGATGTAATAATAATCAGACTAAAATATTCTGCTAATAGTTATAATCACATAAAAAGAAAGATTACCGGACCATACCGAATGAGTAAAGAAAAAAATGACAAATTTTTTAGTGAGAAATAAAATGTAAAATATATATTAAAAATCTTCAAACAAGCCAAGACAATAAAAATAGACATAAAAAAAGAAAATACGGAAATCGAAATTGTAGATAAAATTATTACACAACTATTTTTCCGATGAATATATCCGCCCTGAAAGAACGATGCATTCATATCAATTTTTTTGTCTAGCTAGTTTTACAGTGAAAAAAAGACATGGCAATAAAATATCAACCAGAAAAAAATGCCAAATGAAAGTTATACACAAAAAAAATACGAATATCGAACACTAAATACAGATTAATGATGATGATGGCAGATGAATCCAACAAAAACAAAAAAACCGTAACCAATTTCAAATGAAAATGGTCCAACGAGATTGCATTCATTACCCTTAAAAAAACAACAAGACAACATTTGAATTATGCAAATTTTTTTCTTCTCGTTTTTTACTTTGGTTGTTTTTTTCTATATTCTTTGATGACATTTAATATAAAGCAAAACAAAACAGTTTCCATATCGTTTATCAACCATCCCAATGATGATGATGATGATGATGATGAAAAAGTATAGACCAAGTTTTTGTTTGTTTGTTTATTTTTTCCTACTCCCTTTCCGTTCATGGTTAAATGACTTTTTTCGTTTGTTGAATCAACAAGACAACGAAACGAAAAAAAAAAAATCTTTTGAAAACAAAAACATAACGGTTTTCAACAACAACAACAACAAAAAAAAGGATCACATTCGGTAAACACAAACACATTCTTATAGTTTCAGTCTATAATTCCCTCTTTCTTTCTCTTCGGTTGTTTTGAATAAAACTTGAAATGATCAATTTAGGGCAATTTTTTATGTTGACTTAAAATTTTTTTTTTGTTTGAAAAAGAATCAATGAGAAATGAGAAAACTTAAAACAAAACAAAAAAATTTACTACCAAAAAAAATAATAGTTGACTTAGAATGTGAGATGTGTTATCATTTTATTCAATGATAACCAAAAAAGTAACAATGGATATTATATTTTTCTCATCATCCAGAATGAAAAAAAAATTCACACCAATTTAAATTACCATCAATTCAAATTAAATTTCCTATCGACTTTTTTTTCACTGTCACAGTATTTGTTTTTTCTTTTTAGTTTTGTTTTGTTTTAAATTCATCATCATCATCGCCCTACTCGTCTTTGTGATTGGATGAAAGGAAACTAATGGCATCAACTGATCACGATCTTACCAAAAAAAAGAGAATAGTCAATTATTAAGTATCGAAAAAATCAACTCTTTGACTATAAATTCTAGTAATTTTTTTTCTTTTGTCAGCCATTACCCGTAACTAATTTCTATTGAAAGTGATTCAAAAAACTGTACCAAAGTTTAATGTCAAAGTAAAGTAAACATCATGAGAAAATTACAAAAAAAAACAACAAAAAAAATCCATACCCTGAATCAAACTTGTTTTGCATGCGGGTGATTTTTATATAACCCAATGAACGACTGATTCTTATGACAACTCCATTCACAATAACGATAAAGTCAAATAACAATGAAAAAAGCCATAAGAATAAGAATCAACCCTCTATTAATTCTTAAATAGATAGGCAAAAGAATTTATCGTACATATCATCAAAATTGAAAGAAAAGAATAGATGTGCATAATGTTGCGTGTCATCATCATCATCACTATTTCATAAGAATCTTGATGATAATCAAATCCATTCAAGAAGAAAAAAAAGTAATGGAATGGATATAATCAAGCAAAGACGTAATGTTGAAAGAACAGAATATATAATTGTAAGCAAATAATATGCAAAATAAGGACTTCCGATTAATTGAATGTTTTTTTTTCAAAAAAATTTTTCATTGTCAAAAGATTGAAACAGTCAACATAAAATCTGAAGCTAAATCAAAACAACTTGCCGATTTACAAAGAATTTTTTTTTGAATAAATGAAAAACAATAAATTCATTGATGAGACGAATTTTGATTTTTGTTTTGATTGGAAAATTGTCCCATGAGTGTCATGTGTGGTTATTGTGTTACACAAAATTCTAACTTTTCTGATAAATGATTATTATTACAATCATCATTTCCTATAATTTTTTTTTGTTCTGTTTATTTGTTTCGTTTGAAATTGATTCGATTTAATTTGATGATAAAGACAATTATCATCTTCAAAGTTCGTGTGTATAACCATTGCTACCAGAAAAAAAAACATAATCAAAAATAGAATATGGATTGCATTGGGACCATAAGAAAAATTCGACACCCATGTAATTAACCTATTATTTGATTTGATCATAAAATAAATTAAAGAATTTGAATCACATCAGCCTCATATGATACGAAAATCTTGCGTGATTCTTTTAGAACCTGGAATAAATATACTGTCATACATGTGTCGTATATGGAACGCATTATGTAATATCTGGATCTATTGTTTTTGGTCAGTAGAATGGAAAAAAAATATAATTTGACTTGTGAAAATCTAAAAAATTCTTAACACAGACAATATATTGCCATCTATTGACAATCAGAAACATTTTTAACTGTTTGTAAGTGCCAGCTGATAATGCCCCGAATTTATTCATTCCAATGAATCATGGAAAAATTCGAGTTTGATCATCGACAAGCAATCGATTTATTAGTTAAATCGGCTATTCATTTACAGCTACATGCAGATACCATTTGTTCAGCTTGTCGATATATACATCATTTTAATGAATTTCTCGATAAAAATCTATCAACCATCGAAGATGAAGGTTCAAAATATGATATTGGTGTTGTTGTCACTGCCTCATTATACATTGGTATGTGTCATTAAAATCAAATGTTCAATTTAATAATTATGTATTGTTTTTGTAGCAACGAAAACAAAAGAAAATCATACACCGCTATCAGAATTGATTTCATCGGTGCATTTTCATCTAAAAGTCGAGAATAATCAAATTGATTACAAATCTTATAAATTATTACCAAAAGATTTTGATTATTGGAAATTACGTGATTCAGTTACCTATTTTGAGCTGTTAATGTTGCGAATTTTACGATTTGACCTAATCATTGATTCACCTCATAAATATCTTATATTCTATCTAAAAACACTAAGCAATTGGGTGAATGACAATGAAAACATTGAAAGACTATTCACACTTTCATGGTCAATGTTGAATGATTATTGTTGCTATCATCCACAATCATTACAATGGCCAGCCCATCATACAGCTTTGGCAACCATTGAATTGGCGATTGAGATTTCATGTCCTAAAATGAAAACAATTCTTCAACCAACATCAAGCTGCAATGATGATAGAGAATCTAAACATAATTCATGGTATACAAATTTCGATCAAAAACTTAAAAGTGATACAGTCACTCAAATCATCAATCAATTGCTTGAAATCAATTTGAATGATGAAACTAAAAAAATATCAAGCAGCAATATAAAATAGAAAAAATAATTAACCCTTGTCTTTGCCAATCCAATAATACTAAATGATGAATGAATAAAACGTATAGCCATACGAATGATGCATCCACAATGATGTATTCATGATATATATTGTAAATGTATACGGCCATTGCCATTCCCATCAGAATGATTGTTGAAATTTTCATTAATAATAATTGTTCATTTTGAATTGTGTCACACCAAATAATCCAGAAGGCGAGCAATGAATTCACTAATGTTAACAATATTGTAATGATCTTGTATAATGAAGATGATGATGAATTATCTTCATCGAATATTTTCGATCGTAATGTTTCACCAAAATTCAAAATAAATGTTATTATTTGAATCATTTCAATCAACATTAATAATGGTTCAATCAATTGTATGATAAAACCATAAGTCACTGTTGTTGTTTTTTTAAGCCAAGAATCGGAAACAGATTTTGTGATGCCACTCGATAGACCAATAATATTGGCAAATAATACTGCCAATGTTGTCGAATTAATAATCGAGAATAGAATCTGTTTATCCACCTAGGATTTGAAATGAAATCCGATTTAGAACAATTTCGGAATTATTGTTATTAAAAGTTAAAAAAAACTCACGGAAAAATAATGTGACAAAAATCGTTCGATCAAATCTACAAAATAGAAAAATACACACAACAATAGAGATTGATAAAGAACAAATTCGAGATCATATAAGGCTGATATCATAATCCATGACAAAGCAATTATGAATGGTAAGAATTTCAAAAATAATTGAAATTGCCAAATGAAGAATGATAGGAACATGATTGAAACAGAATAAAATAAAATGATAAATCGAATGAATTGAACAGAAAAAAATAAATAATAATCATTGGTTGAATTAAAGCGCCAAACATGATGACGAAAAGATTCGATTCTTCAACACTCATTCAATATTGGATATAAGAATGTGTCATCCAAAAACAACGTCACAACAGAATTTGAAAATTTCAAATTCGAATCATATTTTATTCAATAGATTGAAAAAAATTCCTCCATATGAAAACATTGAAAATTAAAATGTGATTATTTTTTACAAAAAAATACGATAAAAATTTGTTAAATACAATCGTGTTTAATATATAAAGATGAAAAAAGAGAAGGAGAAAGATAGAGATTTAAATTTAATTTTGTTTTTCGTATGTAATGTGTGAATTTTCAGAACAGAATTCGAATCATTTGAAAATCTATGAATAATAAATATATCTATAGTATGATAATACACATATTATAATAATAACCATCAGAATCGTATCAACGACAACATTATTGAGATAAAGATGATCAATAAAATGATGCCCAAACTATCAGCATTACCAAAACGATCAAAATGATTGCAATGTAAATTTTGCACTGTATTTAGATGAAATGAAATAAAATGAATGAAATTAATAAGGAAAATAAAAAACAATGTCATGCAAAAAAAATTCCGGTGCCTTAACGATATAAAATTGTTTTATTTTGGGGAAAATCATTGATCATTTGAAATACCAAACCAGATAACCGATTAAAAGAGAAATAGCGATCAATAAAATTAAGATGATTATAATTTTTTTCTGCATTAATGATGGTGATTATAAAATGATTCGGTAATCGTATTTGGGGAGCATGCATGCAAAATTAAAATTAAAATTAAAATTAGCTAATGAAATTGATCATGCGTAAGATGTTAATGAAAATTAGAATTATAATCAAGCAATGATTTAAATTAGCATTTGAGAGGTCAACACATATATTAATCAATCTAGCAATTTGTAGGATGAGGATTTGTGAATGTAATTTTATTCATACCTTTCGAGCTTTTGTTTGATATTCCATTGCCTGTTTTGTTTCTTCACGACCTTTTTCCACATAATCATGCGTTTCTTGCACATGACTTTCGATACGATTAATCATTTCACCCTTTTTTCACAAAATTTTTTCTTAATTCAAATTAAAAACATTTGAAATTTACATACTTGATTTTCGACCAACGTGGCCATATCGACAAACATTTCATGTAATTCACGAATACTTTTCTCAATTTTGAGTATATCTTCATGTCTGGCTTGAATTTCTTCCAATTTTTCACGTGCTTCACGTGTTTCGGTTAGAAGCTATAAAGATCAAACCATTAAAATCATGATTAATGATAGATGAATAAAAAACAACATACACCTTGAATGAAAATCTCTGAGCTAGGATTGTCGAGAATTTTATCCAATTCTTCATTATCAATAACTTGATTCGCTATAAAAATTGGATAATTTTATCGTATTAAAATTCAATATTTTATTACTACAAAATTCAACATACTAATTGTTATTTGTCGACGTAATAATTCTTTACATTTCGTACGATATTCAACTTGTTCCGAATTGTATGCATTGATTACATCCAATAATTTCTGTCTCAATGTTTGATATTGTACTGTTCGCATACGATATGAAGCAGAATTTCGATCATTTTGTGTCTGACAATCAATCTCCAATGCTATTGATAAGAAAAAAATTGATTAAATCGGTTTGAAACGGAACAAAATCGAATGACTAACATTTTAGATTTTCTTTTGTTTTTTTCGATAACATTTTGAAATTGATGTTTATATCTTCTAACTTTTTTTTCATTCCTGTTTTATGAATAAAAAAAATTGAAATCAGCAATTAAAACCTTTTTTTATTCATTGACATATGGGCACTAACTTTCATCGGGTTTAGCCGATAGTAATATTTGTGAATGTAAATCTTTCATTTCTTTAATTAGATTTTCCATCTGTCTGGTAATCTGACGAACATTTTCCACTTTTTCAATGAATTTTTCCATATCCATTGATGATATGATGACTGTACATTGTTCTTGTTCATTATCATCGTTTATTCCGGCTCGCTAAAATTTGAAACAAAATTATTTTGGATTATCAATATTTTAAAACAATACAAACCTCTTTAAATTCGGCAAGACGATCTCGAACCATTTTTTTGTAATGTTTTTTTAGGCTATTTTTTCCAAATATAAACATAAATAGGTTAAGCGATTAGCTAATTGGCCGGCATAAAATGGGCCAATCTTATTTAGAGATAAAAAACTGGAAAACTAAACAATGAGCAACCCCCCAAAAAAAGATAATAAAAAATGTGAAAATGATTTTTTTTTGTCAATGAAACTAATCATAAGAATTTTCAATCAATCATCAACATTGATGCTTAAAATTGAGGGAGGTAATTTGTCCTTTCAATCAATTGATCTCAAATTCATGGACACCAAAGACGGAAACAAGATAATAACGATGATTGCAACCAAATCAATTTTAAATTGTATTAAAACAATACAAAATTTATTATTATTGCTGATAAATCGTTAACAATTGTTTTGCTTATGAAAATAACCAAACCAACTGTTGCCAACCAGCTGATGATGGATCACGCATATTTAGCCAATGAATATAAAAAATTCCAAATGAGCAATGATAATCATCGGCTATAAACATGTATAGCAAATTGTTTCAAATAGTCGACACTAGATGGCTGGTATTTATTAAAGTGTTATTTTTTGAAAAAGAATTTGTTTTGTTTTTTTTTGATACGAAAAAAGAAAACTTTTTTTATTTGAAATTTTCATTATTATAGATAATAGATAAAATTAAATTCAATTAAAATTTTCAAATTTTTATCCTGTTGATTTTTGCTGCAGTTTGTTGATGTTTTTTTCCAAAAAAAACAAGAATGAAGAAAAAAATGATGGTATTCGTGTGTCAATGTATTTATGTTTGTGTGTGTATGAATAGGCCAATCGATCAATTATGATCGGCTAGGTTGTTAGATAATTGTTTGTGTTCGCTGTAAAGATGGTCTCGTTCGATGATTGAAATTTAATTTTATTTACAGAATTACAATTTGTTTGGGATTGTGACACATAAAATGGGCATGACAAGAAAAAAGAATCCGATGTTTCGATTTAATTTGGTTGATGAACAACAAATTTTTTAAAATTTTAAAAAAATATAGAATAACCACAAAAACAAAAATAACGGAAGAAAAAACAACAACATCAGCAATAATAACAACGAAAAAAAAGATTTCATTTAAGATTTTTGAAAAAAATTCAATTCAAATTAAAAAATCAAACAAGAACCGAACAAAAAAAAACCAAAAAAAAAGACAAAAGATTTGTTGTTTCGATACAAGCACGCACGTATACAAATGTCATTTTGTTTGTTTCATAAAATCCGATTCTTTACAATAATCATGTATTTAGAATTACATCATTTTACCCCTTGAACTTTTCAATCACACCCACACACAAACACACACACACATATATATTGTTCAAAGGAGGTTCCGAAATCAACTGTAGGTGTAAGTGTTGATGTCTCTGAATTGAATTTCGACAAACACATTGATCGCCATCATTCTCATCATTGTCTAGTTATACACATGTTTATCATAATAATAATAATAATAAAGACGGATGTTTTTTTCAGAGAAAAAAAATTGTTCACCACCTACACGCACAGGAAATGGTTAAATTTTATTTTTTCTTGTTTTTTCAAATAATAACAATGAAATAACAGCAACACTCAAATTTATTAAAATTAATGCAGTAGGTGTGTCTGTGTGATGAAACTTTTTCTTCTTCTTTTATTCAAATGAAAAAAATTGATTGCAAAAATTAAAAAGAGTGTGGAAAGAAAGATAAATTTGATTCAAATAATGATAATGAAAACATTCAAACACCGAAAACAAAAATACAAACAAACAAGCAACAAGGCTTAAATAATGAACCAGGAAAAAAAACAAAATTCTTTAAGAATCTATCCTTCTTCCCTATATCTGAATAAATTCTGTCGATAACAAAAGAAAAAAAACACACCGGAAAAAAACCTGTGGAATGATAATGAAAGTGAGAAAAAATGAACAATACTTTAAATCCTGATTGTTGTTGTGGAAAATTGGTCAGTGAATTTGCATAAATGTTAGAGTTATACAGTCATATCGTCGTTGCTAATGAGTGGGTTTTGTTGATCTAGTTGAATCTGATCTATGTGTCTGAGTGATGAAGAAGAGAATGCGGGATTCGGTGTTTCACAAATATAACTAAAATTTTGTTGCTGTTATTATTGTTTAAAATAAATGATTGAATCTTGTGTTTATCAATTCTTTAGATTCATTAATTTTTGTTTTTTTTATATATAGCAAATGATGTAATGTATATAATGAATGATGACAAATCACAACGATTATAAATGATAACGATGATGATGATAATGATGGATAATACAATAGATACAAATTCTGTGTGTGTGTATGTGTTTGTCTGAGTGTGAATGTCTTGAAAAATTAATATTATTGCCATTTTTTAAAATGTTTAAAAGTTTTTATGTCAACAATTTATTCTATTTAATTTCTTTAGATAAAAAAAAACTTTTTCAATCAATTTATTATTTTCATGAAAAAAAAACAAAAGACAAACAAAATAACTATGATAGATTCAAATTGATTCGTCAAAAAAAAAAATTTTGTGAAGTTTTCCAATGTCTTGTGTGTGTGTGTGTGTGTGTGTATGTTAAAATCACAATTATATTTTTATTTATTTTTTTGAAAAAAATTTTTAATTCAAACTAAATCATATTTATTTGTTTGTTTTTTACATCAAACGCTGCCAGTGTTACCTATTATATTTTGGATTATTCAGAGCGTTCAATGTGTGTTTGTGTTTGTGTGTGTGTGCTGATTGTGATTTGATAAAAACTCAAAACATTCTTACTATATTTCGATGAATATTAAACTTTGATGACAGCCAATTTTTTTTCTTCTCTGCAAACAAGCGGAATATTTTTTTCGGTTACAATGGATAAAACTATGAATTTTCTGGACGATAATCATGATGATGATAAATAAATTTTTTCGTTTCACTGAGCACTGATTTTATTTTGAAATTTTATTTCATTTTTTTATTTTTATCTAATTAATAATTAATTGAGATCAAACATGAAAGTAAACAAGGTGTAATGATAATGATGTTTATTGATAAATTTATTATTATTTTTTTGTGCAAATCAAAATTTTTCCAAGACAAATGAAGAATTTTTTTAAAAAAAGATGCTAAAAATCAATTTTTATGAATTATGATGATGTGAATATTGATGTTTTTAATTAAAAATATTGCAGCACATCAATTATCAGAAATATATAAACAACAACAACAACAAACACACACAAAATACACACATACAGACACACATGGCACAAGAAGCAAAATTATCATTTGAATGAATTGAATGAATTGATTATGAAAAAAAAATTTACAACAGACAAACAAATAAACAACAACAAAAAAAATTGATTGTGTGAATGATTTTAATCGCAAGAGAATCGAAACTATTGATTAGCATCAGCAACAGTAGTAGCATGATGTACGATGTTTGAAATCGATATAGTCATGATGTGATTTTTCCATTTTTTTTTCTTGATAAAACATGTTGTTGTTGTTGTTTTCAAAATGTAGTGATCAATAGTACATTGATTCTCGGTGATTATTTAATCATCATTTTTTTCGATGAATTTTCGGTGGTCTAAAAATCAATTTGAATACTAGAATGGTATGAAACTTAGTAGTAATGAAACAACAATGAATGCAATGATGATCAAACAAATGATTATCATAATTTGTTTCTAATTTGTTTCGAAAAAAACGAGAAAAATAATTTTTTCCAAAAGTAAGTAAAATTCAATTGGATTAACAAAATTTTTTTTTCTATATCACATACCCTTCGTGCTTTTCGTTGATATTCCATTGCTTTTTTCGTATCTTTCACTGCTTCTTCAACATATTCCAATGCACTGGATACATGAAATTCGATTCGATCAATCATTTCTCCCTGAAATAAACAATTTTTTTTTTGATTAGATTTTTCAACAATAAGATTTAAACGAAATTGAGAAAATGAAACATACTTGTGATTCGACCAACATGGCCATATCCATAAACATATCATGCAATTCTCTGATTGAATTTTCAAGCTTAATTATATCCGCATGTCTTGCTTCAATATCGGCCAATGTTTGTTTGGCTTGTTGTGTGTCGGTCATAATCTAAAGGATTTTTAAATAACAAAAAGAAATTAGTTGATTATATCTATTATCGATTAATTTCACTTACTCCTTGAGTAAAAATGGCAGGATTACCACTTTCGAGCATTTCTTCCAGCTCTTCATTAGTTGTCGATCTACCAGCTATTTTTTCAAAAAAATGAAGAATTTAGCTTTCCAAAATAATTCAATTGTTATGATACATACTAATTTCCAATTGTCTTTGTATCCTTGCTTTACATCTTTCTCTATAATCTGTTTGTGTTTTATTATAATCGGTCATAACTTCGACAAATTTTTGCGATAACATTGAATGTTGCGTTTTACGTATACGAAAATCTGCGCTCATCATTGATGTCTGTTCCAATTGTTCAATGTTTTGTTCCATCACTATAAAAAAATGACAACATTTAATGTGATTAATAAATGAGATGCCAGAATGATGATTAAAACACCTTTTAGTTTTCCTCGGACACGATTTGCCGTCCTTTTTATATCGCCCATCAAATCTTCTAGCTGTTGTTTGACCTCTGTGAATGTTAAAAAAAATTATCATTATAAATCAATCAAACAATTGATTCAATGTAATTTCCCCAAAAAAAAACTTACTATCATCGGTTTGTGGTGCACTTAATATAGCTGAATGTATTTTCTTCACCTCTTCAACATTTGCTTGCATTTTTTCAATATTCTCGCGAATTTGTTCCACCTGTGTAAGAATCAATCGAATTATTTTCATTTTTTTAAAGTAAATTAAAATCACACTTACCTCCTGGAAAAATTCTTCCATATAGCCACCTTTTTCTTCCACACCAACGGCAACATCTTCTTCATCAACTTGTGCCGCTTTTAAAGCGGCCAACCTATCTTTAGTCATTTTTTGGTCTAATTTATTATTATTATTATTGTTTCTTCAAAAAAATTGGAAGTTTTAAATTATTGATTTTTACTGCTTTTAAAAAAAATTATTTAATTGAATTTTGACTATCGTTGATTATGATTTTTGTTTTATTTATTTTGATGACTAGAATTCCAAAATTGGTCGTCGTAATTGTCACTTACTGACCATGTGAATGAATTTTTTTCCACTTTAAATATTAATTATTTCAATAATAATAAGGCAATTTGAATTTTTTTTTAAATAATTTTTATCAGTATACAATTCAAGTGATAATAATAATTGAGTTTGATGATAATAATGATGATAATTAAAATATGAGAATATAGTGCGTGCATATAGTGTGTGTGGTTCAAATTACTTGTCGTCGATGAACGTCTGAACGATTTGTGTGGACTGGATTGTGATGTGTTAATGATTTTCGTCTGCTGATGAAATCTGATGTTGAAATCAATCAATTGTCAACAAATGAAGAAAATTCTGATGAATCCAAATCGAAAACTTTTTTTTTGTTGTTATGGCAGTAATTTTGTCATTCAAATTTCGAATGAAATGAATGATGATGATGGTGATGAAATTTGAATTAATTGATCTAAAATCAATCACATTAAAATCATTGCATTTTTATATTGATTCGAGAATTTTTTTTCTAAAAAATACAAACTTAAAAAGTAAGAAAAATAAGAAAAATTCTTTGTTTGATTGTCGTCGTCAGCAGTGTTAGCTGTTTAAAACGTTCATCAATTATTTTCTGACGTTAATCAATAGTTTATTTTTGTTGTTGTTGTTTGTTTTGATACAATTATTTTACAAAATCATCAAAACAACAATAATAAATAATTTTCATAAATCGAATATAGAAAATCATTATTCAATTTTATTATTGTGATTCACCGTTATTCATAATCATTTTAAAACACATGGATCATAATAATTGCAATGGTTGATCATTTTAGATGTTACATATGTGGTTTAAAAGGCAAATTCTACAATGTTTACAATGTATGTGTGGAGTAGAATTTTGAAGAAAAATTTGTTGTCGTCAATAATGATTGTGATAGTTGTTTGGTTTTGGTTTTTTTTCACACACACACACAATTCAAATTTGAATTATCAAAATTTGATGATAACATAGATGTTATTAATGTCAATTAGATGTGATGAAGAGAGGGAGAGAGAGAGAGAGAAAAAAAACAATTCATTTTTTCTCTCTACTATTTTTTTGGTCAGTTTTTTCTTCTATCTCGATTTCTTTCAACATTCGATTCCATTCACTCACCATTGCATAAACACATTCACAAATACACACACAGAAAAAAACCATACACACTCATTCAATCATTCTTCTTTTCTGGTCAAAAAAAGTGAAAAAAAAGAAGCCAGAATTTGATGTGTTTCTTATTCGCATGCACATAACACTCCCAAAACGTTCGAAAAAAAATGAACGAATGAGTCAAGAATGGAAAACCGAAATTCTGGTTTAGGATTCTGGAATCGTACGGTTGGGGAAGAAAATGCTGGTAGTGTGTACTGTATACTATTTGGTTTTTCCAGTACAGAATTATCGTCGTTGTCGTCGTAATCATCTATGTTTTTCCCACTATCAACTAACAATAACTGTAAGTATTTTATTTTGTTGAAAACGGAATAAAAGAATGAAATGCAATGAGTGACGTTTGTTCGGTTTGTTTTCAATATAGCAGCAGCAGCAGCAGAAGTAGTAGTGAAAAAATTAAAAAAAAAATAATAGAAAAAATCGATAATTTTATGTATGGATACTACGAACAAAAAAAAATTCGTATGGTGTGAATCAAACGATACGAACCGAAAAACACCACACCAAACGGATGGGCGTGATGGTCGTTTTTTTCTACAAAGGTCCATAATACAGACAGACAAACACAACACAAAACAACACCGTAAGACTGATCATATCCAATGTTTGTTTGTTTGTTTGTTTGCTGTGTTTGATCTGAATTATTATCATCATTATCATTACGTATAAAATCTATATAACCCCATAACCAGAAAAAGTTGGACATATATTTACGAAACTAAATGTATTGCTATTGGAAATGCGAAAGAAAAAAATCCACTATATATAATTGTATGATATTTATGATAATAATTTTGTCGAATACACGTACCAGAAAAAAATAGTAGCATTGTTTATAAAATGGGTCATGAGGCCAATCTATATACATTTCAATATCGTCGATAGAAGTTCCAGAATCCAAAAACAAACCATTCCGAATGATGATTCTATAGAATATGATGATAATATTCCATAATGGAAAAATTTACCGCTACTATTAGCATCATCAACAGCAACAACAGCTAAACTGGAACCATTTGGAACAATTTAAGGGTTCGTTTTGTTGCAGTTGTTCTTTTGTTCAGATGCTTTTGGATGGATGCAAACAAAAAAAAAATACAAAAAAAAACAGAAAACAGGGAAGTAAATAGAAAATGAAAAATTTCATCTTACATTGTGTAACGGCAATGATTTTTTTTCTCCTTCTCTTTCACTATTGCTTTTTTTCATACATCAAAACATCAATGATAACAGCAATGTTAAAAAAATAAGAAAAATTCATTCACGAATTTCATTCTAATGTTATTGTCGGCTCTTTTTTTTTCTTATTATTCCAAGGATAATTATCTAAAGTATCAACATCATCAATGATGATGATGATGATGAAGGGATCAGAAACCGCAAATAGATGACTTTTATTCATACATAGAAAAAAATTCCGTTACAGAATTACTCCCCCCATTATTCACGCAGTTGTATTATTTTATTATATAAATCTCGGACTTGTATTTATTTGTTGTTCTTTTTTGTTGTTGTTGTTTTTTCTTTTTGGATCATGATGATGATTATCGGACATGAAAAAAAGAGAAAAAAAAGCAATTTCCAATTCTTGGCACGGTTAGCGGTTTTGGCCGTGAACGACAGAGGGAAAAAACTAGTAAACGATACAAAAGATTTTTTCCAAAGATATGAGATTGAGAGAAATCTTTGTTCTTTTCCTCTCGATGATGATGATGATGATCATCATACAAAATACTAAATTCCCTAAATCTTGACTAAATGACCACCACCACCAACACCACCAACCACCAACGATGACAACTACAAAAACAGCCGGAAAAAAATCACAGGATTGATTTTTTATTATCATTATTATTATAGCCAATAGCCACTGTAGAGAGAGAAAGAAAAAAAACAAGAATAACGATCACGAATCTTTCAAAACAACTATAACAACAACAATAATATTGACAATTAAATGACTTTACCGGAACTCTGTAACATTCAGAGAAAAAAAAATAGAATCCTCATCATCCATAACATCATTATTATTAGAAAAAAACATTAACATTGTTCCATATAAATTTATTTTGAAACTGTTTTTTTATTGCATTCCAACTTGGTTTGAATGTACAATTTATCAATAAAGCCATGGATTTTTTTTTATTAATTTGTCATGAAATAAAAGTTTCATACTCGATTAAATTGTGAATAATTTTCCGTTTTCCACATTGCAATATGGTCAAGTAATATATCTGACTTGTAGTAAGAAAAGAATCTAAGAACTGTCTTGATCTATACGACAAAACAAAAACCAAATTTGTCAAACCAGCTGTCAGTATAGTCATCAACACCCAAACATTATAACATAACAATCTTTCTTTTTAATTGCAAATTAATGAAAAAAAAATTTGCTCAAACAAACAACAGAAAAAAATTTCGATAATGTTCAAAAGATTTATAGCAAACAAAACAAAGCAGAGATTCATTCTATCATTCAGTTGAATCGATAGATTTCATGTCACATTAGTTGCCCATCAATGGAATTTAACATTAGTTTTCAAATCAAGCTCACAGAAATTAACAAAAAGAGAATATTTTTTTTATATGAATGGTCAGCATGAATTGGCAGAGAATTTTTTTTAACCATTGTTTTTTCTTCTTTCTCTCTTTTTTTCAGTTCATATACAAAAATGATAATAATGAATAGAGAAAACAACCTGACCCTATTGAATACAAACAAATACAATTAAAATGATTGTCTTTTTCTCCCGCGTTCTTTTTTTGCTATTATTCAGGTTATTATTAATATTTTTATAAATAAATTAATTTTTCCACCAAAAAAACGGCAACACCATGATCATAATGACAATCATAAATCATCTAAATTTAAGTTTTATGATTTTTTTAAAACTATCATGAATTCAAACAATAAAAAAATATATAATGACAATATATCGCCACGTGTATTAGCCTTATGGTGATGATGATAAACCTTGAAATTTGACTATTCGATTAGCTAAAGAAATGATAAATATATTTCACCTACACACACACGTGCTATTATTACTTGTCAATGAAATGCAGCTGGTTTTTTTTATTTCCTATAGAACAATTTATTCATTTTTATGTGTTTGGACCTTTTTTTCATTCTATTGGTTTAAATGAATGGATATTTCCATCATATATGATATATATCCATAGCCATTCCATAGACAAGAACATAAAAAATAAATATTTTCTAGATGACAATTTACATTTTACCAATTGGGAATCTTCATCATCGAGAATTTTTTACAAATAAAAAACATACACAGGGAATATAAAAAGAAAAGAAAATTGAGTTCACGGACACAATTCGTTTATATACTAGACCCGAATCAACCAACAATATGAATGAATGACTTTCATTCATACATGCTAAACATTGAATATTTTGGACCCCGAATATCAAGATCTGAGTGAGACTATTTCGAATAGAGAAATTGTAATACAAGATGAACATGGATACCCACAATAGAACCGAAAAAGAATGATGAAAATACAATGGTTTTTTAATCATTGAGAATAGAAAGAAGCAGCAGCATTACAATACACAATTGGATACAATTTTCAAATATTACTGAATATATATGGCCAATGTGTAGAAATTTATCAAATATCTTTGGTCTCACGGAGCTTTTGGCGCCATCGTTAGGCTAGCCAAAAATATAAATTTGGTAAATTCTTTCAATATGCGTGTGTGTTTAGGGAAAATTTCCGTTCCTCATTCCGGTATAGATTCATTTGTTAGTTATATATAAACAATGATGATATGTCTGAAAAAATGAGCGGATGGCTGTCTCAGTTTTTTTCTGTTATTTTCGTTCATTTCATTTATACTCATATCATACACACTCAAAGCATATTAGTATTATAATACTAGATATAATAATGGGAAAATGATCCGGCCGCGCTGGCACTAGTGTCCGGTCGATTTTTTTTCCCTCTCTCCCATTCACTTTTTTCGAGCGTTAAATTTTCGTTTTCTTCACTTTCGTTTTTTCTCTCTGTCTGTCTCGTATTATGTCGGGTACTCATACAACTAAATATAAAACATTAGCCAAACGAAGAAAAGAAAATCTAGGCTTTTTTTCGAAATTGTTTCACCACCACTGTCCCAAATAAACACCTGAGTCGACTCTTGGGTTTAGGCTAATTTTCATTATTATTTTTAAAGGGATTTTTCATAGAAATTAAATTAGATTAGATATCTATCATTTAAATCTTTGTTGGCAAAAAAAGTGCAAAAAAAATCAAATAAATCAAGGTCAGAAGAAAAAAAAAATTGGAAAATACTAACATTTTTGAATTTATGATTGCTAATTTTAATGGATTAATATGATCAGTAAATCATATTGGTGCAGAAATCATATAATTGTTAATAATGTCTTTCATTGTATTCAAGTGATTAATCATTACTTGTCAATTGTACCTAACATTTTTTTAATCAAAATAAAATTTTCAAACATAAAAATGATATAATTGTACCGAATAATGAAAATAAAAACTAATCTCTTTTAATACTGATTGGGGTGTTATACCTGGATTTTCATTCAATCATTTTTCTATTTTTTTGAGGATTATCTGAATTTGCGAGAAAAATCTGTTTAATTAATTAATTTGATTGTTATCGATCTATCGTAGGAATACAGCCATCACAATCCAACAATAGTGATCAATCAACGCGAGGGCTATGTTGATGGATGGATTAATCATCATCATCATCATCATCATAATCATCGTTGTCATTCGAAATATTGTAGTAACGAAAGAAAGAAAAAAATCAATTACAACCAGCTAAATTAAGAAAAATAATAAAACTTGGCCACTTGGATACGAACAAACATTTACACTTTTCATTTTCATTCGTTTTTATTTCTCATGAAACTTTCATCTCATGACATATCAAACATGATCGATGTTTGATATTTATTGCAAGTTCATTCATTCATCCATAACAATTATTCATTTGAATAAATTTAGAAAACCCACACGCACATGTCTTATAAGATTTCAATTGATGAGAAACAACGACGATAACGAATCCCGATCATAGTGAAACTGAGAAAAAAAAAGTAAATCTATTGTGTTCATTGACATAACAAACAAACGATAATCATGATGATGATAATGACTAGTCAGAAATTTTATTAATTTTTTTTCACTAAAAAGATATTAATAAAAAGTCTATGTTTTTCAGAAATTCTACGATTTATTTATTTTTTATTTACATTATTTTGTACGATACCTGTGTCATATATAACTCAAATAAATTTAGTCCATTGGCATTGAAATATCTACAATAATAATGATGATATCAAAACTTTCTTGACCCCAAAAACTATCAACAGCTATCAATGATAACAATTAAGTGATAAACGTAAACCTTAACGCAGTGGTCTCTTGTTCTAATTTTGTTGTTGTTGTTAGTTAGGGTGACAGTGACCAAAATGTTGACAACGACAATACATCGTTGTAATAGAATCATCTGATATTTGAAAAAAATAGATTACGTTAATGAAAATTTATTTTTCAAAAATATTATGATAAAACTTTGATCCATATTGATCCATCTTTATACAACATAATCTACACAGCAAACGTTATTGTTTTGTTTCATATATAAATAGATCAGTTGTTGATCATAAGCATTAAATCATAAATTCTTTTATTTCTCATATAATGATTTTAAAATAAGATTTTTTTTATTTCAAGTTTTTTCTCTAATTAATTGTTTATTTGTTTTTTTAATTAGCTTTTAAAAGCTTAATTTCAAAAAATGAAATCTTTTTTCATCTTTATTCTAACCTGTTGGTTACTTATATCGATCGATGCTAAATATTTGCGAAAAGATTCACAAGCCGACAATGATGATGTCTATCAGATTGGTTTCGGTATTGGTGATATTACCGGACCAGCAGCTGAAATTAACATGGTAAGAAAAAATAACAATCAAATATAACAATCATTAATAGAAATTTTGTCTTTTCACATTAGATGGGTTATGCTAAATTAGGTCAAGATTCCAAAGGTATTCATTTACGATTGTATTCACGTGCTATGGTCGTTGCCGATAAATCTGGTACCCGAGTTGCTTATGTTAATGTTGATCTTTGTGGTTCAGCACAATTATTAAAGATATTGGTCGTAGAAGAATTGCAGAAAATCTATGGAAATGATGTCTATACACATGAAAATGTTATGATATCGGCAACGCATACACATGCTGGACCTGGTGGTTATTTCCAATATCTATTGTATATTGTAACCACTGAAGGTTATATTAAAGAATCCACCCATGCCATTGTATCCGGTGTTGTTAAGGTAAGATTGTAATCATTTTCTCAAATGATTTTTTCTAATTAATTCTATTGATGATCAGTCAATCAGAGACGCACACGATAATATGGAACCTGGACGTATGTACTATACCGAAGGAACATTGGTTAACGCCAGTTCAAATCGTAGTCCAGCATCATATCTTCAGAATCCGGAAGAAGAACGTGCTCAATACGAACATGATACAGATAAAACATTTCAAATGTTAAAATTCACCGATTTAAATGATAAACCAATTGGTATGGTGAATTGGTTTGCCGTACATGGTGTTAGCATGAATAATTCAAACAAATTAATCAGCAGTGATAATAAAGGCTATGCAGCAATAACATTTGAACAAGATTTTAATGGATATACCAACATTGGGAAAGGACCATTTGTCGCCATATTTGGTCAATCAAATGAAGGTGATTCAACGCCAAACATCATGGGTGCACGTTGTCTGGATACCGGTAAACCATGTGATTTCGTACACAGCACTTGTAATGGAAAGGTTTGATTATTAAATCATACATATATTTTATCGGAATGATAAGAACGATATATCACCTGCTTTTATTAAATTATAGAACGAATTGTGCGTTGCTTTTGGACCAGGTAAAGATATGTTTGAAAGTACAAAAATTATTGGAGAACGACAATACTTGAAAGCAAAAGAATTGTTTGCAAAAGCAAACGAAACAATTAAAGGTGATGTACATTTTGTTTATCAAAATATTGATATGGCCAATAGAACTGTCACATTGGATGATGGTCGTATGGTAAAAACCTGTCCAGCTGCATTAGGTTTTGCATTCGCTGCTGGAACAACAGATGGTGAAGGTGCGACTGTCGTAAGTATCCTAATTCGAATACAAATTAGAAATAATTCTTTTTTGTTTATCCTTAACTAATTCATCATATATAGTTCCATCAAGGCACGAAAAAAGGTCAAGAGAGTAAATTTTTCGATTTTATTCGTGATTTTATCGCACATCCATCGAAAGCTCTACTCGAATGTCATGCCCCAAAAGCCATTTTGTTGCCAGTTGGTGAAATGAAATTCCCTTATGAATGGGCTCCAGAATTAATGCCCACTCAAATGTTTGAGATTGGAAATTTAGTCATTGTTGGATTGCCAGGAGAATTCACTACAATGTCTGGACGTCGTATTCGTAAAGATATTAAAAAAATCTATGCCGATCATGGACGAGATGTTCACGTCATTCTGTCTGGATTGGCTAACACTTATTCAAATTACATAGCAACACCTGAAGAATATCAACTTCAACGTTATGAAGGTGGTTCCACATTGTTTGGACCACATACATTGGATGTAATTTATCAATATGATTTTAATTGACCAAAACATACTAATATAAATAATCCTTTTGCATAATTCTTAGGCTTATCGACAACAATATCGATATCTGGCTAAACAAATGCTTTCACGTGAGAAGATTGCATCACCTGGACCGAAATTTCCTAATCTATTGAAAAAGGAAATCACATTGAAACCAGGAGTTGTTTTCGATGCAGCAGTTCGACATCATTTTGGCGATGCTCTTACTCAACCGAATGATCAATATCATATTGGTGAACGTGTCGAGGTTAAATTTTGTGCAGCCAATCCACGTAATAATTTACGCTTGGAAAAAACATATCTAACTGTTGAGCGATATGAAAATGATGAATGGATTGTGGTGGCGACAGATGCACATTGGGAAACAAAGTTCATTTGGCATCGTGATAGCGTTCTTCTTGGTACAAGTGATGCAACCATTCTATGGGATATTCCACTTCATACTAAACCCGGTCTTTATCGTATACGATATTTTGGTGATCATAAAAATATTATCGGTACCATACAAGAATTTGAAGGTGCAAGTCGAGAATTCAAAGTGATTGAATAAATTGCCATTTTAATACATACAATATTCAATAAATTATCATGTGCCAAAATAAAACCGACAATATCAATTTGATGTAACAATTTTTATTATTCCACGATACACAAAAATAAATAAAATTTTTTCTTTCAATTCTTTAAAAAAAAAGTTATAGCCACAAAAAACGTGTAATCGATAAGAATGTAAAAAAAGAAAAAAATTACTAGAAAGTAAAAAAAATGATGTACAACTGAATGAAACGATGATGATGATGATGACGATTATGATGATGAATTGACGTTCTAATTAAGGCGAATGAAAAAAAGATTGGAAAATAAGGACAAAGACTGTGGGAAAAGAAAAAAAAATCGATAATTCCATCAATTCGATTTTATTTTAGAATTTTCTTGAGATTAATTGACTGGATCTTCACTTTCGCTATTAGAATCTATTAAGAGAAAAAAAAATAATTTAAAAATTTTGTTCAAATTTAAGATTTGTACAATTAATCGTACCTCCTTTTTTGCCCATATATTGATGTTTACGTAGCCGATCATAGAGATCTTCTTTGTTAGTACTGTAAATAGATGGATTGGCAATGCCCTGTAATGTACCATTATTTGATTTACTGTTATGCAACGATTCTTTCATATATGTTTCATTATAAAAATTTGGCATCTCCCAACCATCATCTTCATCGTCATAATAATGGGCATATGTTGAATGATGTGATGGAGCGATACTTTCGGCATATGGTGCAGGTGCACCATAATAAAAGTTTTGCTGAGAACCATTTGTCGGGCCAAAATCGGCTGGTATCGTGTGCATAGATAATTTTTTCGATATCGGTCTTGTTGCTGTTCGAACACAGATCATCCAGATCAATAATACCATGAATATGATAAAAAATACGGCTGCACCAATACCGCTAGCAATATAAATTAATTCTGATTTACGTTCACAACGATCGCCATAAAAGTTTATCAAACATTCACAACGTGGTTTTTTCATTCCTAGAATAAAATTTAAATTAATCATTTGTAAAGTGGTCATCAAATTAAATCGATTGAACATACCTGTTTTCCAATCGCATTTTCCACCGTTGATACAATAATCATCACATATATCGATACAATATGGAGAATTTGGTGTTGTGGCAATACCATCTGGATGAGGGGCCTCTTTGTATCCATCTTTACATACACAACGGAAATCTTCTGAACCAATGGATGGTGCTTCACATTGTGAATTCTGTGGGCAAAGTTCAATCTTATCATTGATTAAACAAGGATTGGAACATTGATCAGCATTTGTTGATCCAATCGAACTTGTTGTTGAATTCGGTGGACATGATTGACATGACGTATCTCGCTGTTCAACATCTTGGTAAGTGCCTTTCGGACACTGCTGACATTCCTCAGTGGTCACATTCAAAAAGTGACCAACAGCACAGATTTCTAGAAAATAAAATTTACCTTAAATTCATATCCATATTATATTTTAGAAAACAAACGTACCAAGATTACATTGGCCAATATTGATGGCTGCAATAGATCCGGTTGTATAGCCAGCAGGACATGGCTCACAAGATGGCTGCCCTCTGGTCCTATAATATCCCAATGGACATGCTTCACAATTTCCAGTGGATGATAATTGAAATCCGGCCATACATTCAGCTAATGATAAACAAAAGAGAAAATTAAATTTTCGTCGGAAAAATTCCTTCGAACTACTTACGTCTACATTCTTTTTGCGAAATAGCTTCCGAACTGCGGGTAGTTAAACCTGGTCCACATGGAATACAAGTGAATGAACCTTCAGCTGGTTGATAGAAACCATAACCACATGGTCTACAAGTTGATGTTTCCATATCATAATATAAGCCGGGTGAACAACTTTCTCGACATTCTGAAGGATGACGTGCGCCTTTAATGATTGTTACACCTTGTCGTTGACCAATCACTGGACAGTTCTTACAGTGAAGTTGCCCTAATTCTTCTTGATACGAACCAACCGGGCATTTTACACAACGACCTGTTTGATCATCGAAAAAGGTTCCCAAACCACATTCAACACAGCTATTACCAATTACAACTTGACCCGGTGGACAAGCATATTCAGTAATAAGTTCCAGACTAGTCAAATCAGCTGCAACATTGGGCAATGTATCACGAACATCAAAAATCGCTGATTCAACAACCGCTCGACGTATGATTGCTTCCATTGTATCTTTATCTTGACCATTTATTGAATTTGTGGATGATGATGCAACAATTGGATCATTATTAGCTGGGAAACTGACTTCAAGGCTGTAGATATCTTGTTGGTTTTCTTCTTCAGAATTTTCTGACAATGAACGAGCAGTCTGTCGTTTAATTCGATTCGTATTGATTTGCACACCTTTGATACATTTAACGTTTATGGCCAAACCTTTACAGCTTCCACGAACATTATCCGAACAGATTTTCCAAGCTCTATCCACACGAAGAATACTATCATGAGCACGAGATGTTAAAATTTTCTTCCCAGATTCGGAACAAACAACTGATGACGGGAAATTCATGACCATTCGGAAAATACGTTGAGCCGAATATTTAGGTGAACAGGCTGGAAAGACTAGTGGGGATTCTAGATTTTGATCAGAGGATTTTGGCCGCCAAAAGCCTTCGGCACCGCAAACATAGAAATTCGGAACCGGTTCGGAGAAATGTAATCCAGGATTACATTTAATTTGGCAAACTTTGAATCGTCCACCCGGACCCCAATCCGAACAATCTCGTTGACCATTGGTTGGTGGATCAGGAATCTTACAAAATTCTCGTAATACATGTATCTGGAAATCACAACGAGCTGTATTTCCAACTTCATCCAACGCCACATAGGTTAAATCATAGATTCCTTTTTTCAACGATTCTCCTGGTTTGATTTTTTGCACCTCCATTACTTGAGTATTTCTTAAATCATCGATGAATTGTGGCTCATCCCAATGTACGATGGTTGAAGTGTTTGCTGAAATAACCCACATATCAGGTGGACAATGAAGAACTTGTGGTGGTATTTTATCCTGTTGAAGAATTCGACAATCATCACCGGTATAGCCGTTAGGACAGAAACGTTCACCACATTTTCCTGGACCAATACGTTCGACGGTTCCGAGTACGGTATCATAACCAGTCCAACGAAGTAATAATCCACTATAAATCACCGGAGAATTTTTACAACTTCGTATTTGCGATGGAATTTCAACAGACATATCCAATGGTCTATTCCAGATGTTTACGCGTGATAAACGACCATGGAAACCTTCTCCAAGATGTGTGACAGAATTTTCAACCGGTGTACCCAACACTATCCAGCCAAACGCTGGTAATCGACCACCTGTACCATAATCTTGAACAGTATTAGCTAAGGCAGTATCGGTGACAAGCATCAGTGTACCGTCTCGGCCATCCCAAATGATATTGATGTAATGCCATTGGCCATCATTGATTGGCACGTTCTCCAAGTAAGGCATGAAAATATCAGGTGTTCGTTTCGAATTGGAACCATTATCATTGAACAAAGAGATTAAAACACCGAGATGATTTGCCTGCACTAATGGTCTTTGAGTTTTGCTTATAACATAGGGCGAATCAACTTCATACAAAGTAAAATAAGTTCCAATTGTTTCTGGGATGAATTGTACCCAGAGAGCAATGGTGAAACTATTTGATTCTTCAAGCATAAATGGTATGGTCAATGCTGCATTTGATGAACGCGAACGATCATTGAAAAAGAGATCATATTCAATATTGATTGGTTTACGGCAATCTTCACCAGTCATATTGAAAGGACATTTACAATAGAAACCATTGGTCAAATCAATACAGGTTGCTGAAGGTGGACATGATGTTGGTAGACAATCAATAATATCTTCTTCACAATTTTGTCCAGTAAAACCGGGTGGACAAATACAGTCATAAGTACCGTCGTAATTGTCTTGACAAGTTGCACCATTCTGGCATCGTTTTTCATCACAAACATGAAATTCATACTGACATCCTACTCCGGTGAATTTTGACGGACATGAGCAATTGAGCCCGGAACCATAATCCTGACACATGCCATGATTCTGACATGGATTACCGATGCATCGTTGTGGAGCTGTTTGACATCGTTTTCCATCTGTACCAGATGGACAAACACAGAAATAATCCTAGAAATATGATTATAAATTAGAATAGATTACGGTACAATGGAAAAATCAAACCTGGAATAAATCAACACATCGAGCGTTATTGTGACATGGCGATGAATCGCACATTCCAACATCTTTTTCACATCGAGGTCCATTCCATCCCAGCGGACAATTACATCGATAACTATTAATTTGGTCTACACAAGTTCCTCCATTGAAACAAGGTGATGATGAACATTCATCTATATTTGATTCACAAAGTTCACCACCGAATCCTTCATGGCATTGACATTTGAATGCATTATCCAGATCAATACAACGTTCAGTTCCAAGCGGAGAACATGGATTAGAAACACATTCATCAACTTCAGCTTCACATTGAAGACCAACAAATCCAGGTTTACATTGACATCTAAATCCCATCGATTGATCAAGACATGTTCCACCATTCTGGCAAGGACTCGATTCACAAGCATCGATTTCATGTTGACATCTAGATCCGGTGAATGAATTCGGATCGCAAACACATCGATAGCCATCAATTAGATCCACACATTCGGCATCGTTTTCACATGGTGATGAAGCACATTCATTGATATTGATTTCACAACGTGTACCATTCCAACCAGGTTCACAAACACATTCATGATAGAAAAGTCGATCAACGCATAGACCATGCACACAAGGATTTGTGGCACATAAATCAATTTTCTCTTCACATCGTTTTCCTGTGAATCCAGGAGGACAATCACACTTGAAATCATTGACAAGATCAGTACATTGAGCGCCAAGCAAACATGGATCGTCAGCACAATCATCAATATTCGTTTGACAATGCAATCCAGTCCAACCAGCTGGACATCGACAATGATAACGTCCCTGAAAGAAACAAAACCACAATGATATTTCAAAAAAATGACAAAAAAATGATCATACCTGTAACAATGGAATGCAAATGGCATCATTCTCACAAGGTGATGGATTGTTCGAACAAGGATTGACAGTAATATTACAATTATGACCTTCATAACCAGTTCGACAAAGACAATTGATATTGTCGATACCTGGAAGATTTTGACACATGGCTTTTTCTGGACAACTATCCGGCAGACATTCCTCTTGTTCAATTTGACATTGTAGACCGGAAAATCCAGGTGGACAACGACAACTATAACTTTGTGGATGATCGATGCAAGTACCACCATTGTAACAAGGTTCCGACTGACATTCATCAATATCGATTTCGCAAGATTGTCCAGTAAATCCAGCAGGGCAATAACAATATGGTTCATGCTTATTTACAATACAAAGGCCACCATTTTGACATTGAATCGATGAACATTGACCCTGAACACAGGCTTCTTTCTTGCGTTCACCTGGACGTAATGTTCGCTCACGTAATCGACATTCAATACATTTTGTTTGTCCTTCTTTTTCCTGATAATAATTGACCGGACATGGAGCACATGGTTCTAGTCCAGTTTCCGAATAATGTCCCGGTGGACATTTGACTTTACATTCATTAATCGATTGAGCACCCGGTCCATAGGTAAATGTATTGGCTACGCATTTTTGACATTCTTTGAAACCTTCTTTCGGTGGTGTACCGGAAAATGTGTTCATTGGACATTGCAAACAAGGTACCATGCCAGTTGGTGAATATGTACCATGACCACAGACTGGAATGCATTCAGCAACACTTTTACTTCCTTCGGATTTTGTATAGGTTCCTTCCGGACATTGACGACATGATGGCTGGCGAAGCATATCTTGATACCAGCCTAATGGACAAGGTAAACAAAGATTTGCGCTGCTAGAAGCATAAGTACCGGCCGAACATTGTAAACACCGAGGAATTTTATTTCCACTTTTATCTTCTGTGGCATTTAATGGACTAAGAATTTCGCCTGGTCGACAGGTGAAACCACGTTGAACTGTTGAACGAAGAGCCTATTGAGAGAGAGATTAGATAAATTTTATTATGATTATTAAGAAAATGTTACTTACAATCAATGATGGACAGGAACCACCAACTTGTTGAGTTGAAATGTTCAACAATGGTTCGATGACAGCATAGGTACTCGGTACCATTAGATCAAAAATTAACGTCAATGTTGAACCACATAAATCGTACAATGTTTTTTGACGATATTTCGGTTGAATTCGAAGCACATATTTGATCGATAATTCGTTGGTATTTGGTTTGAGCGAAATGGTCGTGTTGAAAAAATGGACAGCCATATCGACATTGATTGCTGAACAACGTTGTGAAAGCAAATGATTAAGATTATCATAGTAACTTGAAACATAATTAACATATGCTGACATGCATGATGGTGGAGCAAATCCTCCACTTCGATATTCAATGTTAGCCATAACATCATAGCTAGAATCATCCATTTCAGACTCTGGTTCGGGAACGCAATCCGGCACCATATTGTTAGGTTGCCAGTGGCTGCTTTCTGAACATTCATAGATTTTCAATGAATCACCATCAATAAAACGATATCCTTCCAGACATCTTGATGCACATTTATAGCCTGAATCGGTACGACGACACATAATTTCACCATTGGCTGGTTTGGTCAATGACCATGGAACACAAATGGCTGGTTGAACTGATACCTGGAAATGACAAACGGCTTCATTTCCAAATCGATCAGTTGCAAGAACTGTAACATTTCGATATCCTTTCACCGGTATGAAATCCATTTCAGGAATCAAAGTGATTTGAACTTCTCCAGATTCATCGGTTGCATTAATTAATCGACGTGTTTGATTAAAATTTATTTCATAAGATTCCTGTTCTTCCACCAATTCAATTACGTATGATTGGGGACAGTGAAGCATCGGTGGTGTTGTTTCTTGTACAGTAATGTTTACCTGACAAATGGCCACATTTCCATCCGTATCATAGGCTCGATATTCTACACGAGTATCTTCCAATACGACCATTGGTGGTTTAAAACCAATGGGTAAAACTTCAACTCTAGCTACGAATCCCGAATTATCCGTTGCAGTTGGAATTGTATAATTAACAGGCATAATGCCGGCTGGACCACGATTGACAACAATTGGAGCTGTAGGACAATTCTGGAAACGAGGTGGTTCTTTATCTACGCAAAATGGATGTCCATTATCGTAACCAAGTAGAATATCATCTTTTTTGTCTTCACAACCAAGCAATTCGAATTTCAAGCAAGGATTTTTATGATAAGCAACAATACCAAGTATGATGTAACGAGCAACAACCGTAGCTGGCAGATTAATCACACTCAATTCTCCATAATTACCCATTTCATTTAATGTTAGATTAAAATTAGGAAAGTAGACGACAAAATTTTCAGCTTCACGAACTTTATAGAAAAATCGAAGTTCAGTAGGTCGACCAACAACATCGTTAGTGACAACACCTTTCACTAATAAAGCTTTGATGCGGTAAACTTTTTTCAAATCCACCGTAACATAAGTGAATGGTTCATGTTGACCACACCAACCGGTAGCTGAATTGAGGCGAACTTTTGTTGCTTCATAATTGGTACGTTGTGTGGTTGCATTGATTGCTGAATCCGGTATTAGACCAGTAGAAAGACCAATCGGTTTAATTATTCGACAATCCGCACTTTTCACGCATGTTATTGGATCATTTGTATATGGAACATAACCAGGTCGATCACAAGTAAAACGAACTTGAGTATTATGTTCATAACTGGTTGCAATTTGTTGACCATCCGGTGGATGTCCAGGATCAGTACAAACAGGTCCTTCACAACGAAGGTCGCCAAAATCCCAATAACCTTTTTCCGAACACCGAACTACATTATCATTGCGACTTGTTTTTCCGGCTAATGTAAATGTATTTTCACAGCCAAAAAAGAAACTCGACCTACAAATCAATAAAGCAAAAAAATAAACAAACAAGATTTATTACATATACACCTTGAGAAAATTTCTTAAAGTAAAATGTTAAAATGATTACATACTTAAAATGTGTATCCATATAATAACCATATGAAGCTCCATTCGATTCAGGTGGTTTTCCACAATCGATTTTTGGACAAGTAGGCATTACTCCAGACAACCAAAAATCGGGTTTCCCATCTCTAGGATCATAATTACATTGACGATAATATGCATATGCAGTACCTTTATGTGGACGACCATCTTCTTGACAGGTAACATTGGCCATACTTAAGAAAGGAATCAAGTTATTTTCCAATGTCGATTCATATTGTAGTTTTAATCCTTGTGCTGGATCATCAGCTATGATGGGACATTGCGCATAAACACATTGTGGTGTCGTACCATTCCAAAGTCCATTCGATCCACAGACCAGTGAACGTTGTCCTTGTAGTACATATCCGAAATCACAATTGAATGTAATGACATCATTATAATGATAATTTTCTTGTAGAGTTAATATTTTTCCATTTTCAGGAGCCGATAAATTTGGACATTGCTTCGGTACACAGGTTTTATTTATACGATAAATATCACCATCTCTTAGTCCGGTTTCAGTCGATGGAATAAAATAGCCAGCCGTTCCATTCGATGTATATAATTCATAACCAACATTACAATGGCAGGTAGAACCACCAGGTGAATTGACACATCGTTGATCACAGCCACCATTACGATCAAGACATTCATTGATGTCAAAACAATCTTGACGTGTACAACCCATAAGTTCGAAACGCATACAAGGTGCAACAGCAAATTCGATAATCAATACACGAACATATCTTGCTTCTAATGGTATCGGCAAATTCACAATGGATAATCCGGATCCTCCATTGGGAGCTAATCTGAATTGTAATGGCCGTCCTGATATGTCTGAATAATCACGAAACAAATCAGTTAAATCATCGGCATATTGTAATCGTATAGTGATTGGATAAGCTTGTGATCCATCAAGTCTTTGCACAGATTGTATACGTAATCCACGAATCACGATCGGAGCTTTAAGATCAACTTGGACCCAATTTTCACCTATTCTTGGCGATGCTCCACACCAACCAAAATGTGTACCACGTGGTATCGTATCCAATCGAATGTCCGATTTTTTATATCCAGGTTCAGTGCTTGATACACGTATGGATGAATCGGGAATGGCACCCGTAGTAAGGCCAAGATCGGATACAGGACGGCAATTAAGATTTGGTTCAAAACCTTGTTTACATTTACAGAAAAATCCACCATCAGTGTTTGTACAAATAGTTGAAGAAATATCACATGCTGAGTTTCCAGGCGAACATTCATCAATGTCTAAACATGTTGGTATTCCTGTGAATGATTGATTACTTGAACATTTCATAATTGAGGAACCTTCAAGTCGATAACCTCGATTACAGAAAACTCGTGATTCATCTTCAAAGTAAAAATCTCGATCAGCATCATTGGTGGCAAGGTAACCATTTTTGATTTCTGGTAATATTGGACATTTAGCTCTTTCACAAACTGGTGGTAAACCAGACCATTGACCAATGGATGTACAAACAACCACTGGCACACCACGACGATGATAGCCATTTTCACATTCAAATCTTATTATTGTTCCATAGCTACGATTCACTGAACCAGCCATTATTGTTTGTATAGCATGAGGTGTTTCCGATATCGGTGGACATGATGAAGCTAAACAAATGGGTAACTTTCCCCATTTTCCATCTTCACCACAACGAATCGATTCAGTACGTTGATTTGATGGAAAAGCAAAACCAGCATAACATTGATAGATAGCAATACCGCGATAGGTAACATTCGTAGCATCAACAGCAAAACCATTATTAATCTGTGGTACAGGTCCACAATATCTTTCCTGACAATTTGGTATTGTATCCAATGACCATTTTCCACCCATCAAACATTCAGTTTCTAATTTCAAAACACCTGTGCTGAATTCCTGACCAATCGGACAGGTGAATGTCACTTTAGATCCAAACATTGATCCACGTTCCGAAGCAATGGCATTCCTTCCTATTTTCAATGGCGAACAATCTGCCGAAAAATTTGCCGACCATCCTCGAGCAGCTTTCATAGCATTCGTTTTGAACAGCAATAACATTCGACCAGATGAAGCAGTTAAGGTCAAGCCAGTAGGTTTAGTTTTAGTTCCAAAGCCACGGCTTGGATGTAATGGAACTGCTGTTGATGAATCTAATCCATCATATATTTGTAAAATATCTTCATTTGTAACACCAAATTCATTGAAAACGATCGATACAGATCCTTCGGCCGGTTTTTCTCTGCTAATATGATAAATACAGTTCTGATTTGTTGGATAATTTGTCACACCAAAAGCCGGTGATGTAACTACACCTTTGTCAGCAAATAAATTAATTTCACAGCCTGCTTTATAACGGATTGAGAATCCTTTTCGCGAATGAACGCCAAAATTTGAATGGAAATAAATATAGACAGAATTTCCGGTCGAAACTATATACCGTTCATGTGATTTACTTAGCTCTGTACTCATATTACCACTAAAACGACCAAGTGGAGCACTTCTCGATGATAGACCATCACGAATGAGTAGGAAATCGGTATCCGGTTCTAAATCTAATTCGGTCACTTCCAATGTAATTGTTTTGCCTTGACTTGCTGTAATAGCGTAAACACATTCAAGACCACCAGGATAATAGCTTGGATATTGTGGCGAATTAATGAATTGAGCATTGTTTTGTGCAGTAAATTCTCCGCCACATTTTAATGGTTCAGTTTTCCATGAAGCACGAAAACCTCGTTTTTCTACCGAAGCATCTGAACGAAATTTGATTATCATTAGATTACTGCCTGTAGTAAATGCACGGGCCGATATGTTTTGTATGCCAGATAATGTAGCCAATGTCGTACTTGTTTCTTCAGTACGACCACCGACTAGAATTTGCACCTGATCGAAATTATTTTCCGTATCAAATTCTGAGAATTGTAAAATCATTCCCGATCCTATTGGCCCTTCTAATGTCCATTTACAATCACTATTCGGATCATATTTATTCGGATAATTTGGTGATATAACTTTATCGCCAGAACTTTGTAGATAATAATTACATTTTCGTGGACAGTCCATTTCATCAGAACGATCTTCACAATCATCATCACCATCACATTTCCAAGCATTGTTTATACATTTTCCATTACTACAATGATATGAACCGGTGGGACATGTAATTTTCTGACAAACAAATGGCAATAGTTCTTCACATTCGGCTAATGACCAAACACTTTGTGGTGTATCACCATTCGATGTATGTTCGCCGACGACAGTTGCCCGTATACATTGACCATCATCAACATTCGGCTGATCATAAGCCCAAAAACCGACATATTTACTAACAAAACGTCCACTTGCCGATTCAATTGTATTTGTTGATAATTGATCAATTGATTCAAAACCGATCCAAAATGAACGGCCATCATCGCCAGCCTCACGTAGACTAGCTTCAGCTAATGCAGCGGTAAAGTTGTTCTGCGTAAAATCACTGATCAACACTAATTCACTGCCATATCTAGAAAAAAAAAGAAGAGAAATAAGAAAACCGGCTTAGAAAAAATGTTCGGAAGTTAAATGAAACAAAAATATAAAAAAACAAGCTTAGAGCTATTTAATGACCCAGAAAAATTAGACTTAAACATTCATATTAGAATCGATTTGAACGGAAAAGTGATAATGAAAAAAGTATGGATAACCAAAACAGAACAAAGAAAAAATAAAATGAAAATCGAATGGGAAAATGAGGATAATTAAAAAAGAAAACAAGTATACAGTAAATATGTATGTGAGCCAAACTCGTCTTTTATCGATTATTATGTCTTTAGGTCAGATATTTTTTTTGTTGTTGGATATTTATGGTTATAATGATAATTATCAGTATTTATCATCATCATTGTTTTGGTAAAGCTGATTTTCATTCAATTTTCATTGAATGTCAAATAGGTAGTCAAAAATGGATTTATTCATATTTTCATTAATAACACAGACACACACATTACATGCCCTAATAATTTAATCGAAAAGCTATAATTATATGAAGATGTATTTTTGAAGAAAAAACATTTATTTTTACATAAATTCAATACAATTATTAATGATAATATTTATTATTTTTTTTCTTAAATAAAAATTTGAATGAAACCAAATTCAAACAGAAAAAAAACGTTGACATCAACATGTTGAATGTTGATCGATGATCATCATATTTATATGTATGACCTAAACAGGATTAAAAGAAAATGAAATTTTTGATTTGCAACTTTGAATGAAAAATTGATTTTGATTTAAAAAGAAATTGAATGGAATTTCGTTTTTTCTTTTTATTAAGATGAAGAAAAACAGTTGTCTAACAACAAGAGCAGCGAATAAAACTAAACTTTGGGAACCATGATGAACAATAAAAAAAAGATGTATGAATGAAAAAGAGAATGAACCAAATTGCGACAACAATACAATTTCAAGGTGATATTATATCTGATTTTTCTCTTTATTTTAACGTGTGAAAAAAGTAATCATCATTGAATCACCATCATCTCTATGTCATCTTATTATCATCCATGATGATAGCATATGGCCATTGACCATTTTCATTTCTCTATAACGTATACCTGGTGGAACAATTGAATCAAAAAAAAATGATGATAAAATGCAAGTGTGGCATCATATTGAATTAAAGTCAACATGTCTTTCTGTAAAGTGCGAATTACAACTTGAAAAAATAACGGGATTTTTCATTATTTTTCTGTTATTTTTCTGCCACATTCGTGAATCGTGTAATAAATATTATTTGGTAATATTAGTCATCAAAAAAAAAACAAATTATTTTCATGTGTAGATCTATGACCATATAAAAATCAAATGAAATGAAAACACTTCATTTGTCAGAAATAAAACATCCTACACGACATGATCATGGACCAAAGAAAAAAATTACATCCAAAATCACATCCAAATTTTTTTTGTAGGCTAGAAAAACAGGATTTTTTTTTGTTGTCGATGATCTGTGTGTAGGATTTGAAATCTTTTAATAAACAAAAAAAAAGAAAGCGAAATCAAGATAGTTATTCCCATTAACTAACCTATAACCTACCTGAAATGGTTAGTATGTATTTGACAAAAGTTTGACTAAAAGTTGAAAGAAGATTAATATCATATTATAAATGATCATTTAATAAAATGCATGAATCATTGTCGAATAACATTTTTGGATAAAAAAAAATGAAACAGAAAAGAAAGAGTTGATGATGACATCTAGATCGATCATTAAGACTATCATCATCATTATCATCATCAGCCTTATCATCATCATGGTCGGCCATTTGTATTTTATCGTGCTGAATTATTTTTCGTTTGAATTTTTTTTACTACCCGAAAAACTTCCTGACTTCCTGATATTCCTTCTTTCGATACGGAATAGAACATACCGGACAACATAAACAACAATTATTATCATTTTGGTTTTTATCTATATACATCATCCATGAACAATACGGACCAATACAATAGAGATTTGTTAGTGAAAATTGGCATTTGAATTGTAATTTTCTTTTTCTTTTTTTGCCCTCCGTCATTGTTCGTCATCAAATGGTTTTTTCTTTTCTTCGTGAATGTATTCGACAGAATCGATTTTTTTCTTAGCTATAACACGACATAATCATACAATAAAAAAAGACAGGTAGTCAATAAAAATGATGTGTTAGTGCAAAATTATGCATTTAATACATATAATGATTATACATGGCTTGTTATAATCATAAAAGTGATCATTACCGATCATCATCATTATCAATCAAACGACCTTTAAAAAAAGTAGAAAAATAAATGTGATCCAAATTTACCAGGATTTTCGACCTTATTTAAATCATCATCATCATCATCAAAATCATCGTCAAGGTTGAACATGCATACAAGAAAAAAAGAGAGATAACAAATATTAAATCCCTACAGGTTTTTAATGTCCATCATTTTGATGATAGTCATCATCACCACACGGAAATGATGATAACCATAAAGAGGTGTTGGTCATTAATTTACTTATGGCAGAATAGAGTTGAAATATTCACGATCATGAATGATCAATAATAATCATCAATGAACATTTGGAAAAAAATGTGAGTAGTATTAAAACTAAAAAGCCAGAAAAATACAAATAGACTCGTTTAACTGGATTAGTCTAATTATACACAATCACAAGATATTGAAAATATACAAGTTATTTGATTCATCCTCGAGACATGTGTGTATATATTCTTTTATTTTTAAACATCAATATCATCCGAATGTATTGGTTAAGGTATGGCGGAGAATGAAAAACAAGTCATTTTTCATTGACCTAAAAGCTTGATCATCACATCATATATTCACACTAATAATACCGATACCGTTATACTTGATTGGTCATCATACATAGACCGGTAACTCTAAAAATAATTTAACTTACTAAAAAAAATGTGATGATGATGTTTGAGCTGAAAATGTTTAAGAACTTGGTTACTTAGTTAGCTGTTAGTCAAGGTAAAAGAAAAAATAATAATGTAGAAAAGAAGCCTGATGTTTAGGTCAGTTATGGCCATTGGGCATAAATGCATTTTTAAACATTTCTATTTTTTCTGGATAAATATTATGATATCTACTTTACATTATTATTAATATATACCAATATTTTTAGAATCGGGTGAAATTTTTTTGAAATATTCAAGTTTTTTTTCGGTTGCTCTCTTTCTTATATCTAATTATTGAGTGCCTCAATTTTAATGTTTAATTTAAGCATAAAATAGAATTTTAAAATGAAATTTTAAACTAAAAATTTTATGAGAAAAAGAATTTTCTCAATGATAATAATATTAATATGAGAATAAATAAATAATAAAGTGATGATGGATAAATTCCAATCAATCAACTACCAATAACAACGATAATAATAATCGGAATGTAAAAAAAAAAATAAATCTGTAGACAAGTGATGATCGATCGATTTGTAACATTTAAATTTATCGAAATTGTGACCTCGATTGTTAAACTAAATCAAAGAAAAATTTAATCGATTCAATAATGATTGAATATTATTACACAACTTTAATTAATCAAAATGTTCAATTATTTTAAGATAAAATTTATATATCGATTAAATTATTTTGTTGATTGATCATCAGCCAAATATTCAATATTCGACAGGTGTGTGTGTTTGTGTGTGCGTGTCACTGTGCAAGTCTAATATAAAATTTAAAAAAAAAATATATAAATACCAAGAAAATAAACAAGATTAATGTGAAATGTAAAGGTTTGTAAACAAACATATCCAATTTTTTTTTTAAATAAAAACTTACCGCCTACAAATCTGTGCCGCTCTGCGCCATGAATGACGTAGATTAAAAAAACGATAACAATAAATTCCTTCACGTCTCCAATCTATGGTTTTTATTTCAACCAATATCAAATGAAAAAAATGAGAAAAAAAATTTCAAAACCAAACAAAAATTGCTTACCTTCGGGACAATGAAGAAAATTATCCGTACTTATTGTTTGTGACTAGAAAGAAAAAATTAAATAGATCAATTATCATTATGAAAAAAGATATAGATTTTAGATTTTGTTTGTGTAATTTAAGTTGCTAAATCATGGTCAATGTCAATTGATTTAGAAAAAAAATAAAGTTTTTTAATTTCCCGTTAGATTCGACCCAAATGAACAAACAAACAGAAAAAAGACAAACAAAAACAATGGTCAATAAAATTCAATTTAATCATTTTTTTTTTGTTGTTGCTGAAAAAACAACAAAATTGTTAATTTGATAAATCAATTTTGTCATTTTGTCAAAATATTTTTCATTTAATTGTAATTGTTTTGGACGAAGGGAAATCATCATTATCATCATCATTGATAAGACAAGTTCCAATGGAAATGATTGGGCGTCACACACATATCCAAAAAAACTTTATCTACTCTTTTTTTTCGTTGAAACAAATACTAATGGCCAGGAAAACAGAAGAATGAAACATAAATAATTGAGCAAAAATAATACAGCAAACGCAAACAAAAGTTGCAAGACATAACTTTACGATTGACTTATTCATTCATTCATTCATTCATTCATTAAGTCAGACACATTTTCATGTTCAGGAGCCCTATCATCATCATCATCATCATTATCAGTTGAATTCAAAATAAAAATCCATGATGATTTGTAAAAGATATTCCTCCCAAACATACTCACACATAAAGTGAATGGCATCCATTAGTCTGAAAAAAATCACACAAGTAAATGGACATAAAAAAAGATAATGAAAAACAACATTATGATGATGATGATAGTTTTCATTCACCGATAATGATTCATCAGTATTATAATCTTCACCGAGTAAAAAAAATACTTTTCTTCTGTATCAAATCAATGAATATACGAAGAAGATTTTTGTTTAAGGGAGAAAAGAAAATTTCAATCACCCAATCATCAACGATCAAATGATCGTAAAGAAATGAGGAGACAAAAAAAAAAATATCCATATCATAAATCACCGCATTTTGGCGAAATGAACAATCTATAAAAGATCGACAAAAGGTCATTGTCATCAATAGATGATTATCATCATACGAATCATTTGTCCATAACATTTGATTATGCACAAAAATATTTATGAAGAATTTTATCACTGACAGAAAAAAGCAAGTGTTCAACAAAAGGCGAACCCCATAAAAAAATGATTAATTACAAAATGTTTGATTGATTGATATTCGTAAATGACAACTATTTAATAATTCCATTATCGATTTTGGAAAAAATTGTCAAAATTTACAGGTGTGATGATTCACACTTTTTTTTGTATAAAATAAGCATAAAAACAATAATAAGCGATAACAAGCTACTTAATCATGCATCACAATTTTGTTTTTTGTTTCATATTTTTGACAGCTGATCAAAAGAATTGATTGTCATAAAAGATTCACGGTTTATCATCATCATCATCATAATGATGCTCTTATTATTCTAGATTCGATGCATATCTAATCAGTTATTTTCAAAAAAAATGAAACTCTTTTTTTCTTGTTTTAAACTCCTAATATGGTGTTACAAGAACAATGGATCACACAAACAATAATGACAGCAACAACAACCATTATCCAGTGAAGAGTAAAAAAAAATACATTCAAATAATTGTACATTATCATCAGCATAATAAATGGTTTGTAAATAATAATAACAGAATAGTGATGACGCGTGCAACCATCACTTTATTTGAAATATTTTCAAAAAAAAGGTTTCATTTTAAATTTCTATGAATGAATGAATGAATGATGAAATATAAAACAAACAAACATCTATTCTCATTTCATTTCATTCATAAAAATGATTGAATGGGAGACATAGATATAAGAAAAGCAATACATAAAATCTATAAATAGTTAAAATTTAACACAAACAAACCTAAATTATGAGGAATGTCATCATTCAATTTTTTTAAAATTCATTTTTATTGTTGTTGTTGTTAAATTGAACAAATTACAACAATAAAAATGATTATATCGATTTACTACTATTTGGTGTTTTCAACTTTTTCCCGTTGATGACCGTTATTTACTTATTACATGCATAGGAAAAGATCATTTTTATCGATATACAAGAGATCACCACAAACATCACCATGGTAAGTATATTATCGGAAAAAAATCAGGAAATTTTCTATAACAATCAATGTTTACAACAGATCAAAACAGATATCATAACTGTCATTCAATAATAATTCAGGAACCGATTTTGTTTCATTGTGATTGGTTAAAAATCTTTATGAAAAGAAAAAATTTTCGATTGTCATATCAACAAAAACAATGATGAAATAAAAATGTATAATTCATAATCGTTTATGATTAATAAAGTTATATCCGGGAAAATTTTCTAAACATTGGTGAAAGAAAGATTTTGAATAATATGATCATTGCATTCATATTGCGATATCAAAATGTTTGATTTTTTTTTTGTTCTCTATCTTGAATCATTATCATCATCAAACCTTTGGTCATCGTTATGATCATGGTCAATTACATATCTGCATTCTAGGTAATTAAAGATCATTTTTCATCAGATATTTTGATTTTTATTCATAGAAAAAAATCAGAATCAATTAAGTGAAAAATACTGATGATTTTTTTTCTGTGGTTTTTTGGGCATCAGACTAATTACTAAGATGGTCATCGTTTATCAAAATGAATTAATAATAATCATGAAAGAAAAACAAATTGTTTTGAATAATGTTTTTTCCTGATTGAATAGAATTAATTTGCATAGACAACATGATGTTAAAGTAATTCATATAGAGTATGAAAAGGATTAATTTTGTTTTTTGTTTGAAAAAGGGCCAAGTTCAACAAACAAAAAACTAATAATAATAATAATAAATCCAACTTTCGAAATCGACAAGATTAGAATCGTTTCAAATCTCGGCAAGGTTATTTGCTATTTTTTCGAAAACTACATTGACCATCGACTCGATGAAACATCAATTCAATTTGAATTAAAAATAAAAAGACAACAGACGTGAAACAAATAAATAAGAAAAAATGAACATCATGAAAAATAATCCACAATTCATCAGAGAAATGAATGTCTGAGAAACATCAAAGCAATAAAAAATGAATCACTACAATGCCAAGATTACGACATTTGCAAAAAGGGAGGAATATGCAAGCACGAAAAAAAATTTAAAAATGAAATTATTGAAAGTTTGAAATAAAAAAAAAATGCTGAATAAAAACAGCAACAAACATCATGTAATAGTATGAATATTGGAGAAAAATTATCATTGTACAATGATCAATTTGAAGATTCTATGTCAAATATCTATCGATGACAATGACGATGATGATTTGACCACCAATTTAGTGATACAAATTGTAATTCGTTTAATGATAATGGAACTATTTAAGATAATTGTGTATTATTTTCTTTTGTGTATGTGTGTAAAGTTTTTTTTGCCGAAACTGACAATAATAATTCCAGTGAATAATTTCCTTTTTGATCATGACAATTTTGTTTTGTCGTATCAACTTACATCCCTTTTTACGTATTCATCATCATCATCATCATGTCCTACTTAACAATAATAGTTTTTCACATATGAAAAAATGACATCCAGTTTTTACATTTTTTTTTGTTTTGTTTTCATTATGATCATTTATCAAATGAAATAAAGAAAAAAAAATCCACAGGATTTGATTATAACAACAAAAAAAAGTTCATTTGATAATGTATATGTGAATGATGGGCGGCAGTAAAAGCGAAGACAAAATGTCAATCCAGAACAAACAATTATGTGTCATTGTCAGTTATATAATGTTGGACATAATCAACATCAAAAAAAAAATGACCAACAGATTAAAAATGTTTATGCGTTGAAGCGCATAAGTCACATAACATCGAATGGTAAAATGACACACACATATACGAATTTCTTTTCCTCAAAATTGAAATTTTGTTAGAAAAAACTGGATAATTGTGCACACAATTCACTTTGATTTCAGAATAGATCTGAAAGTGTTGAATGATTCATTCAACGCTACAATAATGAGATGATGATTTAATTCTCAAAAAGTAATTATCATCATCAATGACAAAAAAATTGAATATAATTATCATCGATCTAATAATTAGCAATCGATAAAATTTAATAGACCGTCAAAAACTAATATTGAAATGTGACAAGAAAATAAAAAAAAAAGAACAAAATCACAAAAATTTTAAATTAACAACCAGACACTTGTTGAATACATGTTGTTGAACGGAAATTAATTCGGAAACAATTCCTGAAACAAATTAACTAAATGAAAAAACGTGTCATACACTTTTGTTGTATGCGTGTAAACAACAACTTATTATATATTTATACGCGTAAAAAAATTAAGGCTAGGCCAAATGATAACAGACAAACAAAAAATTACAAAGAACAAATTTTATTATTATTATTATTAATGTACTCGAAATAGAAATCAAAGTATTAACAACAACAAAAAAACTGAAAATCACCATGATTTGGTCAGTTTTTTTTTGTTCATCCATTGAAATAAAAATTCTATTAATAGGATAGACACGCAAACACGCGAATATTTTTTTCACGATAAATCATTCATTCATTTCAATCACACGCCAACAATAGTTATTTTTTTCATATAAAATCGACAAATTTTTATTCAGTGAGAGTGTTCATGTGCCGGCATTATTGTTTTTTTCTCCCGATTCATTCGAGCCCATTTTTTTCGGATATCAAAAAAAAAATTGACTGAGAAAAAACAATTGCCAGGCACCTTTATCTTTTATTTTATTTTTTATTGTTGTTGTTCTTGTTGCATGTCATTCATCCGAAAAAATAGCTAAAGCAAAAGGATAAAATCTTTTCATTTACACGACAACAACAACATGAAGAAAAAAATGTATGAGAAAAAAAATCCAACTTGATTCCGCCAGATAAATTCGGGAAATTGATCAAAATAATATATATCAAATATGTGGCGAGCGAAATGAAAAAAATAAAGTTAATCATTAATATTGTTCAAGTTTGGCCAATTATTCAGTTCTGTTTGGTTGTTAAATCGATTGAATTGAATGTAGTTCATATTCAAATGAATTGAATAGATATATGCTAAATGAATGTTACAGAAGAAAAAAAACTTTTGAAAAAAAAGACGAAAGGCTTGGCCGATCAATAGAAAAATTGTGCCTTTTTGTTGTTGTTGTTGTTGAAAAAACATGATCAAAAAAGGAAACTAGCAACGATTCAATGATACGGAAGTATAAATTTATTGATAATAATAATAATGATGATGGAACCAATATCAACAAATAGAAAATGATTTTCGTGAAAAAAATTGAAAATTTTCAATTTTAATAAACAATCTCAATTACCGACGACAAGACATACACATATAGTTGATATCAAACATTAGTAATAAACAAACGATAATATTCCATTGAGATGCATCATTTCATATTGATTAAACAAAGTTAACAACAACAACAACAAAAAATCTCATCACTTGATCATTCCACTTAACACTTTCTCTCAATCTATTTTGACCATTTTTCGGAATTTACAACCTACAGAAAAAAAGATAATTCACATCTTATTTTTATTTAAAAATTCAATCAAACAAATGGCCAAGTGGCGTGTACGTTGGAATGAAATCCCATCAAAATAAGATGATAACTTATTTTGAAGAACAAAAAAAATAATTTTCCACTGTAAATATTTTTCTCTTGAGAAACATAAATTTTTTTGGGAAATATCAAGACAATTAATCAAACGTATTTTGTGTCTGTTTGTATGCGAAAGTGATAAGTGAACTTACGTTTTGTGCCGTAACCCGTGCAGGTATAATCGACAATGAAATAAAAATTGTGATTAAAATAAATAAAATTTGTAATGAATAATTAAAATGGCTATGATTTAATATAAATGGATTGAAATGATCATTGACATTAGCATTGGATTTCGATCGTTTTTGTTGCCATTGTTGATATAATAATAATGGTGATGACCATTGTGTTGATGAAGATTTTTTTGATTTCAATTTTGTTGAAATATATTTTCTAGAATTCATCGAAAATTTTGATTTATATGTGGATGGCATTAATGATGGTGATGATGATGGTAGACAATTTGGTGATGATGATAGTGATAGTGATTTTCTATTTATGTCGTGATCAGATTGTGTTGTAATGATGGTAGAATTGGTTGGCCTCGATGTGAATGATGATGATGATGATGTCGATGATGATGATGATGTAATGATGATGGCACTATTTGATGATGGATTGTAATTTTGTTGTTGACCATTTTGATGGTGACGATTACGGCTTTGGCTAGGCCGAGCCGTTTTTGATATCGTTGTTGATGATGATGGCAGCATCATTTTCTTTTATGATGGCAATGATGATCTTGTCGTTTGGTGATTGGATTGAATCAAGCCAAACCGAATTTAAGATTCAAAAAAAAAACACTCAAGCTGAAATTGGATGACCAAACACACACACATAACATCAAACAACCATAGGGAATGAAAACGATATGATGATTTATAATGATGAAGACGACCTTGCCGTTCGTTTTGGTTCAAGACACAAAACAAAGAAAAAACTGTGACGATATTTTAGGTGTTGATCTCGAAAAAAATCTGGTTAAATTATATTTTATTTGGGCCAAAACAAAAGCTGTGAAAAAATAGAAAATTATAATTAAAATTAGCTTCTGATTGTTATTACAACATTCATTCATATTGTTTGTACAGGACAATATCAATAACAATATGATTGGACAATCACACGAATGATTATGAATAACAAAAGAAAAAGAAAATTACGATTCGATACGAATCAGATGTTCGAGAGAAAAAAAGAACAACTAAAACTTGTAAATAAGACTAGTAATTATCAATGATACGGCAGTGTATTAATACCATAAAGAAATGATGATAATCATCATCATCAAAAAACGCCTTGAACACCCTGAAAAAAACTCACAAACATTTCAATGGTCAAAAACAAATTTGACCAATCATTGACCATTACATTAATTGATCCTTTATTTATTTTCCATTTGAATAAAACTTACATTAATTGCAATTGACAACATAATGATGAATGGATTCTTGATAATAACAAGAACAGCAAAAAAAACGTGTCAGTGCCGGGAATCGGCAGTTTCATAATTTTTACAATATTAATGTTCCATTCAATTCATTACATTCATACAAACACAGATACACTTTTAGACAAGCAAAATTCGGATGATCACAGTTTTTTTCAATAAGAAAATTGATGGCAACAATGAATATGACATCGGTCAAAACGATGTATAGTTGGCCGACAATGATGACTGAAACAAGGAATTTTCTTCTTCTTCATCATTTCTTTTCCATAGCACTATCAAACAAAATTTTTCTGTTTTGTTTAAAGAAAAAGAGTCTATTTCTCTCTGGCCAAATATTAGCTTTCGACAATTTGATCTCTTTCTTCTTTCTGCAATTCATTCATCTTTCTTTCTCTCTCACTCTTCAAGTAACAAGAAACAGGTATTTTTTTCATTTTAAAATGTATTTCTTCGAAAACTGTTGAATATTTTGAAGACAAGACGACCAAATGCAAAAATAATCATTGAAGGTAGTAGTGGTTTTTCATAAGAAAATTCTTAAAGTTCCTTATTTTTGCTTTGTGTTGTTGTTTATGTTAGTCTAGATCTGACCAGGTAGGTTTTTCCACCAATATTTGACAGGTAAACACACGCATGCAGGTGGTATGTTATTTTTTAAGCTGCTGTTATTATTGATGGTGGTGGTGGTGGTGGTGCTCGTTGTTTGAGTAAGAATGATTATTATCAATGATGATTATGATTCGCCGTTTGAATGAATCGGTCGAACTTTGACTTTGATATTAACCACTTCTTCATGGTAGATTCAGTGCAAAAAACCAGCTCATGAAAAAGTTTGTTGCGGTAAACCTGTTAGGAGAAAAAAACTAACAAGGTAGTTGACCATCATGATTGATTCATGCATCAGAAAATTTTCTGTTTTTTTTAAGAAACTCAGTTCATAAAGATTTTTTTTCTTGCTATCATCCGGATTTGAATGGTCATCATCATCATCGATATCTTCGGATGATAAAACGAATGATGATTATAGGGTGAACCAAATTATAAATGCCGGACAAATTGCATGTATGGAATGTCACCGGAATCAACAAGGTATAGGAAACTAACAAAAAAAAAATCAGCCAAATTTTGTCATAGAAGGATGTGTCGACCTTTATGCTGATCGGTGATAACTGGAAAAATATGTTATTTTTTTTCGCAAATCTAACCGAAAATATTAATTTAAGATTTTGGAGATTTGTGAACAATTTTTAATTTTAATCATCATGATCATCGTATAATTAACTTGTTGAATAATGATGCAAATATTATCTTATGATCATAATGATGTTCAACCTAGCTAAAGGCCTATTCTATCCTAATGTCCAGGTGAAAAAAAAAGAAAACAACAAAAGATGCATTTAAATTAATAAATCAAATAATTTCGATTAGAATCAATCGATCAATGAATTAATGATGACTAGTGTTTTCATCAACAACAAATGACTATGATAATTAAATTATCATCAATGATGATAATACAACAGTGAAAAAAACATGGGTATCTGAATGTTTTTTGACGAGGTTCATTGAATCATCATTTTTTTTTGCGTTACAAACGGTATCCAGGGTTTTTCGATATTCACGATTTTGTTTTGCTTCCTTATATGATTGTTAGCATAAGTGATTTTTTTTTGATTCAATCAATTGATTTTGCCAGCAAATAATTCGAGCATCTTTATTACGAATGAAATTCGATTCTATATAACAATCATATAATTATAGATCAGCAAAAAAAACTGATAGTAATTTTCAACCTTGAATATCCAAACTTTTGAATATCAATCAGGAAGAAGATTCATCACCCACAAAAAAAAATCAGATAATGATCATTTCATTCAATCAAAAATGATCGAATAGAAACCAAATTTTTTTTAAGTTCATCCAATTACCTGTGCAAACGCGAATCGATTTTTTCGAAAAAAAACTTATTATAACTTGAGTTGTTTGAGAAAATGAAAAATCAATTTAATTCGCTACGGAATACAACAAAAAAAGGTGATATCTCATTATCAATCATCATTGTCATTGGATATAATTTGTCATTCGTATTTTGTTGATGGCAAACAAAGTTTTTGTAGGCAATTTTCAATCACCATTTGATTTTTTGAATAGAATGAAAAGAAAATTTAAAACGTTAAAGTTACACAACAACAACAAACAATTCAATCGTAAAGAAAACATTTCGGAAGAATAATAAAATTGTGTGAACACTTTGTTTCCTTTTGTTTGAAAAGAATAATGATACTTATTCAAAAATGATAGGACTATTATTGGACCCCGATATATAGTTTTTTTTTCGATGAAAATGTACAGATTTTTAATGAATTTAAAATTTTAAAATCATTTCAAAAAACAAGAATTTTATTTGATAAGATTGTCAATGTTTATCAAAAAAATTGTCCCTGTCTGTAATAAATCAAATCGAAAATTTCAGATTTTTGATTTTTTGTTTTGAAAAAAAAGGAAATTTTGTTTGACAAGTTTTTCCAACTGGTTTTATTCACTATATAGTTTTTCAACAATCCTTTGATGATGATGATTATTATTATTCAATCGATAAACATCATAATGTCGTTGTTTTCATCTTATCAATCAACTTTTTTTTTGGTTGATTCAAAGATTTTTTTTATTTATATTTTTAGAAAATATTTTTTTGTTCATTCAATCACAATCTATGTTTGCTTTGATTTTTTATTGAATAACAATCAGAAAAAAATCAAATTTTTCTTTTTCATTCACCATTGTTATCCATTTATTTTAAAGTGATGATGGTAAAGAAAAAAATCACGATTTTTTTCTTGTTTATTTGTTCACCCGATTGTTTAATCAGATTATTTTCCATCGATCAATTCAAGATGAGAATTTGTTTTGTTTTTTTCGCAGAAAAGCAATTCATTGAACAAAAATATGTGCGGTATAGATTTTCATAAATTTATTTATCATTTGAATGAAAATACGAAATAGAAAAAAATAATTCATTCAACCTAGATTGTTGTTGTTCGATTTATTCAATTATGTAATCGATCGATTGATATTACTCAGCAAGCCACCAAAATTGAATGCATTTAAATGTTCCGTAAAATTAACCCAGAAAAAAAATTCATCCAATAAACTATTTTTAAGAAAAGAAAAATATTGTTGATTAATCTTCAATATTTAATCGATCATCTAGATTAGATCACATCTTCGATATTGATGATGATCATCAAGGCCATCAAGATCATTATTAATCGATTGATTATTGATTATCATCAAAAATAAAAACAGAGAAAAAAACCATTTACTATATAACGATAATAATTTATATCTTTATCGATCTAATGACTAATCGATGAATATCGATACAACCGGTACCGGAACCACATACTATCATTTTGAAGAGAAATTTTCTTAAATTAATTACTTTTTAATAATTGATATCAGAAAAAAAATAACATAATCAATCTCTTTTCATCAACATCATTGATGGTCGATTCTCGTCATTTCAATTCGATTTTCATAGGAAATTTTTTCGTCTGTCGATCAGATACATCGAAAAAAAATCATCGTCCTAGATTATATTATGATGAGTGAATGATGAAATGGTAGCCGTTAAAAGAAAAAATCGTCGGTCAACTAAATTCAGAAGATCCAGTGTGTTCATCAATAGACCGATTTAGCCTTTTTTCTCTTATTTCACCAAAATAGCAAAAACTTGATGCAAAAAAAATGAGATGAGGTCAAACTCGATACATGTATAGCCGTAAAAAAATCAGACATTCGAATCATTTGATTTTGAATGAGTAAAAATAAAAATCCAGGTAATTCATTACTCTCGCTTGCTTGTTTGCTTACCTCGATCGTTATTCACATACACAAATAAACATACATTATTGCTACTACCAGAATGGAATTCGATTGAACTTTAAAAATGCATCAACTATCATCATTTTAATCAGATACATTTCATCCATTCAGTTTAAAATCAAGACAAAAACAACAACAACAACGTTGATTACAGAAAGAAAAAACCGGTCAAACTGATTCCATCCATTCCTACAAGATTTACTAATATATCAATGATATCAATATTTTGTTTAATGAAACCGTTATGAAAAATTTCCATTCACATTAACTGTATGAATGATGCTGTTGGCCTGTATTATTTTTTTCTTTTATTTTCCGTCGTCGAATCTTCATCAGCATTGAATGTGTCAAATAAGTAAAAAAAAATTCTCGAAAAATGTTTTTCATTTCTTTTTTTTTATTCAAAACAACAACAAAAAACTATTAATACTACAAGGTTAATTCGTTGCTTTTCCAATGGTTCGTGCACACCTTTTTTCTCCATCTCGATTCGTATTGCAACATTTTTGTTTTTTTTTCGGTGGGGAATTTTCTGCCCAAATCTCTTGCAATCGATTTGATTTAATAAATTTTTTCTCTCATTTTTTTCGAAAGAAATTATACTTGGAGAAAGATTAAATCACAAAAAAAAATTCGATCCAGATTTTATATAATATTATAACCAATGGAATATTTTTAACATTAATTAATTATGCAGCCAATCATGATGATATTTATGATAAGAAATATTTAACGGGATGTTTTTGGTCGAAAACCTGTCCAACCAATGTCGTCCACTCAATGTTGATCATAGAATAGTTCAAGTTTTTTAGTTTGTCATCACTAATGTGTTACATTTCATGGTAATAGACGGAAGAAATTTTTTTTTCTTTCTGGTTAAAATTAGTAACACTATACAACGTCCTGAATCTAAAATCTTCAAAACTTTATCGAATTTATCATTCGTTTTTGTGTGTAAGCCATAACCCAACTTATTTTCAAACTGTTGCTTGGTTTTTGAAATTTTAATATTTTTTTAAAAAACCTTAAATTAATAGATATTCAAAATAACTGGAATTAAGTTTTTTTTTGTAGAGAAAATTTCTCAAAAAAATTCAAATCAAACTTTCTCTTTATTATTATTATGTTTTTTTATTGTTATTATTTTTAAAATCATTTTTTCCTTGCTAAAGATTTTATGAGTTTTGTTTGCTCATTTCGTATGTAAATATGTTGAGAAAAATGCAATGACATTCGTATTTTTTTATTATTTATATTTATAGAAATGTTGATGCGTGTTTATTTTATGTGGTATGATTATAATGAAAAAAAAAATTTTATTTCAAGTGATGAAAAAATGATTAGTATTTCCTTTTATCTTATCTTGACGTCTTGATAATAATGACATAATTGATAAGATGTTGGATTTTCGATGTGTTTTCAGGTATTTAATCCTAGATTTAGGTCCATAAAATTGTTATTCATTCGCTTCTTTCTTTATACCTGTTGTTGATCATCTTCAACAAAATCTTGTGCTTCTTCTTTCGTTACCACTTCAATATGGCTGACCTAGATTTTTTCATTATTATTATACCAAGTGAATAAATTTTGAATTGAAAATGAAAGAAAATAAAATGATCAAAAAGGAAAATTATTATTATTGAAAACGATTCAAACAATTCATCTAACACATTTACCCTATTCCTAAATTTAACACCATAAAATTTATCCGCTTTCTCTAGCAATTCCGGTCGAAATGTTGTTGTAATGAATTGTGCATCTTTTTTCAGCTCACAAATCATGTCTGCAAACACAAGCAAACAAATATTAAGATTCACAAAAATTAGAATGTAAAACAGAGTTAAACATACCGGCAACGGCACGACGATGTTGTGGATCCAATGCCTGATCGATTTCATCAAATAGATAGAATGGTGCAGGATCGCATTTCTGTATGGCAAATATGAATGCCAATGCTACCAATGATTTTTGCCCACCTGACAATTGTTGCATATCTTTCATTTCGGCATTCGAACCAGTGAACGAAACTCGAATACCGACTCCAGTAAAATTATCAATTGATGGTGTGGAATAATTATCATTATTCTTATGATTTTGCATTGAATCATCCACTTTCATATCTAATGATGCACGACCATTCGGTACGAGTTTTTTAAAAACTTCACTAAAAAACATTGATACCTGACGGAATGTAAATTGTATGGCCTCATATTTTCGTTGTTCCAATGCGTTCATAAGATCAATGATCGATTTATGGCTAGCATCTAGGTCACCTTTCCGTTGCATTAATCGTTCTTTTTTCTCACTAAAATCCAAATATTGATCCAATGCTTTTTTGTTTACATGTGAATATTTCTGTAGCTCTTTATTACAGCTTTCCAATTTTTTATATAGCTGCTTTAACGACAGGTTATTGTATTTCATTTCGGCATCGGCCGGCAATGTACCCAATTCACGTATCTTTCGCATACATTCGTCAATCTTTTTGCCCAACATTGAATTTTTCGATGTAATCTTATCAAGATCTTTTGAATCTTCATTAATCCGGTCAATCGTATCTCGTTCTTCACTTTTTTTCTTTTCAATTTCCATTTGTAGTTCTTTTTGCCGACGAGCCATTGCATCGATGTTATCCTCAAGTGTTCGCATCTGTTCATTAACAGCTTCAATACGATTTGATATTACGGATAATTCTTGACGTTCACTTTCCAATTTCTGTCTTCGATCTTCAACAGAAATTTCCTGTAAAGCTGCTTCGAGTTCATCTCGTCGGCGACAAAGATTATTGTTCAAAAGGTTTTCGAGCTTATTCTTTTGTGCTTCCAACTGCATTCGCCTGCTGAATGCTTCTTTATTTTTAACCGTTAATTGACGAATTTCGTCGTTAAGACGATCAACTTCTTGCTGATCCTGAACAGATAAATGTGTCAGCAGATCTTGCTGAAGTTCACTTTTCAACGATTCTTGTAGCGATTCCATTGAGCTTAAATTTGATTCATGGCTTACTAAGGATCGTTCTTTTGGCTGCCGTGATTTCTCTATAGCGGCTAATTCATCTTTCAACAATCGTATATCCGTTTTCATTTTATCAAACGTATCTTTGTTCTTGCTATTCTTTGTTTCCGCACGTTGCATTTCGCTGACAAGTTGATTAATTTGTTGTTCAACATCATTTAGCTTTTCATGTAACGTATCTAGTTTTTGTTTCTGTTCGGCAATATCTTTCATCAAAGCTGTATGCGATTTATGTAACTCTAAACGAGATCGTCGGGTATCAAAATAACCACCAGTAAGTGAACCTTTATGAGAAACTTGATCGCCATCTAACGTTATGCAATCAAGATGAGAACTACGAGCTAATGATGTTGCTACTTCCAATGAACGACATATTAATGTTTTGCCAAATATGAATTTCATGACAGTATCATGTTTTTTGTCGAATGTTAATCGTGAAATCATCGGAATGGCATCCTTGTTTTAAAAAATGATATAAAACAAAAGATTCAAAGGAAAAAATAAAGAATACATACAGGAGTTTGTGGATAATCAATCTCTTTGGTGAAAAGACGGTTGATCGGCATGAATGTTACTTCACCAGCCAATTTCATTTTGTTCATTTCCTGCAATATACGTGTGCCGATCTTGTCATTCTCAACGATATGATGAAACAGTTTGTTACCGGCCGTCATTTCGATGGCCGTATAAAATTCTTTACCACATTCGAAATTTTCTATTAACATTCCATAGTAACCTTTGACGATTGGTTCATAAGACCCACCACGTTCTCGGAATACTTCCAAAACTTTCTGCACTGAATCTCGACCATTCAAAACGGTTTTTCCGACCATCGAACGTAAAAGCTGATCCTTTTTGGATTTCTCTTCGATCAACATGTTATAATTCTGTTGCAGTGCATTTTCCTGACGCCACATTTCACTATTTAAAAGAAAAAATCAATATTTTGATCAAATGGAAAAATTAAGGATAACTAGGCTTACTTTCGTTCATTTTGTAGTGTATCTTTTTTCTTTTTCATATCATAATAGGATTTGTTTTGATTATCAATACTTGATCGGTTATTTTCCAATTCTTTTGTCAATTCCTATGATTAATTAATTCAATTTGTTATTAAATTAACATAAACAAGCATTTTACTTACATCAATTTTGGACTCAAGTTCTTCTTTACGCTTAGCATCACGTTTAAGATCTTCACGAAGACGATCAATTTGTACGCGCTTATCTTGTAGATTACGTTGAAGTTTTTTCAATTCATTTTGAATCCATTTATCACGTTCATTCTTCGATGTAAATTGGCTACCACGACCTTGTTTGGCATACAATTCCGAACGTTTTTGTTCTTTAAGACTTAGCTCTCGTGTACATTCTTCTTCAAGTAATTTCATTTCTTCATATTCAGGTTTGATTTGATTCAATTCATTTTGTTTTTCAGCAATTCGTTCTTTAAGATTTGTCAGTTCAGCTTCGGCTCGTTTTTTTGAACTTGTATCGCCTTCGACTTCATCTTTAAGGTCTTTGATATGCAATTCCAGACGTGTTTTTTCTTTGACAAAACTTGTGTGTTCGTGTTGTAACGCTTCTTTTTCATCTTTATATGTTTGAAGTTTAGTTTTTACTTCACGTAGATCACGACTTAAATCCTTGATTTTTTCGGTTGATAATTGAAGTTGTTCCCGTAGTTTCTCCGTAACCATACTACTCGTTTCGCGACGGCTTTCTAATTCTTTTTGTCGTTTGCGTGAATCTTCCAATTCATTATTGTAGATTGTATATTCAAGTGCACGGCGCATTTTATCCCATTTTTGATATTCTTTAAGCTCTTCTTTTTCACCTTCAAGGGTTTGTAATTTTTCTTCAATATATTTGATAAGATCTATTATTTTTTCCAGTTTATTTTCCGCTTCTCTAAGAGCTACACGTGATTCTTCCTTACGTTCATCATAGATTCGTGTGCCGGCAACTTCACGTAAAATTTTCAACCGTTGTGGATCTGGTGCTGTAGCCATTTGATTGATTTTGCCTTGTTTAACAATGTAATATGGATTACTACGAGAAAAACCTGCACTTTCCAATACGTTCATAACATCGGCACGCGTGACAATTTTTTTATTCAAATAATATTGATCTTTTTTCAATCCAATTTGACGTCGTAATGTTACTGTTGATTCATCGATCGGAAGACGATTATCCGAATTGTCAAAAATGATTTCCACATAGGCAATCATTGTTCGTTGGCCTGGTCCTTCATGCAATAATTGTTGACGTTGATCGGGACGTAAATGAGAGAATTCATCGCTCAAAACGAATTGAATGGCGTAGAAAAAATTGGATTTTCCAGAACCATTACGACCAACGATAACATTATGACCGGGACTGAAAGGTTCGACAACCGTTTGTTCGCGGTATGAACGAAAACCGCTAATGACAACCTAAATCAATAAATCAAATCAATATTATGGAATGACTACACTAAACCTTTCATACCTGTTTAATGAACATGTTTATTTAATTTAATAAATAATTATGAAAAATTTTGAAAATGATATTAAATAAAATGCTGATGACAATTGCTGGGTATTTTATGACGGCATTGTTTCAAACAAACAAAAAATTGGCGCGCTCGATGGATTGCCGGTTGGGTTTCGATTATGAGATCAGCGAAAAAAATTTGTTTTTGGCCCAATTTATTTATAAGCTGAAATGAGGTTTGCCTGATCTAATTTTTTATTATTATTCTAATTTGATGGATTGGGTTTTATCTAACGATTACATTGGAATATGAGCGCGAACTTGCCAACAACAAAATTCGTTCGCTCCTGAGCATCAATATGGTGGTGGGGATGAACCAGAACATTCGAACATCCAATTCATACGTTGATAGTTATGTATTCCAACATTTCGAATATCTAATTTCGGATATCTAATCTTTATTTTCAATCAAAAAGATTAAATGTAGTTTTCAAAATTATTTCAAACAATAAAAAATATTTTTTTTCTTTCAAAGTGATTTGAAATTCAAATCTTGCAAATAAAATGGAATTTTTATGAGAAATTCTTTTAGAATGAAAAAGTTTTCGAAAATAATTAATTCTCAGTTTTTAAGTAAATTTCCCGGCAATTCATATTGTCAGTCAGCAAGTGACCAAGCAAAATTTTTTAATATTCATTCATCATAAAAATATTTTAGTGTTTTTCAATTTGTTGTTCAATTACTGATCCACTAATAATATCAGCGTAATGGCAGACACTCTTTTCACCGATAGTGGCCGATTGGTCAAAATGGAAGTCGATTATTCTGGAACCGTCGATGAAAAGCTTCCAATCTGTGAAAAATTAGCCAAAGAAGGTAAATTGAAAGAAGCATTAGATATATTGCTTTCGTTGGAAAAACAGGCCCGTACCGGATCCGATACTCATTCGACTAGCCGAATATTAATTGCTATAGTTAAACTATGTTTTGAATCGGGTGATTTTAAGTTACTCAACGAACAGATCGTGACATTAACAAAACGTCGTTCGCAAATCAAACAATCTGTAACAAAAATGATTCAGGAATGTTGCAATTATGTGGATAAAATCAAGGATAAAGAAACACAATTGAAATATATTGAAACATTGCGAACAGTAACTGCTGGTAAAATCTATGTTGAGGTTGAACGTGCCCGACTTACTTTGAAATTGGCCCATATGAAAGAAGCTGAAGGTAAAGTTGATGAAGCGGCCACTATCCTACAAGAACTTCAAGTTGAAACTTATGGTTCAATGGAAAAAAAGGAAAAAGTTGAGATGATTCTTGAACAAATGCGTCTTTGTTTGGCACGTAAAGATTATATTCGAACTCAGATAATAAGCAAGAAAATTTCGACAAAGTTTTTTGATAATCCTGAAATGCATGAATTGAAATTTAAATATTACATGTTAATGATTGAATTGGATCGATCGGAAGATGCTTTCCTTAACATATGCAAACATTACATGGCCATTTATAACACAGATGCGATCAAAAATGATATGCAAAAACGTTGTTCGATTCTGAAAAATTGTGTTGTCTACATTATTCTGGCGCCATACAATAATGAACAATCCGATTTGATTAATCGTCTTAAGCTAGAAAAACCAATCAATGAACTTCCCAATTATTTGGAAATATTGAAATTATTTACTACTTGGGAATTGATACGTTGGCAAACGTGGGAAGCATCCGTATCACAATTACTACGTACGGGTAATAAATCAAATGATTTTGAAGCCGAACCAACCGGTGTATTTCCATTTAATGATGAAGGAAATAAAAAATGGAATGTTCTTAAAAATCGTGTTGTCGAACATGTAAGTGTTATTAGAATTGAAAACAAATTTATTTTTAAAGCATTCAATGATTTTTTTAAAAAAGAATATTCGTGTTATGGCCAGATATTATAGCAAAATCACTTTGAAACGAATGGCTGATCTATTGGGATTAACACAGCCTGAAACAGAAGAAGCATTAAGTCAATTAGTTGTTTCAAAAACTATTTGGGCTAAAATTGATCGATCATTAGGTGTTATAAATTTTGAACAAAGTAAAGATCCTAATGAAGTACTAAATGATTGGTCATCAAACATTGATTCATTAATGAATTTGGTTGGCAAAATGAATCATTTGATCAATAAAGAAGAAATGATTCATCAAAATTATGGTGACATGATGACTGCTTAAGTATTTTCTTTTAAATCTAAATTTTTCTTTCCTGAAAATTTGTACAAAATCTTTTGAGATTGAAATTAAAAAATAAATAAAATTCGAAATTATTTTATAACACAAATGCCATCTATCAGTGAATTTAAGCAAAACTTATGCGAACAAAAGAACTAATACGCTGCCAATTCATTCAAGGCTTTTATCATCATCATCATTATTCTTAGCCACTACCATAGGTTATTGTTCGAGGTAATAAATGCTAGTTGTGGTAGTAGTTATCTCAACCAACCGACCGACTGATTTTTTTTTTGGATGAGAAAAGATCGACCAAATCACAAAACCAAAACTAAAACGAAAATATTACGCACGATTCTCATGCACACTGTGTGGCAACAGACACACAAAGTAAGTTGCGTCGACAAATAAGCCATTCAACAGCAGCAGGCCTGCTTTTTTGAGTTTTATTTTCATGTTATTTTTTTTTCGAAAACAGCAGCAGCAGCATCAACATCAGCAGACAATAGCGTTTAGTTAGTTAAAATAATAATTTCCTTTAGCTAAATTTTTGAATATATTTGTTTTTTTGATTTTATTTTGTTCAATAAATAAATAATTATTGATTCCGGTGTTTATGATTATGTAAAAAAGAAAAGAAAAACAAAATCATTATTCACTACTTCGAACATCATTATCAAGAAATTCAACGAATCCGAAAAGCTCATCATTCGAAGATTCTTTCGAATTCTCTTTTCGGCTTATTTATTTTCTCGTTACAAATCTTATTTTTTTTATAAATTCACAAATTGACAGAGTAAATATTTTATTTGTTTGTCATGATTAATAATTTCATTTTAAATTTTTTTTTTCTTGAAATAAATAGATTGTTAAATAATTTAATATTATCTTGAAGTGTGGATTTGATTGGATCTCGTCCACAATAACAAACAGTAACAAAAAAATATCATGGCTGAATTACAGTCAAGTTTATTACTGCGAAAACAATTAAATGGTTGGTGTACTTGACATTAATTATCGATTAATAATTGAATAATTCCTGTGTGTAGATCTAAAGAAAAATCCTGTTGAAGGATTTTCCGCCGGCCTTTGTGATGATAGCGATATTTACAATTGGGAAGTGCTAATTATTGGTCCACCTGATACTCTATAGTAAGTGACTTTATTCTTTACTCGAATCGATTAATATTAATTTTTTGCCGTCAACATTAATTTATAGTGAAGGAGGTTTCTTCAAAGCAAATCTTACCTTTCCAAAAGAGTATCCATTAAAACCACCTAAAATGCGTTTTCTAACCGAAATATGGCATCCAAATAGTAAGTATTGTTCGATTGATTTTGGTTAAAAAATTCCAACTTTTTTTGTTTTTTACAATTAACAGTCGATAAAAATGGTAATGTTTGCATATCGATTCTTCATGAACCTGGTGATGACCGTTTTGGTTATGAAAAAGCATCTGAACGTTGGTTACCAGTACATACAGTCGAAACGATTCTAATCTCAGTCATTTCAATGTTAGCCGATCCTAATGATGAATCACCAGCCAACGTTGATGCAGCGGTATGTAATATCGAATTGAAATTTCCAAGTTTTTTTTTGACAGTAAATTAACCCTTACAGAAAGAATGGCGTCAAAATTATCCAAATTTCAAAAGGAGAGTTGCTCAATGTGTAAGGAAAAGTCAAGAAATGGAATAGCTGAGGCCAATCATGTATATTAAATGATGGTTTGAAATATAAAAAAATCAACTTTTTCAAATAAATTGTTCTTTATAGGCAAAAAAAAACTTTTACTTGATGATTAATATCTCGAACACATACACACACATTCAAAAGACCAATCACATGAATATAACAACAATAACAGCCATGTTTTGAATTCCGGGCTAAACAGATAAATAAAAAACTTTAAATGACATTCATTCTCATCATCATCATATGATTGTCAAACAACATTGAATTTCAATTAATCACATAAATTGTAAATTATATTACAATGCAAATTTTCACTTCACATATATGAAATTCGTGGATTTTGGATTGGATATTTAGATCTTCCATATGTATATTGAATGATAAAATCATTACTTTTCCGAGAAAATAATAAACATGGTCGTCACACATTCACATACCGAAACACACACAAATTCATTTCCTTGTAATTACTTTTGTAACTACATTCAATAATTATAATCTATAATTTTTAAAATAATTAAATCAATTCTTTTTCAACTATTTAATTGGAAATTAATTGAATAACAAAAAAAAAAATTGTTCATTGTATTCAAAGGGCCCAGCCGGGAATTGAACCCGGGACCTCGCGCATGTTCTTTTTAATTTTAAATCAAATTTCTCATTATTCGTGTTATTAAAATTGATAGAAAAACCCGAAGCGCGAATCATACCCCTAGACCACTGGGCCCAACATTTATGTTAGCATAGTAGTACCGGTTTGGAACTGATAAACCAATTTATAATAGATAAAATTAACCGGAAATTTCTTTATCATCCTAATTAATTAATTTGATTATCATGTCGAAAATTCTTCAGTGCTTCAGTAATCATAGTTGGAAGATATTTTAAAAAAGGAAGTGTTCAAAACGTATTGTTCATAGTCGAAAAATTAGTAAAATATGCGAAGGAAAACTTTCGGAAATTCTCGTAAAAAATCAAAAATTTTCAAACAGTTCCAACAATTGTCCATGGATGGCGCAATTGAAAATAATGTTTCATGTGAGCCCTCAATTTTTTTAGGTTTTTTATTTTACGAAAAAATGTCTTCAGATTAATTTTTTTCCGGTTATCCATTTAATTATTTGGTTCGTTGATAATCATGTCAGCTAAACGTGGTAATAAAAAACATATGGCTCCATTGAGTCAGGATTTCTTTGCTCTTGGTGGTAAGTTGATTAATGGAGTTTTGTAAAATTTGATTGTTATAAACTCATTCTTTTGAATTGAAAAATAGCCACTTCTTCGTCATCAACAAGTCAGGTAAAATTGCCGGCAAAACGTAATGAACCATTTCAAGCGCCAATATCATCAATGTCTCCGAAGCGTCCGAAACTTAGTTCTCCGATTTCACAATCAATGGTTGTATCTTCGGTTCAACAGCAACAGGCACCATCCACATCGAAACTTCGATCATGGGAAGAAAAAGCAATGATAGTACCTACAACCGAATTGAAAGATAAAATCCTGCAATTCGATAGTGAATCCGATTCTGAAGAAATGATTGAGCGTTTACTGTGCGGTGCAGTGAAACAATTACGTGAACAAAAAACAAAGCCGGATTCATGTTTAGTTTTTACGTTGCTATATCTTGCTAAAATAAGGCCATTATTCTTCTGTTCAAACATTATTGTCGAAGCATTTGCTTCATTGTTGCGACGTGAACATTTGATTCATTTCAAATCGAAAAACAATATGGTTCCAGTATTACTTATTAATCTTTTTTATCATGCATTTCATGATGAAAATTCATGGCCCGAATTATTTATACGTTTGTATGTTGAAGATTCACTTGGTGATAGAATATGGGTGGATAATGAAGAATGTAAAGATTTTGTCGAAATTATCGTTGCATCTTTCCGCACGAAATTACCTCCAAAATCTTTGCTGCAAACTTCGGATGTTTTGAACATAACATCCAAGCATCAAATGGAAAACTCTCCAATTCTTTCTCTTGGTTCATCTTCGGTCGGTGAGGACAGTGTGGGTGAAGAATCTTGTTCGTCAACAACATCGTTATATTGTGAACAAAATCGTGAAACTGGTCAGCAATCAATTACATCCAGATATTTAGATAATGAACAAAAAATCATTCATTATGTATTCGAAGTAATCAATGAAAATCTATCACGAAGACAAACCATAAGTGATATTAGTCGTAATATGCTCAAATTATTGATAGCAACAGCAGGCTTACGGAATGTTCGTTTATTGGTTGCACAAAAACTTGAATTATGGTTTCAGAATCCTAAACTTTCAAGACCGGCACAGGATCTTCTACTCACTATATTTTTGAATTGTGATGATAAAGATGTTGAAACATTAAATTATTTGCTCAAAATTCGTTTGAAACAGAAACCGTTTATCAGTCATTTTTGTGTTTGTTTCAAAGAATTGCTACAACAAAAGAATGGAACATTCGATATTGTAATGAGAATTTTGCTCACCAACGAACTATCCGGTATTCGTAATCTGAACAACATTCAATTGCTTTCCATAATGTTTCAACAGAATTCATCAGATGCTCCAAAAATTTTGGCCGAATTTTTCATTTCAAGGATTTTTACCAAAGAAGATCATCTGCGAATATTGCGTTCTCTTCTTCGTGAAATTGTTCGATCATTAAAATCTGAACCGATGGATAATTCTCTTTTTGTTACCTCATTGATCTTTGAATCTCAACGTATCATGCTGGATAACAACATTAAGATAGATTTTTCACGAGAAAAAGTAATCAATGAAGTTGTCGATATTATAACAATGACCATATTCTTATCGGTCAATCAAAACGTTCGCGAATCTTTTGCACGTCCTGAACGTAAGGAAATAATTCGATCATTTCAGCAGAATATCTCACGTATACAAAGCAAAACAATTGAATGGATCAAGGAAATTACTTATAATAAACTTGGTCTTGGTGATAAAGAATCATTGTTACGAATTCTGCGTAAATTATTAATCCTCGAACCAATGGATTTTTATTGTCAACTCGATAATTGGCCACAAGAGAACGAACGTCTAAATATTTATCGAATAACTAGCGAAGGAATTCCATTGGCCGAAGAATCAATAACGAATATCCTATCAATGGGTTTTCATCGAGAAGTTGCCCTTTCACAACAAGATGGTTTTGAACTTATTTGGACTTTAATACATCATGCAACTATGAATTTTGATGGCGATATGAATCATGAGGTGTTAAGGTTCAATGATCTTAAAATAATAGATATGCTTTTCAGTTGTTGTGAATATGTATGTCCGGATAATGCTCCATTGCCGGAAAATTATATGCCTCCCAAATTAGCTCGTGTCGATCTTTATTGGAAAGTTTGGTTCATGTTGGTAATCATTGCCGCTCATCTGCCAGTGACATTCGGTAAATCGATATGGAATGCATTCCCTACATTTCAAGCATTAATCGAAATGACCATAACAAATTGTTTTCAATTTCCACCGAGAAGCATGGATAATGATGAAATGCAAAACAAAATTCTGCAATATAATCAGCTTGAAAAGATGAGAATTCTCGAATTTGAATCCTATTTGGCACGTGATCAAGAAATTAATGAATCTAATAGTTATTTGATTTCATCGTTAATAACATTGGATCCATGTTCTATACCACGTCGGCCACCTAATTCTATATTGAATGATTACAAATTATTATGTACGAGCAATACAAATTATCGTTTGTGCCATCTTCTATGTCAAAGTCGTGACCCAGATTTTCTATTGATGATCATCGATAAACAACAAAATCATAGTTCTGGTTCACAATTTTATCATTCATCATTGAATTGGTTGATTGATCTGGTTGAATCATATGAAAATAATTATGGTCTATTACCTGTTCAATGTTTATGTGAATTTCTGTTGAAACAGATTGCCGAAGAAACAAATGTACAATCTGCAAATACAGCCGATTTAAGTAAACCGGAAAAAACAAAAAAGAAAGATAAACGTCGAAAATTAATCCGTTTGATTGCCTATTTTCAGGATGATATTATTCAAACTGCAAACTCAGGAAAATTAAGTAATGCATTTGAATATCTGATTCGTCATCTAAGCCATCCACGTTCAACTACACGAATGTTTGCGTACAAAGCATTATATGTGATTGTATCGACAAATGTTGGAAAATACCTACAAATGTTGGATGATAATCTAATGCCTTCATTGTTTGTCAATGAATCTATTGATTGGTTTCGTACAAATCTAATAAAGTTTCTAAAATCTGATCTTCAAATTCAAGCCATGTGTGCTGCATTAAATGTCGCAATATCGGAAGAATCAAATGCATCGCTTATCTGTGAATATTTGGAATTCATAGCCGAATTTGTCAGAAATCCAGATGAAATTCTTCTTCAAAAATGTTCATTATTATTGATTAAACGACAAAAAATCGCTATGCATATTGTTAAATATTCGGATCATAAATTTAAGCAAAGATTTCTTCATTCTTTATTTAAAATTTATTGGCTTCATTTGGAATCATTAATGACTAATAAACATCAAAGTTCAATTCGACCTATGGAAGGAAAAAAATATGTCTATTTAAAATTGCCCAACATTGGCCAACGAATTATGATCGATTCTGAATTAATTTATTCAATAATTTTATCATTATCATTTGTCGATGATGATTTTGAATTTTCAGATTATTATGATAATCTTGCACAGCATTTTCTTGATGAACCATATCCACAGATATTTGCCGAACCCGAAATGAAACAACCAGAATCGCTTATACCTGAATGGCTTCTATCTCGGCTACTATCAACTGAATCGACAAAAATTGTTGCCCTATTGTTAGAAAATGTAAAAATTGAAAATATTATTCCTCATCTAAATTCATATGGTCTATCTGCCATTGTTTTACAGTCAGTATTGCAAGCATTAGATAAGCTAAGTGCTGCTGAATCGAGGGCGATCAAAAATTTAAATTTTGATCGATCAAGTTTATTGGCTGCTTTCCATGTTTTCTGGAGTAAAAATATCACCGTTGGATATAAGTTTGCAAAAGGTCATCTTAATTACAAAGCGGGTAGTGATGAAAATGATGATATAGAAATCAATGAATTGCCAAAAAAACGTGATGATCGATCACAGGAATCATGTCACCAAACGTTCCGCAAAGATGATGTTATCAAAATGTTTCAAGATAAAGATTTCATACGGTTGACATTTCTTACGAGGCTTATCGTTGCCGAACTTAATGATCCATCAGTGAAAACGAAAAAATTGACCAAACAATTTTTAGCTGAATTTTCCAATTTAATCGAAGATATAACTGAAAATATAATGAATGGAACGTTCAATTCAATTTTCAATGTAATTATTATCTCTGCCGTTAAGGATAGTAAACATTTTGGATTGAATTCCGAATTAACAAACATAAAAAAACAATTACTTTCACTTGAGCTGGAAAATATTGAATCGACAATGCTTTGGAAATGTTTTGATCGTTTTTTACATAAAGATGGTACAAAAACAAAAAAATCTAAATTGAAGAAGAAAAAATTGCCATCATCTTTAAAATCGACCAAAGCGCTGGAAGAATTTTTGCAAAAAACTGATCGTATTAAAGCACAAAATCAAGATAAATGGATGGATATCTATATGGATCTGGCCATTGATAAATATTATCGAAAAGATATTGATTCGGAAAATTTTAGTTCACATCTGCAAACAGTCATTTTTTCACGAAATCGTCCATATTTTCTATCGTTATTATTACATAAATCTAATTTTTCAACTCTTAGTGATTGCATTTGTTTTATATTGAATCCTGATTCACAATTGAATCCAACGGCAGTATTGGATTTCCTCGCCATTTGTATTGAATTACCAAAACTATGGATTGGTCGTGAAAATGATTCGCAAAAAGTGCAAAAATATGAAGATGTACTTGATTTAAATCGAATACAGATAGAACGTCTCATTAATTTTGTTCTTGAAGAGAATGATGTATCAAATCGTATCGATCTGATCATGCGTACTTGTTGTATTACATCAAATAAAACGGAAATGGTCATTCGTTTTCTCAAAAATTCTCATCAAGAATCTATACGAAATGAATTGTTTGCTCGAATTTATCTACAGATACCTAGTATAGGATTAGAGCCAAAATTGTCTGATGATCATGTTCGTATGATACAAAAGCTACCAAGTTTTATGGATAAAATCACTCATAATTTAATAACATCGTTCATGTATGTCGAAACTAATGGACCACAAGTAGCAGCACAACAATTTATTTATTGGAGTGATGCTTTACTTAAGATCGCCTCTGAACATCCATTATTATTTATACGACAGTTGCCAATGATACCGGCTATGCTTCGTGGTAAAGTTAACGTTGTACACTATGATATCTTTAAAAGTTTGAATTTGTTGAAAATATTCAGTAAATTATTAAACATTCTGAATCTTCTTCGACCATGGCTATGGAATCGTAATGTTAGAGATGTGAAATATTTATTAGATCTTTATATGGATATGTTCATCTCGTATTATCAGCTACCACGACAACAAGAGTCTAATCATGAATTACAATCATTAATCGTTCAGTTTTTACATCTGATAGATGATTGGAATAAACATGATTCAGAACTATCTAGCCATTGGATTCAAATGCATAGGAATGACTTTATCGAATTATCTATTGCATATCCAAATGAATTGAATTTATTCCAATCAATTATGTCCGGTGTACCGTTGCCAAATGAAACTCAATTCATCAAAGCAAGCCAAGATTATCGTTCATTAGAAATTAAATTGAAATCGCCAACTCGATTGTCTAATGAAATTATAGCAACCACGTTGAGTGAAATAAATCGATTAGTGGATAAATATCCAATATTAGGTGAAAATTTTCTTGTATGTATTCTATTTTGTATGACAAAAGAGTATTCATTTTAATTTTTTATTTTCATTTCAGAATTCGATACAATCCTATTATTCGAATCCATATTTTTGTGAACTTTCATTTACAATCACATTGAAAACATTACAAACAAATCCAAATCTTGTACGGACAATCATATTATCGTATGTCAAATGTTTACACGATGAATCAGCTACAGTAACAAAAAATGCATTGGCCATCATACCGGAATTCGTTTTATTGGCTCAAGGTAAGTCTTTTGAGGCGAATGTATTGCGCATAACATTTTATCTTTTATTATTTTGCAATAGATTACCGTTATCTTTTGTTGCGGGAAGTTTTTGATTTGGCAATTAAAGGCAACTCTACTGCAACTTCTACTCTTATCGAAAGTTTTCGGGCTTTGAATTCACAGATCGGCTGTTGAAATCTTATGATTTGAACATGATTTTTTTCTCATTAAAATTCTGTCAATTTTTGTCAAATTATTGTATGTACGCAAATGTACAATTTCGAAACAATTTTTTTTTTGTATTTAGATAATAATTATATCGACTTTTGTCATTAAATATTTTCAATCATCGATCGATAGAAAATTTAATGACTTTTTTGTCGAAACTCTGAATTATTAAATAAACAACACAATAAATAAAAATTGAATGATTTGTAAATGTTTGTTGTTTTGTCTCATAAGAATTTTGACGATGGGAGATATATTTGAACAATTTTGTTTGGAAATAAGCCCAAATCAAACGATAAAATTTTCTGATTATACAAAATCACTTTCATTGATTGATGGAAAAAATCAGACCATTGGTTCGGATTCTTCTCACCATCATCGATGTCATTTACGTTCAACGGTTTTTCCAACAGAAGTATGTTTTTTTCTATAATAATGAAAAAAATGAATTCATTTTCGTGATCACATTTAGTTTTTCACTTATAACAATCATTCTTTTATTTGTACACCAAATTTGGAGATATATAGAATTCTTATCAATCTTTACAAATGTAGGTAAGTATTGTAGCGAAATTACTAAAAAATATTTTCATAACAAATGAATCAATTCATTTTAAGTTTAACATTTATAATATCTGAAAATAAATTTGGAGGATATCTTGTCAACGGAACATGGGTAGGAATATTGCGATTGTTTGCCGAAAAAGTAGTCGATTTTATGCCACATTTTTTTGGTCTTCATAGTCATCGAGAACAAATTCTTGATACAACATTTTTATCACATTCGGTGTACGAAGTCGCCATTGTTAGTAGTCCAAGTTATCTATATGCTACGAATCCATTACAAGTTTTTTACACATTTAATTCCACCATATGGTTGTTATTACTGACCGGATTCATTTGTTATTCAATATCGCTATTGGCTGCTGATTTAATCATCCGAAATCAAAAGCTATCTATGCGTCATTTTTCAGATCTCAATTTTATTTTATACCGTTCACTCATCGGACAAAGTTTAACGAAATCAACCCATCGTCGAAAAGTTATCAAATTGTTACGTTGTTCATTGTTAATATGGATGCTGGCTACATTATTATTACGAAATTTATTCTCAAATGATGTAATGGCATCATTTTTAGCCAACAAAGAACAAATTATCGATCGTTTTGATCAATTATTGATGACTGTTAAACGAAATCGTGATTATCGTATCATTGTTGAATATAATTCATCAAGTGAAAGATTTTTTTTAGGGGTATGTGATGTATTAAATGTTGTTCTCTTTTTTGAATGCTTTTTCTTTAAACCTTCAAGAGATTTCCTCATCTTCAGCAACGAATAGTTAGAATTAATCATAATGAAGTTACTGAAGCCAAAACGGTAGCGAAATTATTGAAAGGCAAACACGTATTAATCACTGATCGCTGGAGAGGTTACATGATTAAAAAACTTTACCAAAAATTCGATATACATGTATCTGATGAGGGTTTCCTTCAAACATTTGGTGTTTTGCCCATACGTAAGGATTTACATTATTTGGCCAGGATGATGTTGGTAAAAATGAGTAAATATCTTTCTCAAACTGGAATAACCACTAGATTAAGCGATGACTACACTAAATATCGATCTAATAGAAATTCAATCGAAAAAGAATTAAATGGAACTACTGAATATGACGATTTTATAAATAAGGACATCGATCGAGAATTGACCGAAGCCGATAATGAAGATGATGAAGAATACCTGAACAATAGAATCATATCAATCGTTTATGTTCACATTTTGGGCCTTACATTATCGTTGATAGTTTTCATTGCTGAATCATTGCATGCATTCTTTTGGATTAAAGGGTACAATCAAATACAATCAAACATATGATATAATAAATTTTTTAATGATAAATGAGTGTAAATAAAAACGATCAACTAAAATAACCACCACAGCATGTAGATGTTGACGAATTTGTTTTCGATTCAAGACTGATCGATCTTTTCGTTTTATTCGATTCCCATAGACCAGGTGTTTGTAGGATTTTTTCGACCAATTCTTCGAATGCACAACCGACTTCTTCACGTGTTTTGGCACTTGCTTCGATAAACAATGTATTATGACTACGTGCCCAACGCATACCTTCATGTAGCGATACTTCTCGATTATCTTTATCAATCTTATTACCGACTAACATTTTAACAATATTCGGTTTATCCGCATATGCATTTACTTCATCTAGCCAACTATCTAATTTTTCGAACGTTTTTCTGGCCGTAACATCATAAACAAATATAACACCATGTGCACCACGATAAAAATTTGGTGTCAATGCACGAAATCTTTCGGAACCAGCGGTATCCCAGATAGCTAGATTGAGTAGATTTCCGTCAACTTTGATTTTTTTCGTTTTAAAATCAACACCAATCGTCGCTCCAACATCGTCCGAAAAGGTATCCTCAGTATAGGCAATAAGAAGGCTATCAAAAAAGGAAACTTATAATTAGAAATAAACAGTTGATAATTTTGAATCGGAACATACCTCGATTTTCCAACAAAACTTTCACCAATGATTAATATTTTCAATGTTGTCATAACATTTTCAAATTCATCCATTATATTCATATTTTTTCAAGTTTTCATCCAATCGATATCTTTATCATGATTATAATTAACAAATGTTAATTACTGTTGATGGTTAAATGACATTATTGATACTCACTTGTATCACAAACTATGACGAAATAATGACGACGCGTAGTTTGCTTCCTAACCAAAATAATAATTTCGATCAATGACTTTGTAAAAAACTGATCATAGATGGCGACTAATCTTCAAAGTTTTATTTTTTAAGTGGGAAATTTGAATTTTGAAATTGTGAAAGAAAAATTGAAAATTTTCTGGATTCTGACCTGCGATACATGCGAATAATCAACGATAATTTTCCTTGCTTATTATTCTGATGATGATGATCATGATCATAGAAGCGAATCCATGGAGAAAATTGGCATGGATTTCTCATCATCATATTTGTTTTGTTAATAAATGATGGCCATCCCATTTTTTCACTTGAAAAATAATTATAACTATCATTGTTTTTTGGCAGATACTAATTGTCATCATTTATTTATTTTTTGTTCATAAACAATAAAAATATTAAAACAGAAATAAGATTATCTCTTTGTTATCTTCATGTTTGAAGAGAAAAATAAAGAAAATATGAGAATTTTAATTTATCAAAATTGTTTTCAGCCTATTTCGTAATAAGAATTGCAATTAAATAGCGACACAGTAATTGTCACTTTTTTATGTCCAATGTCTGACCTAACTTGTGAGATGGACAACAGCAGTATTTTATATCACATAATCTTCATAACATATCACATTCTCATTATGATAATATTTTCAAATTCATCAGAATTAATAATATTTTGAAATCTTCTAGAAAATCACTAAAGGATCTAGCCATTTAGTTTCATTTTGTTCCAACATTATAATCAACATCCATTGATGGTCATAATTCATATCATCTGGATTTTATTTCTTTTTTTCCAATCAACATTTTACCTAAAAAAAAGAAACACATGTGTTTTAATTTGTGCTTGCTCTTCATTTCAATACAAGTTTCAAATTCATCTTTTTATGATATTTTTGTGAAAATAAAAATCAATAATTTTTCTTTTACTTTCAAATCCAAATCTTTAGCAAATTTACTATTTCATGTCATTGATTTATTAGTATGATTTCAAAAAATAAACGGAAAAAATAAAATGATAAAAAAAGAGAACAGTTTATTTGATACAGGTGTGTGTGTGGATTGAAAGTTTCTCCTTCGATCAAACAAATGAAAAACCAATCATTTCGTTCATCATCATCATCCTTACAATCTTAATCACCATAATACTTGATGTTTTTTTCAGTTTCTGTCCAGTTTTTTTAATATCCAAGTTATGCTCTCTTTCTCCTGTCCATTACTTGCCTGCATTCGATATTACATAGTGTTGGTGATGTTCAATTAGATCAAAAAAAAACGTTAAATTTTTTTCAACAAAAATTAGAAAAAGATACCTGGCCAGTGTGTGTATGTTTAAGATTTTTTAAAGAGTAGGTAATTTCATCATCAACATCAACAATGTACATTAATACCCGCGTTTCTTTTTTGTTGATAAGCTAAATACTAAACATCAAAAATTATCAAAATTCAGGTATGGTTTGAACATTCTATACAAACAAACTGTTTGCCATCAATACATCCATCCATCCATCTATACAGGCAATTGTAAATAGGTCCTTGGCATCAAAATCAAAAATCAAACAACGGGATCTATACATAATTCTTTTATATGGTCGACATTTTTCGAAATTTTTTTGTTTGTTTGTATTCAAAAACGAAGGCTGATCAGCCAAAAAAAAACATCAAACTACATTTCATCTTTTCACTCAAACTTGTGTTGGTGGTGATGATGTTTAATTTGAATTTTTTTTTTCATTTACTTTACTTGAAACAAAATTGATTTGATTTGTTTGGTCAAACATCAATATAAAAAAGATCAAGATCTTAAATATATGCTGTATTTATGTTGTGTGACATAAAAATTTGCAAATCAAGATCAAGATCTTAGTCTTCTTTTTTTTCTCTTACTGATTGATATCATCATTATCATTAATGAAAACGAAAAAAATGCATTCATTGTGTGCCCCAAAATGACCGACTTTGTCATTTCTTAAATGCTATTGCTGTGTATGTGTGTATGTAATCGACCATATTTTTTATGAAAATTTTTTCCAAATTCGATCAATAATAAATGTTGTCCAGCAATCGATATCATTTGACATGATTTCAATCATGTGAAAAGAATAAATGATTTTTTCCGAATCATCATCATCATTATCATCACGAATGAATCGGAATTTTTTTTTCACTTCTCATCGTTGAAGGTTTGGTTTGTGAATATTTTTTTCCGTAATCAAAATGATTCACATGATTTAATTATGATGATATCGTGTTATTTTAACGTTCATTGTCCCCATTGAAAAGTTTATTCTCGAATTCGTAATGAAATTTTGCATTTCGGTTGTTTGTTCATAACGAAGTTTTCTTCAAGTAATATTTGGCAAAAAAATGTTTGAAAATGAATGATTATGGATTTGGGCACTCTTATTTTATGAATTTTGTTTGTTTTTGTTAATCGTCATTCAAATTCGACAATCGAGTTCAGAACTAATATTTTGTTTGTGTGTGTAAAATTTTCCGTTTTCAATTTTTTTTTTTGTAAATTTTAATTTTCAAGTTTTCATCTTTACTATCAGAAAAAATGAAAGGCCCATGGAGAGATTGTGTGTGGAATAAATTATCTGTGATCTGCTGATGAAGCATAAATATAATGGTTACTATTACTATATGATGATATGGTTATAACCGTTTCGATGGAAATCTAGATTGAATCAAGCCATGCACTATGTTTGTGTGTGTTTTAATGTGAACGACGAATATCTTTCTGTTCCATTTATAAAATCATCATTCAAATAGTTTGCCATCATCTGTTTTGGAAATTAAAAAATAATTTCTTCTTTTTCAATTTTAACACCAAATCCAGTATATGCGTCGCGTGCTTCAACGAAATTGATCATCATCATCAGCATCATTTAATTGAGATCATGATATACCATGTATACCGATGTTTAATTTTTCAGTTGCTAAAATTTCAAAACAAAAATAAAAAAAAATTCATTATAAGATATTTTCGGAACTTTCTTTTAAAATAATTTACCGAGCATTCACTCAATGATTTTTGCGTGAGTTTTATTTAACCGACCAAAAAAAAAACAACTTGTAATTAATTTTTCTTAGAAAAATTATACAAAATTATTGATGGTGTACACATTGTCATCATTTTCAATCATGATAATGATGTTGGTTGAATTTGTTTTTTCAATACACAAAAAACATCGAGAGAAAAAAAGGAAAACAATTAAAAAAAACTTTCAGGAAACATCTTTTCTTCCGTTGAAAATAACTTTGTCGATGTTTATTTACAGCTGTACAATTAGCACCATTTCTCATTATCATTATCCCTCCCTCTCTCTCTTTTTTTCTTTTTTTGTGTTAGTTCGAATATACATTGTTTGTTTCGAATTCTCGAATTTAATCATGATATTTTTCTTTTTCTTTTTTTTTCATTGTTATGTCATCATTTTTCGATTTCTTTGTCATTGTATTGTTCCACTATGTCAATTTTGTTTTTCACTAAAAAAAACTTTTTCTCATTTATACAGGTTCACCATTCAAATAAATGATGGCGTAATAATGAGATCGAAATCGAATTTCAATTAATTTACATTGAAAAAAACAATCTGATTGTATAACAATAGTTTTGAAATCAAGATGATCAAATAATTAGAAATAAAAAATGTTTGATTCATTTACAAAACGATATCCATTTTCATCATCATCATCATCATCATCCATATCAGTATCGAAACGAAAATCCACTTCAAAAACGACAACGACTACGATCAATGAAAATCATCATCAATCATTATTGGTGGATAATTATCGGCGTACCGATATCAATGAACAAAATGAACTAGTCAAAACTTTAGATTCGTAAGTAGGATTTTATTATTATTATTATTTTTCTTGCCCTTGTCTTTTTTTCCGATTTCAAACATTGAATAATGTTACAAAGTTTTTCTTTCATTCGATTAACGAATGAATGATTCAATTCAATCCGATGATGATAATTCTTAGATTTCGAAATTGATTGAACATTGCAAAAATTTATCTGAATAAAAAACAAAAAACAATTCTCCAAAAAAAAAGATTTGTTGCAATTTGTTTCATTATATTTGACAATCATTATGATCATCAGAAATTTGATGATCATCTTTCAGCAAAAAAAAAATCCATTTAATCGAGTAAAATATACACACTGAGAGGAGATGATCCAATGAAAGAAAAAGGGGCAGTTAGCCAAGATATCAAATTAGATTAATCAATAAAGAGTGAAAGAAAAAAAAATAGATGAATTGAGTTGATTAATTTGTAATAATGATGTTTGTTGTTGTTGTTGTTGAAAACTAGGTCCAAAATTGTTAAATTTCAAATAATAAAATTAAATCACGAAAAAAACTGACAAATATGAGAGAATCTTAGATTAAAAAATATATCAAAATTTCATCAAAATTAAAATGAATGAAAAAAATGGCAAAAATTCAGTTCACTCACACAAAGTGATTACGGAACAAAAAATGAATGATGATAATGGGCAAAAAAGTTTAAAAGAAATTTAAAAAAAAATTTGAAAAAAATGAACATCAACAATAAAAAAAAGTGGAAAATTGGTCAACAAAAAAAAATTTAGTTGATTATGATGATGACCAACAACAACAACAACAACATGATTTTTTGATGGACCGTTGATAATTTCAAAAATGATTGTATTTGTGCATGTGTGGTATGTGTGGAATACGAAGAGAGAAACAAAATTATTCATCCACACAATCCATTCATCATAATCATCATCATCATCGCTGTGAATGAAAATCCATCCTGGATTCATTTCTCATTTGATTCATAGTTGTAGGAAAATCTTATATAAGAAAACTTCTGAATGTTGTTGTTTTGTGATGTGATCCATTGTGTGTGTGTTGACAATTCTTGCTTGTTCACATCATATACACAAACATTTTGTGTACCTTTTTTTCATTATCTTTAGCTTATTTATGATTTTTTTTCAGTGAATAAAATTGTTTTTTCTCCGGAAAAAATCATCACCATCATCATCACAATAATAAATGATGATTTTATTTTTCGTTTGCATCAGATTAGATTTTAATAATACCCTTTTTATGATGATGATGACATCGTGTGTGTGTGTGTGTGTGTGTGCGGAATATTTAATTCCATATAAATATCATGCTATAAGTTGATCACTGATAATAATAATATAGCAGATTATGCCCCAGATTTCCGAGACAATAGTGACAATCTTTTTTTTGTTTTTTTTTCAATCATTTTATCCAAAAAAATAATGATGATTATGTAATTTGAATTTAAAATTTTTCTTCTTTTAAACGAAGTTTTTCTTTTCTTTGAAATGCCTAAAATTAGTAAAATTTTGATTCATGATGATGATGATAATGATGAAATGTTTATTACTAAAATGATGATGGTTTATAAACACGATTATTTATCTATCACTGATTTTTTCTGAACAACATGCAAGTAAGAACAAGAAAAATCATATCCAAAATGTATTTTGCGAATTATTTGACCATAATCTTGATGATTATGATGATGAACCGTTGGTCATAGGTTTTCTCTTTCTCTCTCTCTAGGTTACGCCATCGTTGATGATGAGAAAAGTCGATCATCATTAGATTTGTTTGTTGGGTTACATGTGCGTGTTCTGTCCTAATTTTTTCTTTTCTTTTTTACCAAAGATATCCATGATTTGTCTATTCATCATTAAATTTTATTAGATTCATTTCGTTTTAATTCAATTTGAATCCGAAATTTTGTAAAAAAGAAAAGAAAAACTAGATTAGTTGTCTGGTGGTGATTAGAAATGAACAAGGATGCTTGAATTCCGGTTTTTTTTTAGTTTTCCTAGAGAAACCCATCTTTATTGATCAGATCAGTAGCTTCTGTGTGAGCAAGAAAAGAACTAGGTAAAATCTATTACATTGGAAACTCTTTCACATTTGATGATGATGATAATAATGGTGACGTTTTGTTTGATTGAATCATCGTATATTCTATTGTTATACACGAAAACACACACACACGCCTGTTTTGAATTGAATTATTCGTCAATTTTGTTTCTTTTTTTCTTGCATGACCATTTGGATCAAATGAGTTCATTGCATCCATTCCTTTTTTTATATATTGTCCATTTGTTTTGTCCCACAAAACAAAATTTGATTACCATTTAAATTAACAATAAAAATATAGATTAAAACATTTTATTTAGAGTAAGAAAAATCTATATAATTTCCATAATTGTCATTGTGAAAAAGATATCTTTTTCCTTTTGTTATCTAATAGTACATTAGAAAAATGTAAATTGATGGGACTCGAATGAAAATTTTTCCTTTTTTTCATAATGATGTCCAAATAGTGTTTGAAAACAAGTCCAATCATGATGATGGTGAATGGTAACAAAAAATTTTAAATTTTCATCTTTAAAAAATTTATTTATGGCCTAAATGACGGTGTGAATGTGAAATTTGATATCATTTTTTTCCCTTCGAAAAATTTGCCACCTTCTTCATCATTGAGATCCGAATTTTTTTCTACTCACAAAATTATCCATTGTTTTTTCCCAATGCTATTCACATCATTCAATTTATTTGCTCAAATGGAACTTATCCTTTTTTGTGCTAAATTTGCTAGGACCGATTATAAATACGGTCACCACCATCATGATTATCGATGGATACATCAAACCTTCATGATGATGATGATGGTGGTGGTTATTGTTGTTGTTGTTGAAATCAAATTCGATGACAATATTTATAACATTATTAATTTATATGTGTGTGGCAATAAATCAAAATGGATTAATTTAATGACAAAAAATTATTAACAAATGAAAATAAAAATACGAATTCCTAAACAATAGGATTAATCGTTCCACTCACATCAATAACAATCATTTTTTTCATGTTTGTTTCAAAAATCATTAATGTTTGTAATTTGATTTCGAAATTTTTTCCTTGTCAAATGAAAAAATTTCCTGTTCATGTCATTTGATTTTGTGACAAATGTATTTGATGATGACTGAAAAGAAAATTCTTACCCGATAATTGATTATTAAACATCAATCAAAATCATTGATGAAAAACGAACAAAATTGATTATTTCATTTTTTTCAAATAAAAAAAAATTTATTTTCAAAAAAAAAATCATGACGATATTTTTAGTTTAGATTTAATAATCGATAAAAAAATGATTGAACAATATGGATGGAAGACATTAAACAAAAAAAATCAATGTTTTCGATATTATATGAACGATATTGTTTTTTTTTGTTTTTGTTGCCCCATTCAATCATCATCAATATCGATCGATCAATCTGGGTTGATTGATTGATTGATTGCCAGAAAAAATTCCATATTTTTGTCTCTTCTGCTCACATCATAGGAAAAAAAGTTACCGCGCGTATATTTTACACAGTAATCAAAGAATTGGAGAAGAAAATCTTATTCGATTCGGTCCATTAATATATAAAGAATGTACAAAAAAAATTTCAATCGATCGATCGATGAACCAATTTTATTTCGTTTCTTTTTTTTTGATCGACATGCTCGTGACATGAAATTTGATTTCGATAATGCATTACACCTGCAAAAACACACACATTAAGGGTGGTGGCGGTGGAAAATTATTTTCTATTTTGGTTCATTATTATACTATTATACAATTGGATTTTTTTTGACATTCTTACATATATGATTGAATGATAACAATGGCAATATCATTGAACTGTTTTTTTTTTCAATATCGATTCCCGATTTTCTGTTGTTGTTTGATCTTCAATCAATTGAACGATGATGATGATGATGATGATAATAATAATAATAATAATAATGAGGGCCGGCAGCATGTCAGCCCTATTTTTTTGGAAGGAACACCAAAATACGAAAAGGATTGAGTGCGAGAAAAAAACCAATCAATCGATCTGATCAAAATCGATTGATTGAATTTTTGTTGTTGTTGTTGATCAAATTGTTGTGATATTTTGATGTATTTTTATGTCATGTATCTTTCAATCTACGTTATGATGACGCCAAACAGTTCTATTTTTCTTTCAAAATTTCTCATTCATTTTTGATGATGCTAATAATGAGATTGTTGTTGTTGTTCTCATTGAAGATCAAAAAAGTTCTTTCTTTTTTTTAGCTTTTATTATCGATTAGAAATGTTCGTGTGTCAAGTAAAATCAATGTTTCAAATTTGCAAATCTACATACTCAATCAATTGTTGTTGTTGTTGTTGCACAGGACAAAGATGCCAGTTGTAATAGTTTTAGGCAAAATGTTTATTCAAATTTTAGTTTAGATTTGTTGGTGTTGTTAGAACCCGTTAATTATGTATTCAGATTGACAGATAATCGACTTGTGTTTTGTGGGCAAAAGCAAAGAGAGAAAGAAAGAAAAAAAATTAAGAATAAGAACTATGTAAGTTTGTTTGATTTTGTATTGTAAACGAACATCATAAAATACAGACACACAAAAGAATCGATCATTGATCTTCAATATTTTTCTGTTGATTATAGAACATATTGGCAAAAAGCCTAATCAACTGAACATCATTCGAATTCAGCTAGTTTCATTATGATGATGATGATGGTGAGGGAGTCAACATATCCTACAACCTAATGGATTGTATTTTTTTCAAGTTAATTATCATTTTACCATCATCATCTTTCATTGAATGACTATTGTCTCGATTTATTTTAGTTTCATTTATAGCGATGAGAAAATGAAAAATAATTTTTTTTGTAGTTAAAAATATGGTTAAAATTGGGGGAAAAAATGAAAAATTCATCATCATCATCATGGAAACTGTGTTTGATTTTTCCCTTCAGAAAAAAATTCATGTTCCTATATTTAAAAACGAGTAGGATTATGACAATGATACTTTTTCATTGATATACATCCAGTGACAGAAACATGATGATGATTTTAACGAGGGGGAAAAAAGATTTTTTTTGTGTATGCAACAACCCATCAACCAATGACCAAATGAAATGTTGACCGCTTGTTACTTTCGAAAAAATACAAACTTCAACTTGAACCATTCATTTATTCATTTAACAACAAGGAAGGAAGGAAGAGATTTTTTTTTGTGAAAAAAATCCGTTGAAAAAAACATGACAATTTGATGAATTTTTTTTCGTTAAATTTTTCTCCCAGTATGTATCCTTCCCATCTCTATATATTTAGTAGCTTGATCAATCGATATTGATGACGGCCAGTCAAACTTATCAATTCATTTTTTTGGTTATATCTCGAATTTCATTAATCAATCTTGTACAAAGATGACATGAACAAAAACAAAAACAGAAAAACCATTTGGATAATTGATTAGTATATCCAGCAACATCATTATGATCGTTGCCGTTGGTCAATAAAATTGATTGACAAAGCAACGAAAAAAAATGAACCCAGGAAAACTTTTAAAGTCCGATGACCACAACATACACATATGTCGCACAGTTAGTTTCAGGTTTGCCATTCACATGCATGTCATTAAAGATTTTTTTTTCTTTGGCAACCAAAAAAAACTCGATTCTTGAACAACTCGAATTTCGCTAAAATAAATGGAAAAAAACTCGTCTTACCATGATGATTAGGATGATGGACCGGTTACCTCGGATTCGTTCATTCACACATTTAAATGATATTTATTTGTATTCAACTCTTAAAATCATACCCATTGAACATATTTAATGATGTTTATATCCAAATTTTGAAAAAATCAATTTATGAAGGTGGCTTCCAGCAGCCAACTAATCATCATCATCATCATCATTACTATCAATGGCTTTTCTGTGTGATTCTTATGTATTTGTCATCATCATCATGTGATATTGAGGATGATAATGGTAAATTTCTAAGAATGTGAAAAGAATTGAAATAAGAAAGCGAATGCTTAACTCTATGAATATAGAAATATTCATTCAAATTTTTTTCCATTACCTCATCACCGTGATTTTGTTATTTTTTTTTACTTTTTGAAATTGAATTTCTCTTTTATTATTTTAGTCGAGTTTTTTTGGAGGGGAAGGAAGTGACCAGTGTATTGACAGGCAGAAAAATCAACCAAGGGGATTTTTTTTTGAGTATTTCATTCGATACTGCTTCTGCCATTTTTCCCATTTTTTTCATTCAACATGATGATGATGATAATGATAAGCCAAATCTGGCATTTTCAGTATAGCTGTTGTTGTTGTTGTTGTTGTTGAACAACTTGTTGCTTCGACTTTGTTTTTTATTATCATAACTAAAGTTTCAGCAATAGCACCAGCAAACACCTTGTTTGATCATTCTACGTCATTGTTGTTGTTGTTGTTTTTTGTTCAATATACCTGTTCCTTGTTTTGTCCATATATTTACTACCACTCGTGTTTCATGAAAATTTTTCGGTGGTTGATGATGATGATGGTGGTGGCAGAATGGCGGTGGTTACCTTGAACACACAACAACATCAAACTCTGCTATGTTTGTGTGAATATTGAATGAATAATGGAAAAAATATAAAACATTACAGAAACTTGCCAATACTCACTCACATACATACATATTGAGCCAATTGAGAGAAAGATTGAATTTAAGATTCGAGTTTTTCTTCTACTTCTTTGGCTCACATTGGATACATACATTCATACACATTGCTGTTGTTGAAATGTTGAGAAAGGAACGAAAAAAAGAGAGCCAAAGTAAGTTTCATGAACACAAATGATGAAGCCAGTCATTGATGTTGTTTTTTGTTGTTGTCGCTTTTTCCATTCGAATTTTTTGAATTGATCCAAAAACATGAATGATAAACTGTACAATTCAATTGTTGGCCAATTATAATTCCCGAATAATATTCATGTTTTATTTATAAAATTTACAACAACGAAAATTTTATCCCAATCACTTTAATCATCCGAAATATAAATTATTTTCTATGTGACATTTGTGATTAAATCCACCTGTTGAATGTATGTGTTTGGTTACAATATTTAAAACAAAAACAACAAAAAAGAAAGCTTGAATTTTATTGGTTTATCCGATGTGTACGTGCCTGTATAGTATTTGTTAGGAATTTGCTATCTCGAAAACCATATTCAAACAAACCTACATAATATATAAATAAAGATGTGACATTGACCATTTTTTTGTGTTGACATCTTATCGATGTTTGTGTGTTTCACTTGGGGCTTGTTTGTGTGTTTCATATGGTTCATTTTGTTTTTCAATGATTAGTGTGTGTCTTGATATCTGGTTTATTTTTTTGCATTTTCTTCTATATTTTCCATCATATAAATGGCAATGATCATATAAATTTTTTTTCTACATAAAGAAATAAGCCATACTGCCATAATAATGTGTGCAATATGTTGTCGTCATCAAAATTGATCTAAATCACCTGGTACTATCTATATAATAATATTGATCTCAAGTGGTCTAATGTCAATAATCAATGTACAAATACAGTAATTTGAATCTTGATCAAATGATGATGATTGCCACTTGTTGAACTGACATCCATTCGTCTATGTGTGTGTGTTATGTGCTCTTGTTGTTTCAAAAAAAAACCGAGAAAGAATTTTTCATTATATATATGTCATTAGTGATTGGTGGTAGTAGTATGGTTACCATGATCACTATTTTGACTAGATTAATATTTTAAATACAAAAAACAAACAATTTTTTAATCGGTTTAGCCTAACGTTATCGTATCACTATATTAAAATTGTCATCATCATTATCATCATCAGAGTGATCCAAAGACAATTTCACATTTTGATCATCATTATCATCATAGAGATTGTCTATGTCCATTGTGTCAAGCAATTTATATTTAATTTTTTGCTGTGTTTATTTTGTTTTTTGCATTTAAAAGAAAAACTAAAAGTTTTTTTTTATAAAAACCGAATTTTTTCTTTGTCTCAACTTCCTGCAATTTTTTTTGCACCACAATAATATCTTTTTACCTATTTTTTAAAACTTGATTAACATCAACCAACCAAAAATGTTACGTTTTTTATCCAAACGTTTTCGTAGACGTACGACCGGTGCACGTCCATTAAATCAACAGGAAAATGAACAGGAAAAACTTCGACAACAAAAAGGATCATTACACTGTAAAGTGATGCTATTGGATGGTACTGATATGACATTATATATGAGAAAAAAAAGTTTTGGTGAAGAATTATTTAGCCGTGTTTGTGATCATATCGGTTTATATGTTGAATCGGATTATTTTGCTCTACAATATACTGATACGAATTCGCAGCTTCATTGGCTTGATAATACAAAAGAATTACGTAAACAGGTGAAAATTGGTCCACCATATACGTTTCGTTTTAAAGTAAAATTTTATTGCTCTGATCCGAATACATTACGTGATGAATATAGCAGATATCTATTCTTCTTGCAGGTATGTATTAATACAAATCAATCAATAACACCCAAATTTTTTTTCTTTCTTTAATTCATCTGTTCATATATCTGATGATCATGATTTTTGATTCAAAATCATCGTCGACAACCTGTTATACCGAAGACAAGTTTAAGAGACCCTAGAACCTTGACCATTTTTTTTCTTCGACCTTGTCAATGTCAGTCAATAAAGCAATTTTTTAAAAATATTTTTTGTTCGATGTTCAGTCAGCCATACATAACGTTAGAATAGTAATTAGAATATTGAGTCGAATTCTTTCATAAGAATTGTTATTTTTTATTAATGAGGAAATATTTCTACTTTTTTCAATGAAAAAAAATGATTTCATTTTATTTTGTCTTGTTCGGATCGATCGATCGATTTTGTTCGGTTATGATTTGAATCTATTGTCGATACAAATGACCATTTGATTGATTGATTGATTGATTGATTGATTGATTGAATTGTGTTTGTGTGTTCAGTCAAGCTTTATTTTGTTTAGTTCATCCATTATTTCTCTATATTGACCGAATCGATTATCGGTCAATGTTTGAAATTATTATTATCATCCAATTCGATTAGATTATTTTTCATTGCTGTATATAATGATAGTAAAAAAACAAGAACAACTGACAATAAAGCTTAAGCAATCAGGCCCTTGAATGATTGAATTGGTATTGTTTCAGTTATATATATCGGCAGCTATGAAAACTCGAAAAAGAAAATGTTTGTCTTGTTAGTCAAATTGTCATGTTTCTTAACATGTAGCTTCTTTTCTTCAAAGAACAAAAATCATAATCGACGCCTTGATTTCCATGATTTTCTTTTCTCCATTGTTCAACATTGTGTAGATACGACAACATAGAGGTTCGATATTTTCAAAATTATTCGGAAAAAAAGATAGTTGTTAAAATTGTGAATAGCACATCTGCACCAGTGATCATCATAATAAAAATTATTATTATTACTACAATTGTTGATAATGGGCCAATCGAATTTTTTTTCGAATAAAAATTCGATTGGTTTTGCTCTCAGGTCATAATAATAATGATAATGATAATTTATAATGAGTGTGTGTGTGTGTGTGGATCATCACGAACATTATATAGTTTTTCTCTAATGTATTTCCGAATATTGATTCGAAATGAAAATTATCGATTAAAATTATGTACAAATTTATAGTTTGGTTGTCATTCTTGGGCCGATAAAAGTGTTGTTGTTTATCCATTTTTATTTCCAGGATTTAGATTGGGATGGGATTTAGATGTGAAAAAATCACTTCCTTCTTATTACTGATTAAGATTAATTATCATTCAATAAAATTTGGCACGCGTTGAAAAATGTGTAGATTTGATGGAGACTTTCATAATTTCATTTTATTTAGATTATCTATCATTATTTTTTTCAAATAACTAGATTAACTAACAACTATTAAATAGGCCTCAGGTTTCATTTTTATTTATTTATATTTTTATTTGTTAATTAGAATCAATCAATCAGGGTTATATCTACTATATATAAAGACTTTCGTTTAAAGATATGAATTTTTTTCATAATCATCTAAAATGAAATGTTTTTTTGAGGAAAATTAAACGCCTGATGAAATTGAATCTTAATCAATTTTCATATCATTTGAAATGGACACACTTTTGTTTGTTTGCCAAAAAAGCGACAACCACATGATGATTGGTGGCATCGATTCAGCAAGGTGACATAAATGGTAATATTCAAAACAAAATTTAGTTATGACGAAATTTTAACAAATAAGTTAATGATGAGTATTCAACTTTTTGACTCTCTTGTTTGTTTGAAACGTTTGAGGATCTCATTACAAATCCAATCCTACTCATGTTTTTTTCTCCCTTTGCTCATCTTCCTATTGTAATTCTTATAATGAATGAATCTTGATGATTGAAATATGGCAGCATCGTTAGTGGTGGTGGAAAAAAAGAAAGAAATTAAAAAATCAATTTGAATACGAAATTTTTCCATTTAAATTTTGAATAATTTTTCTTTGACAATTTTTTTCAATTTAAATTTTTTATTCAAATTCATTTTAATTCCATTAAATATTAGCTTGATGATGATGCAATAGTAGAAAATTGCCTGCTGTTTGATCATTGATCATCATAGTCACGTATGTTGGCAATGATTGATCTGTTTTCATTATTTTTGATTTAATGTTTGATCCAATTTTTTTCTCATAATCGAAATTCCTTCGGATTCTTTGTTATTTTCTTGTTGAAATGTGATGTTCAAAATGTTTTAGAAAGTTTTGGACATCTGGCAAGAATTTGCACCTGATTTCATTTCATTGTCATGGCCATTGACTTTACAAAATAAATCACTGGTTGATCCGGTTTTTTTTGTTCATAGGTTGCATGTGAAAAGTGAAATTATTCCTTCTTTTTTTCCAAAAAAAATTCCTGATCGTCTGTTCTGATCGTGAGATAGTTGAATCGTCTTCAAAAAAATAAAATCAATGAAAGTTCAATGAATTCGACTAATTTGTATGGCTAGTATTGACTTTTCATGCGAATCGCAACAAACAATGAATTAACAATCAACCTGCCACCTGATCAATGATGTCGAAAAAAAATAAAGAAACCTGCCCATCTTCAATCTCAGACAATCGCTTGTCAACAACCTGTCAATTTCATGAAACTTTTCGTTTTTTAATATAATTTTTGATTGTAAAAACAAAATTCGAAAAAATAATGAATTTTTTTCTTTTTTTTCTTAGCTAAAACAAGATTTATTAAGCGGAAAATTGCCATGTACGGAAGAAGTGGCCTCAACATTAGCCTCATATTCATTGCAATCAGAATTTGGTGATTGTGAACCTGATGAACATGATCTCGCATTTGTTTCGGAATTTCGTTTTGTTTCTGGCCAAACCGAACGATTGGAACAAAAAATATTAGATGAATGGCGTTCATTACGACCAATATTGCCTGATGATGTTGCTGAAAATAAAAAAGAATCATTAAAAGCTGCGCTATCAATGGATTCAGCAACAGCCGAATCTAATTTTCTAAATAAAGCTAAATGGCTAGAAATGTACGGTGTTGATATGCATATTGTTCTTGGTAAGTATAGGATTTATTTCCCTGTTTTATTTCAATTTTAAATGTCATAATAATATTCAATGTTGTTTAATTTGATATTGAACAAACGCAGATGTTTAGCCGATTTCATTTATTATTTTCAAATTTCAATGATAGAAATTTTTGGAAGAAATAGCCTCGAATCTATAGATACGGCATATTTTTAAAAAAATCATTGCAAACAATCAATATTTTTGAATATAATTTTCATATTTGTAATTTAATAGTTTTTTAATTTTTTTGTTTTGTTTCATTAGTTTGATTGGTTAAAATTGAGGCCAATCATCATCAACATTAATGATGAACAATTTTTTTTAATTATCATATCTACTAGCTAAACGTGTAAATTTGTTCACCATCGCTATTTTAATCAATTGTTGAATATGAATGTAGTTAAAACCATTGTGTAAGGTGGTGGTCGTAGTGGTGGAATGTCTTTAGCTTGTTTTTTTTTGGAAATATTAATTAACATGGTTCATTATGATTGATAAGTATGTCTTTGTATGTGTATACCAATGCATTTATGCATACATTCATTATTATTAAAATACATGGATGCCAAACATAAATATTTTATAAAGTTTTGAATGTTCACCATAACGACAACATCATTTGGGAAAGGCACCTAGGTAGAAAAGGAGGAGGATACCTTTGTAAGAAAAAATTATTATTATAATAAATTTATTTATGATCTAAACACGTATTTGTCAATGTTTCGACATCAACGAAACAGAAAGAGGAGAAGACAAAAAAAAAAACAAATCAATCTGTTCGGATTCGATATGGTTAGAATTTTTTTACTGTTTTTATTTATTTTTTGTTTTGACTGTCGTCATCTGTCGACTTAATCAATCGGTTGATCGATTGTTTTCACCACCAATCGAATGTCATTTTAATATTCTTTAGTTTTCTCTTCATAAACAAAATCTAATAATTTTTTTTTGTCATTGACAAGCAAAATTTCTCTTCATTTGACAATATGTTTCAAAAAAAATGGAAAAACTTTCCTTTTCTGTTCTGATCTAAAAAAGATTTCTCCCATTTATCAAGCAGAAAACTTTTTTGTTGTTGTTGTTAAACAATGAACCATTTTTTCGTGAAAATAAAGTCCTAAATTGCTTAATGTTTTGATAGGCGCCATTCATTCACATTCGCATCGCACATATCATTATCAACATCATTTAATTGATTTCTAAATTTAAAAAAAAAACAAAAAAGTTTTCCAATATAATTTGTATTTTTGTTTTCGGCTTGTTGATGATAATGATGCGATACGATCAGTAAATGAAATTCAAACAATAGATATATACAGGGGAAAAAAGTGTATAGTATTTGTCTATCGCCAATTATAGTGATTTTTATTCGAAATATTATCATCTAATATCGAATATAATGGTGCAAAAGAAATCAAGATTAGGTCTTCGTTGTTGTAACGTCATATTCATCTTCATTAAGATCCAATCGATTTGATCATTTTCTTTCTTCAGGAATGGAATGAATTTCATTCTTTTCACCACTACTTTATCGACCAACATAATATGTCTGTAGCTCTATTATTAGCAATCCATTATCGATATATAACAGTTAATTGGGAGTCATCATCATCAACATATGATGAGAAAAGGATGTTATGTCCGTTCACATGTACAAACATATATTCACACACGAATTCGTGACTATTTATGTTGACCAGCAGATAACACATTCAGCAGAAAATATGAACTGATCTCCCTATTGATGCTCTGTTTTGTAAAAAATAAATATTTTCTCCATGATCGACCGAAACAACAATTAGTCCATAACGAACGGATAACATTATTTCCAAACTTTAATTTGAATTCATTCAATCGATTTGATTCACAAGACAAAACAATAAATCGATGATTGTTACGCGTTTTTTGTTTGTTTGTTTGTCCTGCAATACATTCAATGATGATTATGCTAAATATACTTGGCCATATTGTTGTTTGTTGCATTCCATAATCATTATCATTAAAATCCTACTCGATACTTTTGGAATTGATACAGGTGCTTGGAAATTGTTACCGTGTTGTTGTTCAGAGCAACAAAAGCAACGCAATTATTATGTGATCAGATTTGACTTGTATTGATTATTGCATTGATTACTTGTAATCAATTTTTTTTGTTGATGAACAAAAATGTATCCGGTTCATTTATGTCACTAAACACTTGTATAAATATTTTGATATGAATCATCACCAGAAATAAACTCGTTAAAAAAATTATTCCGGTTACACATAAACAAACATTATCAACAAACAAATAACAAGTTCAATAACATATATAGTTTTTTAGTTGAATATATTTCCTTTTTAACCTTTAGAGAAAAAATTTTCCTTTTTTTGAAAACAATGGTCAAATCCATATGCAAATTGTCTGATTATTGAACATGGTCGATACATTTGAAAATCAATTTTATTGACGAAAAAAAAATCAAATGACAATTTAAATTTCTATCTAGAAAAAAATGAAAAATAAAATTCAAACAATGCCCAGCTATGCCGGAAGTTTTTTTTCTAATGTTATTCGTGTTTTTTTTTTGTTGTTAATTTATCTATGAAAAATGTGAAAAAAATCTTATCAAGTCTCATTTGTTGTTGTTATGGATATTATTATTGTTGAAATCGAAAATAGTTGAAAATTTATATATGCAAACCTACATACATACATTTTGGAACACTTTCATATGATGATAAATAGATGGATCGATTGATGCATGAATTCAGATTGCCAGTTATCCCATTTATTCCATTTGATTGATCTCTTTTTTTTCCATATCTAAAGACAATCCATTTCTCTATCCCTCTCTTTCATATAGACAGATTTCATTTTTCACATTTTCATTTGTTGTATCAAAATCTTAATCACCATTTTTATAATTGTAATCATTAATAATCTTGATATCATTTTTTTTTTGAATTTGATTTTTAATCATCATCATCATTCAGGGTGCATATTGATCTTGATGTGTTATATTTTTTTGTTTTCGTGTTTTTTGTTTTCTCCGTATAATTATCTAATTCGCTCGATCTTTATGTAATCAACATGATGAGGTTTTCACATTTTGGCCGTATTGTTATTGTGTGTGTGTACTTACTAACCTAAAAAAATGGAGAAAAATCTTTAAACATAGATTATCATTTGGTAAAATGTTTGGTTTAATTTCTTTTTTTTATTAAGTTTAAACATATAGCACACAAGTAAATGAAAATTAACACCAAATAAAAGAGGATGTATTTTTCCGCATTTGGTTATCCACCAACCAAACCAAATAACACAATGTATATAATGATAATCGTGATGATGATTATAATGTTTATCATGATCTAAAATCAGATAAGAAGATATTGAGATAACCAATGACCTTGTCGTTTGTTCGTTGATTCTAAAAATATTTTTCTTCACTTCTTATTGGATTCAAATCACTATTGAAACACAAACATTACATATCATCTTGTATGGGATGTTGTTCATCCTGAAAAATCCTTTTGTTATGCCCAGTCTTTTCCCTATGTTATACCTTTTACATATGGATGTGATCCAATTTTTTGTTGTTGTTGTTTTTCTTTGCTTTTTGTTATTGTTATTGTTTATATTTAGAGAGAGAAAGAGAAATGTTTTGATTGTCTACCTAACTATTACAATGATTTTGATGTGATTCGTAATTCTAATCTTCTTTTTCTCTTTATTATTATTTTTTTTTCATACAACCCCCATGTATTTCGCCCAAAAAAACAGGTAAAGATGGTAATGAATATAGTTTAGGATTGACGCCCACCGGTATACTAGTATTCGAAGGTAAAACAAAAATTGGCCTATTTTTCTGGCCTAAAATCAAAAAACTTGATCTACGCGGAAAGAAATTGATATTGGTCGTTGTCGAGGATGATGATGATGGCCATGATGAGGAGCACACCTTTGTTTTTCGTTTGGTAAGTCATCATCATAATCTTTTATATTATTTTTTTTTTCATTCTGATTATCATCATAAAAAACTCCTATTTCATCATCATCATCATCATAATCAAAATAATTCGTCATTTGAAAACAAAGAGTTTAAAAGAAATTAACGAGTAAAAAATAGAGGTTAAAGTTGAGATTTTTCATTTGATGTAAAAATCAACTAGATTTTTCCTCCTGTAGATGATGAACATCAGATTCACGATAAATCTTGTGGTTTATACGATTACACACACACACACCCACAAAATATATTCTCACACACCTTATTTGTGATTGAAGTAAGAACAGAAAAATGAAATTTTTTTTCTTTATTAGCCTACTCCTGTTTTGAATAAATAATTCTGAACAAACAATGCGACAATATTTAATCCGAATTGACAACAGGCGAAAAAAATGATTAATTATAAAGCGCAAAAATCGATTTATTTTTTTTGATCAATTGATTTATTTAAATTCAAACGTTATTCCTTTTTTTTTATTTCGAAAATTTTTTCGTTTGTTTGTTTTATCTGAGAATTTTTCATTGAACAAATTCAAAAGAAAAAAAATAAATAAAAATTTACGACTTGTTCAACACCATACATGTTCATGTTTTTTTTGTGTGTGTGTCGAACATTATCATCATCATCATCAATAATCATATACCCGAATAACAATAACAATAAGATTTTTCAATAGAATTGTTTGGGTCATTATCATTAGGGCAACAACAACGATAACAAAATAAAAAATTGATAAAAATAGAAATTGTCCATACCCCATAAACATTGAACGCGCGAACAAATGATTTTTTTTTTCTTTTTCGTTTCGAATACCTGTTGAATATATTGTTGTTGAATCGAGGCCAAATATTTTACCAAATAAACATCAATGTAGTCGCCATAATAAACAACTACAACCATCATCATTTTCAATCATTGAACATCGAAATATCGTTGTACAAATAATAATATTTTACTTTTAATTCATTGTATATTCATCATTCATTTAAACTTTTTTTGTCCCTGTATTGCATCTGTTGTATGATGATGATGATGATCTTTGGAAAGATATTTTTTTAGATGATTGTTTTTTGGCTTTGTTATCTATCTAATGATAATGATGGCCATTTTATTTTGTTGTTGTTGAAAAATTTATTAATTGTATTTTTTTTTATATTTATTGTTATATTTTTGTAGCATACATCAAAAACATCGAAACATCTTTGGAAATGTGCTATTGAACATCATGCATTTTTTCGACTAAAATCTCAACCACAATTTGAACGTGGTAAAACAAGACAAAGTTTCGTAAGAATGGGTTCACGCTTTCGTTATTCTGGACGGACACAATTTCAGGCAATTATACAGCAACAGAAAACAGCACAACAGGAAAGTAAACGAAATTTTGAACGACGACCATCACAAAGGTTTAGCCGTCGTTCTGTTAAATCGATTCATGGTGCTAATGCTGCTGCTATTGCAACTGGTAATTCTCTCACTACTAGTTCATCGAATATAACTATCGCCAGTCCATCGATAACGAACAAAACATCGGCCATTAATAGTCCATTGGTCAAATCGGTTGTTATCGGTTCAAAAATGATTGAAAGATCAAATAGTCAAACATCGGATAAAATCCATAATGTCAATAATAAAACTACGACAACAGTAACAGTGACAAATAACAAATCGATTGCTGCCACATCGGATACATCGATTCCATCGTCATCATCGACGTCCGAACAAACATCACCTGAACAACGTCTTGATAATCTGATCAAATCGCTATCAAAAACAGATCCTATGGTCAATAATGTCAATACTAGCAATGTTGAACAAAAGACTGAAATAATGGTCAATATTTCCAATGATGATCACCATTTTAATCATTCAGATTTCGATGATGATGATGAAGAAGAAATCGGACGACGATATTCAAAACGAACAAACATTACGAATATTAAAGCTGTTAAGAATTCAAATATCAGTCATAACAACAGCAGCAATAATAATAATGGTCTCATTTCGAAACACAAAATGTCAAACATGGATGCAATGAATAATAATGTTCGACTGATGGAAACAGCAGTTGCATCAACAACGACGACAACATCGACAACGACAATAACAACATCGACTATATCTGAACGAAGGATTAATAATTCCACTTCAATCACCTGTAATAAGGCAAAATGTAATATTTTAAAAGCCAAAGAGTTACAGAAAGAACATGTTTATGGTGATGGTGGTGATGATATATGTGCTACTTGTAATGGCGTAGGATTAAATGATTCCCAATCATCATCAACAAAGGTTTCAGTTAATGGTTTTAACAATAATAATCATAACATTGGAAATAGTAGCACGACAACGTCATTTGGACAAAAAACGCAGACAAGCCTAGATGATTCATTCGAATCATCTAGATCCAAAGATGATGATGGTGATACTACAGGTGGCCGTATATCGAGCTCGGAAAATGAGACACTTATTAATGAAGAAGATGAAGATTTGATACCATTGATTAATCGTCCGAATGAGAATAATATAACAATCATACCAATTCATAGTGGTGCTGATCATGTCCATAATATAAATGGCACAGCCTTTAATAACAATAGAAATAATAATAACGTTGATAGTCGAACCACGAATCATTCATCACGTCAATGGAAAAATATTAATAATAATAATAATAACAACAACAACAACTGTGATCAACAATCGATTATCGTACATAAAGCTACTAAATCATTGGATGGCGGTTCGATTGCGGCACAAAATAATCTTCTAAAAAATAGTAACAGTTTTACGAACAATTCCAATTCAAGTGGCCGTAATGGATTCTATCCAAAATATCCAAACGGTGGAAGCAGTGGCCTTAGTAGCGGTAGTACAAGTAGTAGTCAAAGTAATCTTCAACCATCTGATGATTCATGTCGTGAATCATTGTCCCCGTCCCCAGTTCTTGTTGAAACATCATTTGCCTGTGCAAATCCTATTACTAGATCGGTTTCCGTTCTCAATAATAATAATAACAATAATATCGTAGCCACCGGCCCTGGAATTCTGAATTCAAATTCGAATAATGTTGGAATCAACCACAACAACAATAATAATAATAATATCTCGCCATATATTGTTTCAGCAACCTGTGATTCAATGAAACGTAGCACTTCAATAAATAATCATCACCATCATCATAATCAACATCAAACGGCTAATAAACGGACTGTCATGACTACAGAATTGTAATGAATACGATTTAACATTATTCAAAGTGATATTTTTTCTTTGTTTTTTTGTATATTTGTCATATATTTCATCATTCATTCCATTCGAAATGCAATTATTTCCATTGATAATCTGTTCATCTTTATTGCATTCATGAATTTTGTTTTCATTATTGTTGAACTCTTTTCCTATAAAGTCTAAAAATGCTATTCCTATAAATAATATTGAATAGATTCAATTCATAATGGATTATCTAGTTTTAAATGTTTGCATGTTTTAACAAAGAAAAAAAAATTGTTTTTTTTTGTATTCATAATTTTTATTTATTCAATATATAAAATAAACATTTACATGATCATCATCAAATTCAAAATCCAAGTAATCCTTTACAAGCTTGATGTATTTTCGGTTCTAATCGATATATTTGACGACCACCACCTTTAGCCATCGGTAATGGCCGCGCGAATGCAATTGGATAATCAAAAATAAAGACATATGGACTTTCGATTTCACATTCAGGATATTGTTTTCGATAAACTTCTTCGGGAAGACAATCTTCAACCATAACACAACCAATTATCACATCAGTTGGATAGCTACGTGGAAAATTTTTATTACCTAAATTTATATAGAATTGTTCGACATCTTGAATTTCTGCATCGCTTGGTATTTTATGTGCTGCATAAATCCATAAACGTCCTCTGAATGAGCTATACCATGTCCTGCCTTCGAATCGTTTAATACCAGCGACCAATAATGATGCGTATGGCTGACGAACGGCCAAACACATACCATGATCATCAATCTTTGCCATCTCATTGTCCTGTATTCGTTGTTCGAATTCATTCATTGAAATCATTTTTGGCAACATAGATTTGTTCGAATGATTAGAATCAGTTTTCTTTTTATTATTGCCATTGTTTTTTCCATGGTCATCAATCGTCTCTAGGCTTGGAACATAAATAGGTGGAGGCAAAGTTTTCTTGACAATTTTTTCATTATCCTCGATGAAATATGATGATGGTTTAAACTCATAATCAGTGGTAATAGTACTCAGCTCTTCCAATTTACGATGTTCATCATCAATATTTTTAATGACAGATTCCGTATAATCACTTACAGTGAGATTTTTGAAATCGATAGCAATTTTATCGATTTTATTGAATTTATTTTCAACAAGATAATCAACACGATCGGTAATGGCTCTTCGATTTTGTTCAGTGATGAAATTTTGCGATTGTATTGTAAAATAATCAACCTGATCATCGAACACTTTGGATCGTGCAACGGATTTTTTATCGAATTCCAATAGTTTGTTTTTTTGTTCGATTGCTTTGTCGAGGTTTGGATTGCTCGTTAACGAAGCGGCAATTTCTTTAAGACTTCGTTTTTTATTTAAACTGTCTGTCACTTGATCCATAAAATCTAAACGTGCACCGGAATCAGCTAATTGTTGCACTTTTTGCATTGCTTCATCGGAACCGGATAATAATTGATCACGTTGTTGTTTGTTAAAGACAAGGGTACCACATGTAAAACATGGACCACTGCCTTCTTGTTGACAAACAATACGTCCACATGTAAGACAATTGTTGATCAATTCATGCCTACTTGCCTCGCACAAACATGATCGACGACCTTCAAGCAAAAACGTACCCGATTCATTAACAATTTGATCGGATTTGCTTTTCTTTTTATTTTTCATTTTATTTTATAATTATCAATTTCGAATTAAAATTAACAAATCGAATGTAATACGAATAATTGTGATGATCATGTTGAGTCTATTAAGCCCTTTCAATCCCATTCACCCAATAAAGTCAAAATAGCCGAAATTGGCGGTTGAGAGTTTGATTATTCTATTGTGTCAAATTATTTGGAATTGTTTTCAAACAAAATAATTCTGTTTTTTATCTAAATGTCGACCGATGCTGAAATCGATAAACTCAAAAATGAGATTGAAAATTATCTCAAAATCAATAATCACGAAGATTTCTGTGCGAAAATTGAAAATGATACAAAAACATTTCAGAGCTATCCCCATCATGTGAAAGGTTTTAACTGAATTTTGAAATGATCGAGCAAAATTTGATTTCTAACCAAGTTTTTTTTGTTGTTTAGAATATAGCAAATGTATCAGCAAAGAATATAAATATACCGAAAGAATGGAGAAATTGAAACAAAAAATTGATGTTTTAAATTCTCAAAATGAAAAAGCTTTACAAAATATAGAGAAATCAAAAAATAAGATTTTAAATCTTAAAGAACGTAAGTTCATCAAAATTCTGATTTAAAAGTCAACCTACTATTTTTTTGTAATTTTAAATAGATATTGTCAAATTGGAATCCAAATTGGAGAATAAAAAGAAATCAATTGAGAACATGGATGATACATTTGATTTTCTTGGTCTACGTATTTACAACAAAAGTGATACACTTCATACTGTTCAACTATCCAAGTTGCCAATTAAAGACTTTGATCGTACATTTTCATTTGACATTTCACATGTTGGCAACAACATTGAATGTAAGTGATATAATTTCAAAAAAATTTTAATTTTTTCTTATCAAAATTTTTTTCAATCGAATCCAGTGAAAAACGTAAATCCTGAAAATTGTATCGACATTGATCGAATCATGTCACAAATCGATGCATCGGCTGATGATAAAAATTATTTAAAACTAATTGTCTTGATACGCTCTGAATTGATTAGAAAATATTCATAACCAAAAAAGTTAATTCAATTTTTTTTGACAATAGAAAATTTTTAATTTGATTTGCTATAAAAATGACACAATTATATTTCAAACGTACACAACTATTCCGACTAAATTGTTTTTTTTTTGACCACAATTTGTTCTTTTATACAAAAATCTAACTTTCATTTATGAATTTAAAATTTCGAAATGTGGAAGAAAATGGTATAGCTTATTATTATGATTCGTGACGTCTAGTCTTGCCATTTACCAAGAATTTCCGAATCACGAAAAATATAATACTCTTTATCTTCGATTTCAACTTTTGTACCACCATATTCGGGTAAAAGTACTTTGTCGCCGGTTTGTACACCCATTGGGATAGCTTCACCTTTCTCGTTTGTACGACCAGGACCAGTAGCTACAACAGTACCGGTTGGTACTTTGCTCTGTGCTTTTTCCGGTAAAACAATACCACCTTTGGTTACCGTTTGTGGTATAAATCGTTCGATGAGTACACGATCTAACAATGGAATTAATCGACGTCCAATGTTGCCGGCCTGTTTGGTATTAGGAAAAAAGTTCAATTAATTCATATACTTTCAATCAATCCGTTCCGTTTACCATTTTATCAGAGTGATGAAATTTGAAAAAAAATTGAAAATACTCAAAATGTATGGAAATCGTTGATCAAAAATGTTAATGGGAAAAATGTGGTTTGTCGTTTCTCAAGCGTTCGATTTGACCATGTGCTGCTGACTTCGATTCGATTCATGCAAACATTACATCAGACATGTTGCGCATGTCTGCAGAAAATTCGAGAAAAACGAGCAAATAAAAAAATTAATATTTTCCGAACAGATAAAATTCTTTCTCAAATCATTCGATATGTTTCGATTTAATGTCATTCATTGATCTCATTTATCTTCAGAGATGATAATTTTATTGATAATTTATCAATTAATATGGCCAAATTTGAATTGGATGAAGAGAGAAAATATCTTCGCAACAAATATTTTCCTTAAAACGCATGCGTGTTACAAACATCGCCATGCCGTTTTTTAGCATGCAAAGTCACGCTGTAACTTTCTATTCAATCGACTATCCCGCTACCCATCATTCATTTAAACATTTCGCGATTTTTCGAGATTATATTGCTTTCAGTTCACTTGCTGAGCACAAAATCATACTTTCTCCATTGCTTTACAAGTTGAATCTATTTTCGACACGCCAAAATCACGCCGGTTCTTCAACAAATCATTTCATTCATCGTTTATTTTAATTATTTGCTTTGAATTGCATCATGTACCGAGTATCACGAATTCTTCGAACCGCCACCCATCATTTGTCCCGGGTGAATGGAACACAAACTACATCGGCCATTTCAAGCAGCCATATGCATGAAAGTCGTCGTGGAACAGCCAAAGATATTAAATTCGGTGCCGATGCACGTGCACAAATGTTGCAAGGCGTTGATATTTTGGCTGATGCTGTTGCTGTTACCATGGGTCCAAAAGGTCGAAACGTAATCATTGAACAATCATGGGGATCGCCGAAAATTACCAAAGATGGTGTGACCGTGGCCAAAGCAGTCGAATTGAAAGATAAATTCCAGAACATCGGTGCAAAACTTGTACAAGATGTTGCTAACAATACGAATGAAGAAGCTGGTGATGGTACCACGACAGCCACTGTCTTAGCTCGTGCTATCGCTAAAGAAGGTTTCGAAAAAATTAGTAAAGGTGCTAATCCAATTGAAATTCGTCGTGGTGTAATGTCTGCTGTTGAACACGTTGTTGATAAATTGAAATCATTCTCAAAACCGGTAACAACACCTGAAGAAATCTCACAGGTTGCAACCATTTCGGCTAATGGTGATCGAAAAATCGGTGACCTTATTTCGGATGCAATGAAAAAAGTTGGTCGTGATGGTGTGCTTACCGTCAAAGATGGAAAAACACTTTCTGATGAATTGGAAGTAATTGAAGGAATGAAATTCGATCGTGGATATATCTCACCATATTTTCTTACAAAAGGCAACAAAGTTGAATTCCAAGATGCCTTGTTGTTGATTACAGAGAAGAAAATTTCCACTGCTCAATCATTGATACCAGCTTTGGAAATGGCCGTCAATCAACGCAAACCATTAGTTATTATTGCCGAAGACTTGGATGGTGATGCATTGACAACATTGATCATAAACAAAATCAAAATCAATCTACAAGTTGCCGCTGTGAAAGCACCCGGTTTCGGTGATAATCGCAAAAACACTTTACATGATATTGCTATCGCCACCGGTGGCATTGTTTTTGGAGATGATGCAAACATTCATAAGCTTGAAGAAATTCAGCATAATGATTTCGGACAAGTTGGTGAAGTTACCATCACAAAGGATGATACCCTTCTACTCAAGGTTTGTTGATCCATTATTAGTTAAAATAATTTTCATTTTATTGTTTTACTTTTAGGGAAAAGGAAATAAATCTGAAATTGAAAAACGTGTACAACAAATTCGTGAAGATATCGATAATACGAATTCCGAATATGAAAAAGAAAAATTCCAGGAAAGATTAGCACGTCTATCCAGTGGTGTTGCTGTATTGAAAATAGGTGGCTCTTCCGAACTTGAAGTGAACGAAAAGAAAGATCGTGTCACTGATGCTTTGAATGCAACTAGAGCAGCCGTTGAAGAAGGTATTGTTCCAGGTGGTGGTGTTGCCGTACTCAGATGCATCAAATATTTGGATGATCTTAAACCTGATAATGAAGATCAAAAAATCGGTATTGAATTGGTACGAAAAGCATTGAAACAACCATGCATGCAAATTGTACAAAATGCCGGTGTCGATGCTTCGGTTGTTGTAAACAAAATTCTCGAATCCGATGAAATTAGTTTTGGTTATGATGCTCTTAATGATCGATATTGTAATTTAATTGATGCCGGTATAATTGATCCAACTAAAGTGGTCCGAACCGCATTAATGGATGCTGCAGGTGTCGCATCATTGTTAACCACTGCCGAATCGGTTATCTGTGAATCACCCAAAGAAGAAGGTGCTAATCCAATGGCTGGCATGGGAGGAATGGGCGGCATGGGTGGTATGGGCGGTATGGGCATGTAATATCACAACCATTTATGATCGCTTCATGAACTTCCAAAAACATCGCATTTTTACATGTATCATATATAATAGGTATTGATTAGAATCTTTGATCATCGCTAATTGTATCCGGCTTACAATTTTTTTTTTCGTTTTCTGTGATGAACATGAAAATGAAAAAATGGTCCAAAATTAAATGTCAGGCGATGACTTAGAATATATGCTAGATATTGTGTTCTTTTTATCATTTTGTTAAATTCAATAAAAGAAATAAAATTTCAAGTTTTTCATTTTTTATTATTTTTCAATTGTTACCAGATAACAAAAGATGTCGAAGAAATTTATCTGAAATCCTGTCATCTTTTAACAAAAAAAAACTACATTTGGTGTAGCAATTGAATGATTTTTATTAACTTTAAAATAAATTTCACATCACTAAGTTGAAATTCACACAAAACAAAAATAAAATTCAAGGGCTTATTAATTGAATAATAATGACAAAGATTGACATGAATTTGGCAGGGATAATTCAAATTGGAATTACTTATACTGTTCTAAAAATTTTAGATGAAATTTTTGCAGTTTATTCATCATTCTAGAAAACAATTCTGGTTGTGGCAAGATTGTTGTTCGAAAATGATAAGTGCCAGGTATTTGACCGAAACCAGAACCAGGAACGAGACATATACCTGTTTCTTCTAATAGTTGTTTACAGTAGAAAAAATCTGGTTTCTGGCCTAGTTTTTCCGCCTCTTCAACTGCTTTGTTTGGTATTTGAATACGCGGGAATGCATACATTGCACCGGCTACTGGATTTGATCGTACACCGGGTAATGAATTCAATGTACGTGTGGTTAATTCGGCACGACCTTTAAGCGATGCTAGAACAGTTTCTTTTTCTTTCTGGTGTAATTCATATGATGGCTCTCCTTGCTGTGGTGGTCTAACCACACAATCAATGGCGAATTGACCGATTAATGCAGAACATAGACGAGCGCTAATTTGTTTGAACAAAACGGCTTTAACATCGGGTTCAAAATTATCAATCTCCATATAACCACCACGAAGACCACATTCACCCATATAACCTTTTGAAGCGCTCATCAATGAAACCAATTCAAGCCTTATATCGATTTCTTTCATTATTTTTTTGAATGAATAAAACTGTGCTCCTTCCTTCCAGATATTATGCTGATAAACTTCATCGGCAATAATCAACAAATTATTGTCGCGTGCAAATCTAATGATTTGAGCAATATTTTCTTTGGTCAACACGGCCCCAGTTGGATTTCCCGGATTGATCACAACTAAAACGAATAAAAAATTAATGATTCAAATGAGAGTCAAATTGAGCTGGAAAAGTTACCTATAGCTTTAGGTTTACATTTAGATTTAGATTCATCCAACGCCCGTTGTAGCTCCGCAATATCTAATGCCCATTCATTTTCTTCGTCAAGATAATAAGAAATTAAATACATTCCTAATTCACTACATGTAGCCGAATATAAGGGATATTGTGGAATGGGTACCATCACACCGGTTTGTATATTATCTGTTGAAGCCGAATTAATCAATGTAAATATCAATTTGACACCTTCACTGGCACCGGAAGTAAGAATGATATTACGCCAATCACTGGGACAGCCATCACGGTGTTCAATATATTCGGCAACATGACGACGAATTATTTCCACACCAGCGGAATCAGAATAAGCCCCGACCGATTGACCACCACAAGATGATAATAACAATTGAATCCGTTCTTTTACATCATTTGGCAACTTTGGATCGGCTAAAGCCGTTTTAGGAAAAAGACTTGCTGAAAGAACTTGTCGAATAAATGTTATAGGTGTTTCACCCATCATATGACAATCACCAATATTTGCACGAATTACTTCATCGAATGGTTTTTCGGCGCCATTTTTAAGCTCCTCAATTAATTCGACGGCACGTGTCGGTATCGGGCCACGAACAGCATATTCCATTTTGACCAAGTTATTATTGATTTTATCCATAGTGAGTACTGGGTTATTGGAATTCATTGTTAATGATGACATGACAAGTCCTATCAAGGAAGCAAATAATAGCAAAATGAAAGCAAAAGATCAACAAAAAAAAATCAAACCTTATTTATTAGGCGGCAAACTTAAAAATAATCGAATGATGAAAAAAGATATTGATAATGAAAAGATCTATCTAGTAAATGATTAATCTATCATCAAATTAAACGATGAAATCGATACGTTTTAATGAAATTGATTAAAAAAAAATTATCAATCATAAGTTATTGCTGATAATGAATTAATAATGAAATCAATTTATGCTGGTTGATTGACACCAATAAATTCTATCTCGATTATTATTTGTTGCTTTGATCGATATTTATGATCTCATTATTATTACGTTAATCATTTTTTTATCACAAAAATAGTTTCAAAAGTTAGACGACACACATGATCTAACATTTCCTTTAAATATTCAACGTCAACAATGACAACAATAAATTTACAGGCTTTTTCTCTTCGATTTTCATCATTCAAATGCAATCAGTCATTCGTTCGACAAATGGAGTCAGGTTTTTCTCTATGTGAAAGAAGGAAATCGATCGATTAATCGATAAAAAACGACAATACAAATTCAAACGAAGAGAAATTTGGTTTTAACCTGTTTTAAAAATCTTTTCTTGTTAATTCAATGCCACTTTTGTTATTGTTGATGAAAAAAGATTTTTATATTGAATCTTAAAAAAAACTCCTTGAAAGACTTTGAAATCTGATGAATGATATAGCTGTAATTTTGAATGACGTAGTTGTAGCAAAGAATTTTGATTTAAGATAATAATCTATGTAACATTATTATCAAAATAATTACGAATGGTGATTATGTTGAAAAAAATCATGACTTGAGGAAAAGAACAGCTTTTTGATTGTTTTTATTCTGTAATTTTTCCGTGTTAGTGGGTAAAATGGCAAAAGGCAGTTATTTCTTTCGAAACTGACATGCGCTTTGAATTCTTAATGAATAACAGTAAAAAACCATAACTGACGGTGAGCTGAATAAATTTTTTTCTTGCTATATAAATAAGTGTTCATCTTATATTCTGTATTTTTATGGTCTTTAACCTTTTTTTTAATATTAATCTCGAAATTGTTATTTTGGCCGCAAGATTGCGGTATGGTTTTCAAAAAACCAAAAAAAAAATCGATGAGAAAACCAGAATTTGAAATCTGATACTTGCAGGAAAACTTACAGAATCTATGCTAATATTATTACAATTACCAATGTGTTTATAATTATTAAATTGGCCTATGATTTTCATCATGTTATATAATCACATTGACATTGATCGATGAAATTATTATTATGATTATTATGATGGATCGATTTCTCACCAATATTACTACATTATTAATGGACAATTGGATTTTCATTTTATTACATACAAAATGATATAATATATGCCGATCATGTTTTTTCATTTTTAATGTCACACAGATCAAATACATATTTGATTCGCAGATGATTAGATTCATGTAATAATAACATGTAAGTTTTTCTTTTTGTTTTTATTTCGATTTTCATTATATTTTAATGTCATATACAAACAAAACAAAAAAAAATAAAAGAAAATAAAAGAAAAAGATCTTGTATAAACAATGTCATCATCATAAGATTTTTATATAATTTAGATCATTCAACATTTGTCATCCACCATTTGATAGCTTCGTGATATCTCTTTGTTTGTTTGTTTGTTTGTTATTGTTGTTCAACGATTTCCATAATTACATCATTTATTTTTCGGCACAGAAAAAAACGATATTTTCATAGATGGAATTTTTTTTTCGTTTGTTGGACAGAATGTCAGAATCGAATGTCACCCCGATTTTTTTCCATTCATTTGATACAATGATTAGGTGATGTTGTTATCATATACAGATGTTTGTTTTTTTTTGATTCTCGTTTACCGATTCAGTTAACAGTTTTTTGTTAAAGACATGGGTTATCGGATTGAGGAAATCTGGCATCAGCACAGCTGCTGCTTGAATCTTTGATTGCCATTCGAAATAGCTGTCCATTTCGTCCACATATACATAATTTGTATTGTAAATCCATTTTTTCATTTTCACTGGTTGATGATGATTCTTGTCGACGATGTACGATTCGTGATTTGAATGAATTCATATCTAAATAGATTCCTTTATGTCCATCCATTATAATGCTTGCATTCAATGATGATAAAAATATATTTTTTGCATCCAATTTAATTTGTTTGCCTTCAACATTGACACCTTCATTTCCACGGATACGAATTTTTCCTTTCGAAATAATATTTAAATCTTCATTCAATGGTGAACGTATCATTTTAACATCACGAATACCGTTAGGCACTGATAATGTTTTGATCGAATTTAATGGTAATGAACTTAAATCAAATGGAAATAATAATTGACCATTTGATGATGATCGTATTTCTAAACCTTTTTTTGATCGTAATCGAATACCATCATTGTTAATTCGTAATGATGATTGTCCACTTTCAAGACAAATATTTCCAGTTATCGATGATAAACCGGATATACGATTATTGGACAATAAAATTCGATCAATATAAGTATCTTTATGAAGAATCACATTATCATCAATGATGGTGAAATATTCGAATCCTGGTATCAAACGTAAACGATAAATAATAGCCAACAATGTGATTGTCGTTGCAATTGATATGATCAAAAGGGCAATGATAATGGTAACTAATATTTCTTTATGATGATTAGTGTTGTTTGTTTTTGACATCATTACAGATGAATTTTGATTGTCATCAATAGAAAGGCGATTCGATGATGACGGTAGCATAGCCATCATCAAAAAATAAGATTACAAATTAAAAGTATGAAAAAATTTGAAATTTTTTGAAAAAATGTACGGAAATTTTTGATGAGGCACCATTTGAATTGCGTAGAAATAAAGAAAGAAAGTTGTCTTTAACTTTGTTAAATTTGATGAGATATGTTTCGATTCAAGCATTCGAATGTTTTATTTAATGAAATGTTTTTTCAAAAACAATTGATCATTCATTTGAAAGAATTGATTTATTACATTGCTTTTTGATGATGATGTAAAAATAGAAATTTTGGCATTCACCGAAAATTGTTGTTTACATTTCATCATCATCATCACCACCAACACCAATAACACATGTTCATGTAGAATTCAAAGACAAATTGAAATTTTTTGTTGAAACAAAAAATAAAGAAATCAAAAGTGGAAAAAAAATTTCGATGCAAAAAAGAAATTGATTTTTTCTTTCTTCTTTGTCTTTCTCGATAGTTTCATTTGATTACAATTCAATCATCATTATCATTAGAAAACCAAAATGAACACAAAACGAGGTCGCGAATTGAATTCCTTTCTCTTACTCTTCGTCGGGCGTCATCATGTCGAGTGGTAAAATGTTGTTTTGTTTTTCGTCTGTTTTTTTAAGGGCTAATAATAATTCTTCATCCTCATCATCATGTTCCAACGATTCAATCTTCTATACAATTATAATTTAAGAAAAAAAATGAAAAAGAATCCATCCATCCAATAATAATGATGTTGATGATGATTATTATTATATGAAAGAAAAACGATGAAAACATAAACGTAATCGTTATAGCTAAGAAGACCGAAGACCAAAAAAAAAAGAAAAAGAAAAAAACGTTGTAATTAGCCCAAAAGCATTATAATAATCAGAAAAATTTTTCATCATAATCATCATCATCGTGAAGATCACCAAAAGGCAAATTGAAAATCGTTATTATTATTTTTTTTAATTTTACCGCCAAGTTTTTTGTTTGTTGCCATCATGAAACATTCCATAAATTTATAAATGAGCAAAAACAAAAACAAAACAAAAATCCACTAAATACTGATGAAACCAGACCAAACAAAAAATTCTCATCATCATCATTGTTGTTGTCGGAAAAAACTCTTATCATCATTGACGAAAAAAAAATGGATGGATGGATGAATGGATCCATACAACAACAACAAAAGTAAAAGAGGAAAAACTGTTTTTTTTTAGTTTCCGAATGTAATCATTTTTTTGCCTTTAGTCAAAAAAAAAAAAAATTTATATAATAATCTTATTAGCACCGCAAAATACACTTTAGAAAAGAAAAAATTCACGACACACATATCAGAATAGAATATACACATACAGAGAAAAAAATATATCAGTATAGGAAAAAATTCAGTTAAGAATTTTTACAATATTAATACAGGAACACAAGTATAAACGCTGGGAACCAGAAAAATAAACTTGACATAACAATATCATATGTTTGGGAAATGTTTCTTTTTTTTCTCTCTCTCTTTTTTACCGATATTATGATGATTCGATTCGGATGAGAGAAAAAAAGATTCGATACAACATACGACGACGACGATTACAATGATGGTTGAATTAGAAATCAGAAAAAAAAACAAATTTTTTCAACGAAAAAATCGAATTGCGAATTGAATTCTTTCGTCATCCTTTTTTCTCTTATTCTATCTATACAAATAGAGAAATAAAAGAATAACATACTTTTTTTCATAAAAAACATATAACCAGCCGACGTTCGAATGAATGAATGAATGAATGAATAGATGGATACAACATCAACATCATCGACGACAACGACAAACATGAAAAAAAGAATCACACGCAAAAATGAATGAACGATGTATATTTTTTTTTTGTTCATAGTGCCAGGGAGCAACGACAACGACATGCGAACTTAAACGCCCTCGGAAAAGAAATGAAATGAAAAAGTGAGAAATGGATGAAAGAGAGGGCGAAAAAAAAGATAGATATGAGGAGTATGTAATAAAGGAAACTTGAAAATGTATGTGTGTGTGTGTGTGTAGCGACAATGTCTTTTTTTTCCTAAGAAAAACTGAATAGAATCGAAAAAATGTTTGTGTGTAATTCACGATATGTGTGTATATTGATGCGGCTACACAATGTACCATTTGAACAATGAACAATGTGATTTATCATTGTATAAGTATGTCTGATGTTACATTTTTTTAAGGGATGTTTGATTTTTTATTATTATTATAGAGAATCCTATCATCAGAAGAAAACATATTCAAAAAAAAATGCAAAAATAATATTGAACACGTTCATTTGCAAACATTGTTTTTTTTTGGTCACTGATGATGTTGATGATGATGATGATGATAGAATGTCCAGAATAAAATATAAAAAAGATTAGACAAGTTTTTTTTCACTATTGATAATGATGATGGATTTGAGTCGATATAATTGAATTCGGAATTCGGATGTGTGAAAAAAAAAGAAAGGCAAAAAAAAAAAATTCCATGAACCATATGAGAACATTATCATACCTTAACATATTTTTTTACAAATTATCATATAACGAGAATAATATTCCATAGGGAATCGGGAAACAAAAATAAGAAAATCGAAATTGAATTACCGAAAAAAAATGAGGCGAAAGAAAAAAAAGCATAAACCATACTAACAAAAACAAGGACCATAAGGTTTTTACTTTCTTGTTATATTGTTGTTGTTGTTGTCGTTTTTTCTTTTTTTGATGACATTTATCCATCATCATCATCATTCTGATCATTATTGATGAAAAACAACGACAATACCGCGACTATAAGCTTAACGATGTGATCGATCCAAAAGTTATGAAGTCAAAAAAAAACATAACGATTCGATGATGGTGATAATGATGAACAACGAAACAAAAAAAGAAAAAAAGGAAAATTTTTTGATATGCGAAACATTAATGGCAAAGCATTGTACGTATTTTGGTATCGGTTTTCCTATTTTGGTTAGATATATTTTTCCATTAACGACTAAAATACAAGTGAAACAGGAAAACAAAAAAAAACTTTGTTTTAATATATACGTGGAAAAATGTGTTAAAAACATCGAATTCATTGGGATTTTTCAACACACCAAAAACAAGAATCAAACTTTGTTCACAATACGAATGATGATGATGATGATGGTGATGAAGTCAAGCGAACATGATTAACACACACTATAGTTAATAACTTAATATGACATTGTATAACTAAGTAATATTGTTATATGTATTGACATACACACAATTGTTAATGGTGTTCAATCCAATTCCGATTCCAAATTCTTTCTCTTATCCGTTCACAATGTTTAAAACATATAATGATAATAATCATAATAAATATAAGTCATCGTGTATTATATTAGTTATATGTCATCATTTGAGGATTATAATAGTTTTTAGTCGACAATTTTTTTTTCACTTTTTTCTTTTTCCATCTATCTCATATCTTTTTCTTACGATACAAGGAGGAGATACGATTTCGACAAAATACAATTCCTGACATTTTATAAGAATGATATATAATGAGTGAAAAAAAAACGAAAAATTTCACATTTCCAAAATAGTTAACGAACCAAAAATGTCGTCGATTCGTTTGACAATTTTTTTTGCTTCTTTATTTTTTACTTTTTTTCGATTTATAATCGAAGAAAATAAAATGTTAAACAACGAAGATGATCGTGATGATGATGATGAGGATTTTTGAACGGAATTAACTATACTGTGTATCCGATGAACCAGAAAAATCGAAAAATTGCATCAAGAAAAATGTGTATCCGTTTGAGAAAACCAACAAAATAAAGGAAATTGTAATTTTTTTTTATTAAAATTAAGAATTTATTCTCTCTTTCTTTCACTCATCATTATGGATAAAAAACGGAATTCTGGTTGGTTAGTTCCAATCAAACAAATAAAATAAAAAATTTATTATTCTCATGATGAGACCAAAACGAACAAAAAAAAATCAAAACGAAAAAATTACATAGAATTGAATTTGAAAAAAAAAGAAAAGAAATGGGGAAATTCTGTTGAATTTTTTCATCACAAAAAAAATTTGATGTTCGCTTTTTTTCCATCAACACATTTTTTTGGTATATTTTTTAATTTTATTCTGTTGGGTTGTCTTGTTGTGAAACCAAAGTATTTCTTTCATTTTATTCACTTATTTTTGTTCGTCATTTCACCAACAACATTGAAAATTGAGTTTGAAAGAAACAAAACAAAAAAATAAATAAATTTCATTTTAGTTACAGTTTGAAGTCAGTGAAAAAAAGAAAAAGAAAAAATACTTGTAATTCCTAACACATACAATCGGTTTAGGAATCGGTATGGTTAGGTTATTTTTTTGTGTTGGTAATTGTGAATGGTGATGGCCATAAGCCGAAATTTTTATACCACCAAAAAAAATGGAAACATTTCTTAGCAATCTGAAATTGTAATTTGAGTTTTTTTTCGCGATTCTGTTGAAAAAAGAATTTTTTCCACTGATTTACGTTTTTATTTGTTACTGTTACTGATGATGATGATGATGATGATGGTAAAAAGATTGTCGATCGAGTATTTTTTTTTCTCTTCCCGTTTTATGATTACCGTTGATGTCGATGGCGATTTTTTTTGAAACTAAATTATAATGTGAAATCGAATGGTTGAAAACTGTCCCGTATGGTACGAGTTAATTCAGCAGCGGATTTTTTAGAATTTTTCGCACAATATTTCCAATCAATACGTTCCGGACAATTCAGTAATAATTTATGAGCCATCAATTGTCGACCGATTTGTATGGGAAAAAATTCTCGCTTCACTTGTATACGTACAACGAATTTATAATGATTTGGACATTCGAAATAAAAATATGGTACATTTTGGTTGATAATTTCATTAAGTTCTTCGTTTGAATTTAATTCAAAATATTTGAATGGTTTAAATATTTCGTCAATTGCTTCCCGTAAAAATGATGTCTTTGTTTCAGGTAATCCTAATACTTGTATTTGGAAATGCGCACTTTTAAAATTTCGTTCAAAAAATACCGGAACCATTGATTTTTGTTGATAAAATTTTGTCAAGGCTTGTTTAAATTTGTTTATCTCTTCATGAAGACCATCATTATTTATTTCTACAGTAGATCGTATATGTTCGATTGGTAAGATCATCATATGATCATCGGTTAAACCACCTTTAGCTAATGCTAAATAGGAATGATCACCAATCGATACAATTAATGATTTATCTACATCTGGACTAGCTAAACAAAACCAACAGTTTTGCTGATCAACAGAATTGTTTGTTCTTCTCTCTTTTGGCTGCCGATTTTGTTGTTGTTGTTGTTGATCTTGTTGATGACCATGACGTTTACGTTTATCATTGGATCTTCGGCCACTATCACCATCACCATGATCATGGCTAAGATCATAACGGAATTGATTCGAATGATCTTGTTCAAAGGCATCTTGTTCACTTTGTTCTTGTAAAGCATTGCGATAAGGATTTTCACTCACACCAGTCGGTTGTGCGGTTATCTCTTGCGCTGTAAGATATCGACTAGGAACTATGTTGAATGCATAAATCCATTTCATTTTTTTTACATTATCAATATTTGCCATTGACAAAAATCTTGAAACATTACGAGAGGTTTCAATTAATACTTTATGATTTCGATATGGTACACGTTCATAAAACCAATCGACAAGACCGCCCACAAAATGATAACGAGGTCTTAATGAGTTACATAGTTGAGATATTTTCATGGAATTAGATTTCTCGATCATAGTCAAAATAGAATCATCGACATCAATACCGGCATGATTGAAAATGTGTTTGGGCCATTCAATTGTTAACAGCACATCAATAATATCGGATGAACTTTGGCAAGACATAATCAATGATTCGTATTCTTTTTCACTGAAAAAATCAAGGTCTTTATCATCATCGTTATTGTCGGCTGATGATTTTCGATATCGTCCGTTCAAATAAGCAATTCGAAGACCAAGACTTGTTGTTAGAATACCAGAACGACCCAAAAATGTAACACCGTCGATTAACTCACATCCTTGATCAAAATTATCTATATTTGGATGAAATTGTAGCAGTTGTTGATGAGGAATACGACTGAGGATATAGGTGGGTGTATTTGGCAATTCCGTCGAGCCATTTATCAGTTCTTTATAAGCATCGATATCATCACCGAAAAAATCACCCACACAAAGCAATAAATCGAATGGACCAGCTTTTCGATTTACATCTGAGACACGTTTGAAAAATTTTTCATATTGACCTTTAACGCTACCGGCAACCAAAATTTTTAATGAATTGCTTGCCATTTCAAATTATTATTCTACAAATTTCTCTCATCAAAAAAATTCCAAAACACATGTGAGAATTTTCCAAACAAACACTAGTACCATCTGTTGAATAAAATAACTAATCATTTTTTTTGGTAAATTAAAAAATTTGCAAATTTAATTGTAATTTTCTGGTTTTTTTAGCACGAATTTTTTAAAGGTTCCATTTGAATTGATTTTTTGGTTATTTTTATGAATATCATTTTGTCATCAATCATTGAATAAAATGAAATAATTGGCCTTTTTGTAAAAGAATTTCAATTAGAATGATGAAAAAGTTTTCATTATGACGATGAAAGTAAAATCGATACTATCGTAATTTTTGTTTTGTTTTGTTTATATTTTTTTTTTATTTTTTAATTTATTTTAACATGATACAAAGGATAAGCCAATATGCCATTTTAGAAATTTTTGATAATCCATTATTTTCATCTTATTTTCATGAACTTTTGATCTGCTAAAATTGGACATATATTTCATCATTTAATATTCTATATTTTGTTTTTAATTACGAAAAATCCATGGATCCAAATGTCGTAGCCAAGTTGATGAAAGATGATTTTGACACACCCGATCCTGATGAAGATTTTGATGATGCCGATTTGGAAAGTGAACTTGCTGGTATTGTGGGTGGAAAATCTTCGTCAAAAATCGACAAGCCTCAAGCTAAAAAATCTGTAGCTACTAAGGGTAAACCTGGAAAGCGACAGCCTCCAAAAAATCCTGGTGAAGAAGAAGATGGTAATTAACGACATTCAATTATCGAATTATTTTGATGCTTATCCATTTTTTTCTTATTATAGAAATGGCTGCATTCGATATGGATAATATTCAAAACTTATTGAAAAATATTGATGCCGTGGAAGAAGAGGATGATGAAGAAATCGATGAAAATGATCCAAATTTATTGTCGGAACTGACCAATGTATTAGAGAATCCTTTGCCTGGACCAAGAAAAAAGACTCGAGTTCCTCAACCCACTGGTCCACTCGTACAAGAAGAAATTTTAATTAAATCTAAGGAACCCGAGCCTTCTAAACCATCAGTTAATGAACAAAATATAACAAAAGTGAAAAATCTTCAAATCGAATATAAACGAGCAGCACTTAAAGCAAAAACTACTGGAGATAAAAATGCAGCCTTAACTTATTTGCGAGTTTCAAAGGTAAATAATTCAAGTTATCACTTTTTAAATTGATAAACTTTAATAAATTATCTTAGCAATTAGACGGCATGTTGAATTCATTGAATGCCAATGAAAATGTAGACATGTCGCAATTGCCTCCTCTTCCAAAAGATTTACCTATTTCGGCTCCACAGCCGGATCCTACTTTCATTGCTGCCAACGTCGAAGTGCCTGCAGAATTACAGCTAAACGCGGACGATGCTTCTAAATTATTCAAAGCACCCACTTCGGCTGGTTCAATAACAGAAGCTTTGGAACAGCGTTTAGCGAAATTCAAATCGACAAAAGAACAAGCCGATGCCGAAGGTAATGGCAATAAATCCAGACGTCTTGGTCGAATTATAACACAGATCCAGAAAGCAATGAAAGACTACAAAGCTGGGAAACCTGTAAACTTTGATGAGTTGCCATGTCCTCCAGGATTTCCACCAATTCCAGTTGAAAATCAAGCAGCACAACCACCTGTTTCGAAACCAGTATCACCACCTGTTGTTCCACGAAGACCGGCGCCAATGATACCTTTAAGAGCATCAGAGCCTACATCAACAACAGTTCAAGAAGAGCCTGTGACCAGTGGTGATCAAGGAAACGATGTAGTGGAAATTCCACCAGAATATCAAATGAACGCTGATGAAGTATCCAAATTTTTCAATGCTCCAACATCAGCCGGCTCTGTGATGGAAGCACTTGAACAACGATTGACGAAATTTAAAGCAACAAAAGAACAAGCTATGGCTGATAATAACGCAAATAAAGCTAGACGACTAGGTCGAATTGTTACACAGATGGAAAAAGCAATCAAAGATTATAAAGCGGGAAAACCAGTGGATTTTGACGAATTGCCTTGTCCACCTGGTTAGTTTTTCTGTACCAAAGAGCTTAACACATTATGATTCAAACCCAATTTCTCGTAGGATTTCCCCCCATTCCTGTTGAGAATAAAGCTTCAGATACTGTTGCACCAAAGCCGCAACAACCAGCGCAGAAACCCAGACCGTCATTGAAAAAACAAATGTCGACAACTGCTTCTAAACAATTGAATTATCTTCTGGAACGACAAAAGCTGTTCAGAGAAGCGGCCATTGAGGCAAAAAAACGAGGCGAAATAGAACAGGCAAAAGAATATTTACGCAGCGCTAAAGGATTCGATGCATTGATTGAAGCAACCAGAAGTGGTTTACCTATTGATGCTACATCCATACCGACACCACCACAATTGAATGAGGATTTCCTTGTTGTAAGTAAACCAACCGATGAGGATGAGGGTAGTGATGCCATTCCTCGTTCGGTATTTGATATTGATCGCGATGAATTATATGATAAAATTGCTCAAGAACTTAAGCAACAGATTGAGGTAAGTTGTGTGATGTTGTGCTATTTTTGTTAATGTCATTAATATATTAATGCGCCAACGTCAATGATGATGAACGTCATAGATGTGTATTCGTAATCGTGAATATTTTCTAAAAATGGGTGACATCCCTACATCGAGCAAATTCGAGAAATATGCGGCTGACAGTAAAAAAGATTTGAATATGTTGCTTATTCGACGAAAGAATGGTGATCCAATACCATCTTATCGAGTTGAAGAACGCACATTTTCGATTGTCGTAGCGAATTTAGACGTACCATTGAATGAACTTCACGTGGAAGTTATACGTGCATTTGATTTTTCTGGCACACCTACTATCGATACTTATGTACGAGCAGATTTTCCTTTCCCATCTGTAGGTTACCTTTGGTTACACATAATTTTGTTTACTGAGTTTATCATTATTTTAGGAAAATCCCCAATGGAAACGAACTAAAACATTTCACGACAGTTTAACTCCAGGTGAGTTTTTTAATCATATTTTCAATTCTAAATCGTTTTTTTCATTAATCGACTTTTTTTAGAATACAATGATACTTTATTTTTCGAGATTGATCGAAAATCCCGTTCATTACCGCGTATTTTAAAGCGACATCCGCTGAAACTAACAGTTTATGCAAAAGGGTGCGTGTTTGGCAAATATAGTTCCTGTTTTGATCAGTTTAATTGCAGTGGTTTTCTACGGAGCGATAATCTCATTGGTACCGTGCTGATGAAACTAAATGATTTGGAAACCAAATGTACAATACACGAATGTTCAGCTTGGACGCAAGGACGAAAAGTGATTAACGGACGTTTAGAGGTAAAGGTAAAGATTCGTGAACCATTACTTGCGAAACAAATCGAAGAGATCAAAGAGAAATGGATTGTATTCTCATAATGTTCCAGTTTATTTTCCGTGCTATCATACTGTTATTTTTGTTTTTCTTTGTTATCGAATTTTTATTGGAATTTTATCAGTTAAATTTTACCAATGAACGAACGATGAATGATGAACATGATGATTAAAACTAATGAATAAATGAAAATTATTTCTAAAAATTATCCCCATTTTTTTTACTTTTCTTTTGTTATTGTTATTAATCAAATTTAAATTTGTAAAATAATAAGAATCATAGCCAAAAAATGTAGATATTCAAAACATTTGTTTGTTTGTTTTTTGCATTGAGTTTTCAATTTTAGTTGTTTGTGTATTTGGTAGTTATTTTGGATCGGCAGGCTTTTTTGGCTGTTGTTGAATGTGTGCCATCTGAAATTTTTTTCCAGATTAAATATCATATTAATTGTAGCAACATTCATGATGTTTTTTTAAATTGACAGTGTTTGTTTTCCAAGTATTTCAAATGAATCAGGGTCGAAAAAAGGAATTCAAGACAAACATTCAATTATCACCGGGTTATGTTCAGTACCAAAAAAAAGAACAAAGCATAGCCACACAAGCATATAAAAAACACAAATCCATAAAGGAAAAAAATTCGATTTCAATTTGATTTTATCATTTTTTTGTCTTTCGAAATAATTTTCTTTTCTTAAAAAAATAATAATAATAATAATCATAGCAAAGAAATATCATTTGTACAAATTAATTTATGTATGCATGTATGTATGTATGTATGTATGTCATTACATAGGTCAATCGATCGGTCATTGTTTGATTTTATCTCCAATCCAAAATTGTCTCCATATTCCAAAAAAAGGTCAATTATATATAAATCAATGATAATTAAATCGAATTATTAATAATGATGATTATGGTGTTTGTGTGATGTTGATAATGACGATGATGATCAGAACGTTTGAAGAATATCAATAATGATGATGAGATATATATTTATCCAATAATAATTATTGTGTGTTTGTTATGTGTATAGTAATAGGTTTCACAATCATCAAAATATTTCATAATTTCGAAAAAATAATAATAAAAATATACAGAAAATTATGGAATCAGGCCTAATATTGTGTGTGCTCATTGATTGATTTGTTTTTGATAATAAAATGGTTAACAGAATTTAACATTTTTTTTCTTATAATAACGAAAAATATATAGACTTATTATTATCGAATGTGTTTCAATTGTCAATATTTGTGTGTGTGTGTGTTTACTTGTTGTATATTGCTTTATCCAGACACATCTTTCTATTACTTTTAAAAAAATAAAAATCTGCTGAATTTCCTAAGTTGTCCATACACATCATTTGATCATTTGTTTTTCTTTCCTGTGTGTGTGGGTGGATGTTTTTGTTTGTTTGTTTGTATGTGAAATTTATCCCTCTTCCCAAATTTAATTGTAATCATCATCAAAAAAAATCAAAAAGATTTCCTTTCAACTGACTAAAAAACGATTAATTTGAGAGATAATCTTTTTTGAGGGTTCACAAAATAATCATAATAATATAATATTCAAAATAAAGAATTAAGAAAACAAACTAAATCAAATGATGAATGGATTAATGGTTTGGTGTGTGTGTGTTTGTTTGTGAATCAGATGACAATAGAGATGAAACAAAACAAAAAATGAGAGGTAATTGAAAGAAAAAAAAATATCTTTGCATGCCAAAATCACCAAACTCTAATGTAGCGCATCAATTTATGTGTGTATGTTGTTTCGTTTTGTCTGAATAATACGGCAATAAAAATTCGAGAAATTCATGAAAAGAGATAAAATCTTGTAATATTTGAAGAAGAAAAAACAACGGAAGTGATGATGATGATGACGATGATGACAAAGATGAATTAGGCACCAAATAATAATAATAATAATAAACTGAACAGAAAAGATTGACAAAAGTGAAAAAAACCAGAAAAAAAATAAATCGCAAAAGGTCCCGAAATAGCAATATTTGATGAATTTGAGTTAGATGATGAAACCAAGTTTTTTTTTCAAAATCCCGTGTGTGTATGTATAATCTGTTTATGTGACTCTATAAATGAAGATTTAACGAGAAATAAAGATAGAGAAAGAGATTCCGTATCCGCAATGAAACAGCACGATTTGTGATGATGATCCATGAGATAAGATTTGAGGTCGATAAATTGAAAAAAAAGAAAGAAAAATAGAGAAAGAATGTGATGATGGTTGTGTTTGTATAAACATGATTTGATGGTGAAGGATGTTCGAATAATAACAACCAGAAATGTCCGTTTCCAATTCTTTCATTATCTTTTTTCGTACTCTCTTTCTTCTTTCTTTTACATTGTTCACGAATCTTGTATGTCCCATATTTCGGCCAAAAATGCTGGTAATTTTTTGTTTTGTACTTTGAGTGATACACACATTTCCGAATTGATATTACCCAACGTACGTAATTCGGTTAATATGCCTAATAATTTGGCGAAATGGCATTTGTTCGGAGGACGACGAGTTTCCACATAAATGCGTAATATTTCAATATATTTTTCTTGTATTTCTTCCACTTTATGTGCTTCAAGCAATTGTGGTCGATCTATTTTGGAAGGAAATTAGAAATAAGAAAAGAAAATCAAAAAAAAAGTTATTCCAATCAATGTTTAGATTAATCAATGTAATTCACTTACCACTAAATATAACAATCGCAGTCAATAGAGCATATTCGGCATTATCAACCTTGAGCATATGCATTCGACGACAGAAATTGAATAACGTATCCGCCACATATGATATACATGCACTGCTATAGTTTTGTCTTGTATATGGTTGATTATTCGCATAGACAATTGAATCGGTTTTGATATCGTATTTTCGTGAACATCGTAACATCATTACTTCGCTTGAGCATGCCTATCAACAATAAAAAGAATATTTCACATTTACTTGATTAGAACGAATTTTGATAAATTTATTAATTTAAGAATTTACCTTTAAAAGTGTTATCTGATCCTCACGAAACAACTTATCAAAATATGGTACACGTTTAGAGAATTCAACGATAAGCTGCACAGTTAAAATGGTCATTTCGGTAATATGTTGAAACCTTCTTTTATTATCCTCTTCATTTTCGCCATAAGGAAAAGGCTGTTAGAATAAAAATAAAATAAATGAATTAATTAATCAAATGAGTTAGTTGATTAATATAATACATACCGCTATCTTTTCAATATCTTCTCCAGAAGGCGATTCAAATTCGTCTTGATAAAAGACTAGTTTTTTGATTATACCATCTTGTTCGAGTGATAATTTTAGAGCAATTTCCACATCACCATTTTGTGAACCATTCCAATTATTTGTCATTATTGGCGTTAATGGCTGTTTCTCTTCAATTATCATTATCTGTGTATTGTTTGGTGAAAGACCTTCTTTGGTGGTGGAATTAGGTTTATCTTTATCTTTTATAGCACGTTTTGCTTCACGTTTCATCGCACATTGATATTCTGGTACAACACATTCGGGCCTCATGCCCACCGAAAGACATTTTTTTAGACGACATTCTTGACATTTTCTTCTCATGTACATATCAATCTCACAATTGTTTCCATATTTGCACTGATATACAGCATTCTTAGTAATGCTACGGCGGAAAAATCCTATAAAAATTGATAATTCATGATTAATATCACAATGTAGAATAAAATTTTATATAATTGTAAAACAACAAAATAGAAACAAACCTTTACAGCCTTCACAGGTTAATGCATTATAATGATATCCCGAAGCTCGATCACCGCATACTAAACACAATTCTTCTTGTTGTCTTGGTACTGGTCCTTTTTTCTTTTTTGGATCACCGCCTAAACTATCCACATTTGTATAACCATTTACACTGTTCGATGGGCTCATCTCTTCTTTACCTATGTTTTTTTATTTTGAAAGAATTAAACAAAGAAAAAATTAGTAATTTGTCATTTTTGAATTATTGAATGAAAAATGATAATGAATGATTATGGAATGACCTTCATGTAAACAAATAGAAGACTAGATATTCATATAGACATGTTTCATAATCAACATCATTATAGCTTAATGAATAATATGAAAATCATCAACATCATCATTATTGATTGATCATTTGATCAATTCAATCTGAATGAATCGATTTCGTTTTTCTCTTTTTGCTTATATTTCAATGATTATTTTCGTTCTGTGGTATGCAAAACATTTTCTTTAATATGAGTTAGGTAATAATAAATTATAAACTCTTTTTTCCCATGATTAGTTCGTCCTATATTAGAACAACGAAATATGAACGACATAACATTGGAAGTTTCATTCAATAAGTTTGTTGCTGTTTGAATCAATGCAAAAGCAAAAAAAAAAGAAACATCGTGTGCAAAGACATTCAACTTCATTATTACAACACGTGCTATGTTTATTCAAAAATATTTATAAATAAAGAGAAATATTTCAAAATCAAATAAAATCCATTGCCAAAGCCAAATTAAAATTAATTTTGGCTATAGTAAGAATCGTAAGAATTTTATTACCAACAAAAAAAAAAGAACGATGACTTTTCATTTTAAAAAAACAACATAATATTTCGAAACAAGAATGTGGTACATATACATTTTACACAATGTTTTCTTTATTTCTCCTGATTTATCAACACCGATGTTAAAATACATAGAATCATAGATTCTAACTACTCATACTTTTTTGTTACTAAATTTAGACACAACAAAGAATATCTTGTTGTTGTCAATGATTATTATGTTCCATTTCAATTCTTTTTAGCAAAAAAGTTTCATGTTTTTTTTGACATGTTTAAAAATGAAAAAACAAAATCATCAAAAGAATCAAAGTCATGAACATCGACCTGATGATGATTATGATTTTGTATATGATGAACGAAGAACATCGAACCATCGAATAAAGCAATAATGTTAATGTAGTTATTTTTTTTGGCTAAACACGAAAAAAAATTAATTCGTTGTCAGGATTTTATTTCAATTTTTATTGTTTTTTGCTACTGTTTTGGCATTGTCATCATTATTCATTGAATATCTTGATGACAATGACAACGAACCAAAGTCAAAGACCTAGTCACGAATAATATTTAATCGGTCGATTGTTTTTAAAAACACTTTTCTTACCCCGTGATGATTGTATTACACTATCAAGATTCCCGGTAAGCTATTTCTGGAGGGGTGAGGGGTTGCAATTCAAATATGAAATGATGATTGAAAGACATTTTGAAAAAAATGTCAAGTATATGACGGATCCTTTCATCAATTCGAATTATCATGTGAGCAAAAAAAAAAAAATAATACTAACAACAACTTGAAATATGAAACTTGAATCTTGTCCAACTGAAAAAAAGAAACTGGTTAATCTATTTGACTCGTGGTTTGTTCACAATATCATCAAAAATATGATGATGATGAGAAAAAAAAACTAAAATGAAAATAGAAAATTATCAAGTTTTTCTTAATTAGTAATGACCTACAAAAACAAAACAGAACAGAAAAAATCGGTAACCAAATTCAATTATCAAGATGACAGTTCACCAATGTAAACAAATAAAAATAATGAAGAAAACTAATCGATAAAACTCATTCGGGCGAATTCGATTGATCTGAATAAAAAAAAACAATCCTGTTCTCTCTTTTTTTTTGATTAATTCAATCATCATCAATTAGAGCAACAAAGTCCATCATAATTTAAAAAAGAATAACAAAAGTATCAAAACTACTTAAAATCAGTGAAAATTACCATTACATTTATACAGACATAACATTTAAAATAAGGCAACAACCTGAGGTGCAATATAAATATCAAACCAAATCAAACAAAGAATTAGAAAAGTAAAAGAATATTGCCGACTTAACAACAATAACAAGTTCCGTTATTAAAAATAATGTTTTTTACATGACAAATAGAACCAACCAAAGAGCATACAAATATTGCAAATATAATTTTTTCATCCCTATTTTACCCCCAAAACAAAATATTTATTTAATATATTGATTAATGACCAGTAACAAAAAAAAAATGAAACAAATGAAAGTGGAATGAAAATTAATCAAGTTCACTTGGTCATCATTATTGCATAGATCGATTATTACCAATAATGATGGATTATATCATTCAATAAATCAACCACAAAAAAAATACAACGGGGCAGTACTTTTTTTATCATAATAATTTTTTTCTCTGTCATTCGTAATTTAAAATAGTGGCTGGGCTTCATGATCACATGTTTTTTTTATATATATTTGTTTTGTCTATATTCTTTTTATTATCATCATTGCCATTAACTCACAATTCAAAGTTTAATAACATTTTGGGTTTACTTTTTGCTTTGCCATTACCACCGCACAACTACCATTGAATGGTTAAAGTTGTTTATGCGTTTTTCATTGCTCATCATCAAAGTTTTGGTTTGGCTCTTTTTTCCCTATATCATCTTGGTCGTTATTTTGCCGACGCCAAGCGAAAGTGTGTATTCATTCATTCATTTAAAAAATGTTATATAGATATTTGAATGGAATGCGCATGTTTTTTTTGGCAAATACGATATTCTTACACAATCACACACCGGATTCAAATCGGGTATCATTCCATTTCCAGTCAGTAAGTATTACGTATACACAATTTTTTTTGATATAATAATAAAAAAAGCAAAAACAAGAGAGAAATATTCTGGAAAAACTAGCCAAACTAGCAGCATTGATCAATTCACATAAATTTGGCGTCTATGTGAAAGATTTTTATTTTTGCTTTTCTTGGCTAAATGAAAGTTGATGATCATTCATTCATCGTCGACGTAGTTGTTGCCGTGATCGTTCGGTCGTCATCATCATCACAAGACATTTTCACCAGAAAAAAATAGCAATATAACCAGAGTAACAAGAGAGAGACGATGATCATCATCATGTCGATGTCGATGTACGCATTCAAGGCTAATGGTGGTTGAAAATTACAAAGAATATGGTAAAAAATGATTGTGAAAGAACATTGGTGGTGATGGGGGATTTTTTTTTTTTTTTTGGTTTATTCACGACGCCGGCGTAGCAGCAACCAAATAATATTATATCACATCACAGACACACACACAAGTTGTGTGGACAAACCAGGCCCTGATGATGATGTGGTGGGCAAACCAGCTTTTTTTTAGGCATCACAATCATCATCATGATAATAATAATACGCCAAAGTAAAATGTAAGCAAGTGTATATAACACACATACACACATTGAGCTATTAATGGAAAGAATGAATGAATGAATGTATTGTGAATAGAGAATTGTGAATTGAAAGACAACTTGGGCCCGTAGTCGTTTTTTGTTTTGCATGAAAAAATGGATAATCAAAAAAGAAAAAAAACTTTTATATTACTTAAATGACGTACAACAAAGATAGTGTGTTGTTTTTGTTGTTGTTAAACCTGATAATACCAAAAGCTGCAATAGGGTTTTAGCATATAATTTTTGTTAATGTTCTTTTTTTGGGTTTTGTCTTATTATTCGTATTTTTTAAGTATGATAATCCTCTAAACACCAGATACAAAAAAAAACAACAATAACGAATTATTTTTAAAAGAAAAATTGTCGATTCGAGTAGAAAACCCGAGAACAAAATATATGATTTTAGGAGTCGATGGCCAAAATCATCATCACCATCATAATAAACACTGCATAACCATAAGATCGAGAATAAATTCAGATCGTACACGTGTACGCAAAATCCAATCAACAACAATCAATGTTAAGAAAAAATGCTTTGGCCTTGAAACATGTTGGATCATTGCCACCATTTTTTTCTAGACTATTTGCAAACAAATATTGATTAAATCAAATATTAGATATATGCTGTGTTTATGTTTGGGAAGGGGGGAATATAATAACAAAACAAACAAAAAACGAGATTACGACAAAAAACAACTCGAACCTGAAGAATTTGAAGCCGAACTTTCATGTAAATCAAGATTCCAAAGATCAAGATCAATTTCCGAAGAATCTAAACTAGGCACCGGACTAATTACTGTACAATTCTGACTTGATGATACTTCGGGTGAACTTTCCGATAATAATGATGTAGATGAAGAATTTCGATTGGTATTCGTGGATGGATGTTGACCAATAATAATGGTATTATTGGTGGTGGTTGTTGTAGTGCTGCCAACTAATGCCTGATATGCTGTACGTTTTCTTGCGACAGGCTGGTGATGATGATGATTACCACCGGGGATTGTTGTTGTACCATTGGTCACAATCATAGCAGGTGCCGATGATGATGATGATAACGATGAGGAATTATTATTATTCTGATAATGAGATCGTGATGATGATGATGATGAAAGTGTTGGTGAAAGAGATGATTCATCATCTTCTTTCTTAATTTTCACTGGTGTTGGACACAATGGCATTGATATTGTTGTCGTCGATGTCGTTGTACTATCATTTTGATTATGATTAAAACCATTTGATAATGGTTGAATTGAATGATGATCATTTGTAGTTAAAATTCGCAATTTTTTGTACTCATTTGGACCATTTATTAAAACATCATTATTATCATTATTGACGTTTGACGCCGTTGATATCGATACTAAATCGATCGATGAGGTAGTAGGTGTTGAATTATCATTATTATTATTATTATTATTATTATGATTCGATAACATAGACGTAATGGTCGTTTTTGTTGCACGTATTATTTGATTTTCTGCCGTTGTAGCCGAAATACTACTTGAATTTGAATTTGAATCTAATGTCATTCCATCAAATAGATCATCGACGGCTTTTTCGGCCCTATTCTGGCCAAGCCACAATAATACTAATGGATCCAGTTTTTATACAATAATTCGTATCTTGGTATTTTGGTCAATATTTTTGTATTGTTTCGAGTATGA